TAAGGAATATCACTGTATTGGTTCACTGTTGTCTAAGATATAAGGAATATCACTGTGTTTGTTCACTGTTGTCTAGGATATAAGGAATATCACTGTATTGGTTCACTGTTGTCTAAGATATAAGGAATATCACTGTATTGGTTCACTGTTGTCTAAGATATAAGGAATATCACTGTATTGGTTCACTGTTGTCTAGATATAAGGAATAGCACTGTGTTGGTTCACTGTTGTCTTAGGTAAAAGGAATAGCACTGTATTGGTTCACTGTTGTCTAAGAATTAAGGAATATCACTGTATTGGTTCACTGTTGTCTTAGATATAAGGAATAGCACTGTGTTGGTTCACTGTTGTCTAGATATAAGGAATAGCACTGTATTGGTTCACTGTTGTCTAAGATATAAGGAAAATCACTGAATTGGTTCACTGTTTTCTTAGATATAAGGAATATCACTGTATTGGTTCACTGTTGTCTAAGATATAAGGAATATCACTGTATTGGTTCACTGTTGTCTAAGATATAAGGAATATCACTGTATTGGTTCACTGTTGTCTAAGATATAAGGAATATCACTGTATTGGTTCACTGTTGTCTAAGATATAAGGAATATCACTGTATTGGTTCACTGTTGTCTAAGATATAAGGAATATCACTGTATTGGTTCACTGTTGTCTAAGATATAAGGAATATCACTGAAGTGGTTCACTGTTGTCTAGATATAAGGAATAGCACTGTATTGGTTCACTGTTGTCTAAGATATAAGGAATATCACTGTATTGGTTCACTGTTGTCTAAGAATTAAGGAATATCACTGTATTGGTTCACTGTTGTCTTAGATATAAGGAATATCACTGTATTGGTTCACTTTTGTCTAGATATAAGGAATATCACTGTATTGGTTCAATGTTGTCTAAGATATAAGGAATATCACTGTATTGGTTCACTGTTGTCTAAGAATTAAGGAATATCACTGTATTGGTTCACTGTTGTCTAAGAATTAAGGAATATCACTGTATTGGTTCACTGTTGTCTAAGATATAAGGAATAGCACTGTATTGGTTCACTGTTGTATTAGGTAAAAGGAATAGCACTGTATTGGTTCACTGTTTTCTTAGATATAAGGAATATCACTGTATTAGTTCACTGTTGTCTAAGATATAAGGAATATCACTGTATTGGTTCACTGTTGTCTAGATATAAAGAATATCACTGTATTGGTTCACTGTTGTCTAAGAATTAAGGAATATCACTGTATTGTTTCGCTGTTGTCTAGATATAAGGAATATCACTGTATTGGTTCACTGTTGTCTAGATATAAGTAATAGCACTGTATTGGTTCACTGTTGTCTAAGATATAAGGAAAATCATTGAATTGGTTCACTGTTGTCTTAGATATAAGGAATATCACTGTATTAGTTCACTGTTGTCTAAGATATAAGGAATATCACTGTATTGGTTCACAGTTGTCTAAGATATAAGGAATATCACTGTATTGATTCACTGTTGTCTAAGATATAAGGAAAATCACTGAATTGGTTCACTGTTGTCTTAGATATAAGGAATATCACTGTATTGGTTCACTGTTGTCTTAGATATAAGGAAAATCACTGAATTGGTTCACTGTTGTCTTAGATATAAGGAATAGCACTGTATTGGTTCACTGTTGTCTAAGATATAAGGAAAATCATTGAATTGGTTCACTGTTGTCTTGGATATAAGGAATATCACTGTATTGGTTCACTGTTGTCTAAGAATTAAGGAATATCACTGTATTGGTTCACTGTTGTCTAAGAATTAAGGAATATCACTGTATTGGTTCACTGTTGTCTAAGAATTAAGGAATATCACTGTATTGGTTCACTGTTGTCTAAGAATTAAGGAATATCACTGCATTGGTTCACTGTTGTCTAAGATATAAGGAAAATCATTGAATTGGTTCACTGTTGTCTTGGATATAAGGAATATCACTGTATTGGTTCACTGTTGTCTAAGAATTAAGGAATATCACTGCATTGGTTCACTGTTGTCTAAGATATAAGGAAAATCATTGAATTGGTTCACTGTTGTCTTGGATATAAGGAATATCACTGTATTGGTTCACTGTTGTCTAAGAATTAAGGAATATCACTGTATTGGTTCACTGTTGTCTAAGATATAAGGAATATCACTGTCTTGGTTCACAGTTGTCTAAGATATAAGGAATATCACTGTATTGGTTCACTTTTGTCTTAGATATAAGGAATATCACTGTATTGGTTCACTGTTGTCTAGATATAAGGAATAGCACTGTGTTGGTTCACTGTTGTCTAGATATAAGGAATAGCACTGTATTGGTTCACTGTTGTCTAGATATAAGGAATAGCACTGTGTTGGTTCACTGTTGTCTAGATATAAGGAATAGCACTGTATTGGTCCACTGTTGTCTAGATATAAGGAATATCACTGTATTGGTTCACTGTTGTCTAAGAATTAAGGAATATCACTGTATTGGTTCACTGTTGTCTAAGAATTAAGGAATATCACTGTATTGGTTCACTGTTGTCTAAGAATTAAGGAATATCACTGCATTGGTTCACTGTTGTCTAAGATATAAGGAAAATCATTGAATTGGTTCACTGTTGTCTTAGACATAAGGAATATCACTGTATTGGTTCACTGTTGTCTAAGAATTAAGGAATATCACTGCATTGGTTCACTGTTGTCTAAGATATAAGGAATATCACTGTATTGGTTCACTATTGTCTAAGATATAAGGAATATCACTGTATTGGTTCACTGTTGTCTAAGAATTAAGGAATATCACTGTATTGTTTCGCTGTTGTCTAGATATAAGGAATATCACTGTATTGGTTCACTGTTGTCTAAGATATAACGAATAGCACTGTATCGGTTCAATGAATTTGCAAGGCAAACTAAACAGTTGAAGTCGAAGGATGTGTTGAGGGGTGACTTGGTCACCACTCTCACATTTCTTACCACTTAAAAAGTCACACGATAATATTGTTATATTTATTTCTAAAATAAATAATCTTGAATTCTATATTCATGACAACAAGTACACACTCGTTCGGAAACATAGATACATTAGCAAATGATATAAGAGATAAAACAGCGCAAGACATGTCTCTTAAACACGGTCCCAACATATATTTGCTTCAATTTGAATACATATATACAATAATGATTTTGTATTTGGCTTATTCTTTCACAACGTTGTATATTAAAGTGCTCTTTGCAGAAACCAGTGCCCGCGCGCCCGCGCTACACGTTGAACAATTTCCCCGGAACAGTGACCTAAGCGAGTGAAGGTCTTTTGTCCGGTCTTATACGTCATTCTGAGATAACACGAAGTTACCGAAATCACACTATCCTGAATCGAGGTCATAAGACGATAGGCGGAGCATACTCTCTGTCGTTTCTTTCGCAACGTGAAATATGAAGCTGTATTTCATATCTTTGTTTCTCTGCTGCTTAGGTAAGATTTTTTATGCTGGATAACAGTACAATTTGTTTACTATGGGTGTCTGGTATATTTATGGTGTCAAATGCTTTACACTATTATAGAGTAACGGAGTCCTCATAATCTTTAAACGAAGAAATTTCAAATAGCTGATATAGATAGCCTATCAAACACCTACGTCAACGCAAGGTACTCAGTGAAAACAAATTCAGACCATGTTTAATGAATAATACAGTGCTTTTATCCCGGTTTGGCTATCGGCATCATATCTGTTTACTTAACAAATGTATTGCCAAATCTTTGAAAACAGCATATTTCCTGATAAAAGTATCCACAAAATCATAATATGCTACATTACTGCTGTTCCAAAATTTAAAAAAAAAATATCATTTTGGAATAAAAGCTTATTTTGGTAATGTGTTGAGCAAGGTCTTGTTGTTGTTATTGTGTGACCTCAAAACAGTTATTGCAAAGTCATGATATTTTTACAGGTTCGATCGATGTGACCTTGGGTCTATCAAAGCGTGTGCACCACCATCCAGGCCACCCAGATCCACGTACGTGTTATAAAAATGATATTGTGTACGAATTTAGCTTGAAAACAGACGTTTTACGATTACCTGTAGTAACATATTGTAGACTGCGGGTTATGTGATTGATTCATGAAAATTATATAATATAACATGGTTTAAGTTGTCCTTGATCGAATTGTGCACATCATATGGACACCCTAATGGTATTACGTTAGACTCGCGCATTTTACAGTAAAATTGTATTATTTAAGTGACCAGGAAGATATCGTTTTATCTTTTGAGAAAAACGAAAAAATAGGTATATGATTGAATACCATTAACAATATTACACCAAATTCCTTGCAGTTGTTTTAAGCCTACCATTCTTGTGTACAGTACATGTGTGACGATAAAGAAGCCAATCGGCCCTCTAGATATTGAATATAGCAAAGATTGACAAATTTTAGCTTGGTGTTATTTTTGCGTTACCGTGTGCAATGTAACTATTCACTCAGAGTTAATATAGTGGTATCAAGACTTACATTACGGCAAATTAATATTAATATTTCCATACAAAACATGTTTCCTTCCGTTCAAATTATATTTTAATTAATGTGCAAGCATAAATATGATGATTTTAAAGTCACTTTTAGTTTTTGTCTCCTGTATATCACGAAATCAAACATGATGTTTAATGTTTTCGTTGTATTTCAGAACAAGCCGGTCATATATTCTGTGTTGACAGATATTGCGATGACCACAAATCGGTAAGATCAATCGTTTGAACAAAAAATCACCGCCGCTTTGTCAGCTGTGATTACCCACGTGACAGAACACAGACACCTTCTATACTGACGTCACACTGAGATATCATGGATTGTACCAGTTTGACACTGAACTATAAGATTTGAAAGCGAGACAGAAAATACTTATGTGTAACAGATAAATGTAGGAAATATATTCAGCATTCGTAACTGAATGTAAATATTCTGAAAGTGCACCAAGTAAGTGTTGTCTAGTGGCACTACTAGCATTGATAATATCACTTACCTATTTTAAGATTACAGTAGATTTCCCAGCTTAAACTCAGAGGTGACAATTGGGCCATAAGAAATGCAAAGCAGCTTCTAGAGTACGGATGAATCAAAAGTTAATTGAAATGAATTCAATGTAAAGTACACATAAGCTAATTCTAAGCCAATATTTCTTCCTCGATCGTGCTAAAATAATATTTTTTATTCTATATTAGTTTCTTAAATTTCTTATTTTTGATGTTACTTAAAGGAATGTGCGCGATTTCTAAACAAATTCCCGATTTAATGCCGATTTAATGCCTGTCTTCAAGTTTTTTCACTCTTAGTTGACAACAATATTTTAACAGAATAGTTAACTTGGTAAAGCACATCATCAATTCACGTACTTAACACATCAAATAAAACCGTTGTTAATCCTTGTTTAATTAATGAGACAAAATCCGGGTCGTAGTTTGTCGACAAATGCATTACAATAATTATCTTTCTGACCCACTTTAGTCTTCTTTTCTAATTATTATGTGCATATGCTTATTGTTTCTGATTTCGTTGTTTTTTTGTAAAAGAGAAATATGTTATACATTATAATGTTGACTACCGGGGCACCTGTAAAACATCTAAATTATAATGTTGACTACCGGGGCACCTGTAAAACATCTACATTATAATAATGACTACCGGGGCACCTGTACAACATCTAAATTATAATGTTGACTACCGGGGCACCTGTAAAACATCTACATTAAAATGTTGACTACCGGGGCACCTGTACAACATCTACATTATAATGTTGACTACCGGGGCACCTGTACAACATCTACATTATAATGTTGACTACCGGGGCACCTGTACAACATCTACATTATAATGTTGACTACCGGGGCACCTGTACAACATCTACATTATAATGTTGACTACCGGGGCACCTGTACAACATCTACATTATAATGTTGACTACCGGGGCACCTGTACACCATATACATTATAATGTTGTCTACCGGGGCACCTGTACAACATCTACATTATAATTTTGACTACCGGGGCACCTGTACAACATATACATTATAATGTTGACTACCGGGACACCTGTACAACATATACATTATAATGTTGACTACCGGTGCACCTGAACAACATATACATTATAATAAAAGCATACTTTAAATATACCCTATGTGTGATCAACTGGATATGACACAGAATGACTGATGTGTTAGCGGGAAATAGTTTTAGAGCATTATTCACTGTTTCAGCTGATTGTAAATTAAACTGTGCACCTTTGGGCTGAAAGTGTAGAACTTTGACCGCTGTAAATGTAATACGTTCGCATAACCCCCTCCTTATAACCGATAACCAGTCTTATATATATATTGTCTTTTTGCAAATAATTGGATTGAAAATAAAAATAATATGGAATTGCCGACAATGATCTATTTTAACTACCTTAACCCTGCTCTTACAAGCATAGCTTAACTGTGAAATACTGGATGTAAAAACATTGTCACGGAAGGGAAATATGTGACAGTAACGGACCAATTAGACCCTTGGTACTGACCTTTAGATAAAAGGGAATAATTCAGCCGGTTATTTATAGAGACACTTAACTTTTGTTGTATTATTCATGTTGTATTGATAGTAGATGTATTTAACACGGCATAGTTTTTAAATCAAAGTTAGACCTAATTAGTATTAAAATTGGGGGGAAATCGAATTAATAAACTTACATGTATTTCAAATGTCCTTTATTTATCGGACATTCAATTATAGAAAAAGAGAATGTGTCTTCAAACGTTGTAAATACCTGTCTGATATGTTGATTTACATTTCTCTCCATATTTAGAGCTGTATAATGCAAGTAGATGGTCCACACATACATGGCCATTGCGCAGAGCCTCCGGTACGTATTCTTCATTATACAGACTATGATAGAAACTTAGTTGAATGCCAATCTAGGGGCGAATAAAGTGTCTACCAGGAAAAAGGCTGGCTCATTATTTCAGATAACAGTTGACTTGATAGTCTCGGGACTATACATTTCCTAATCTGGAACTTTCAACTGTGCAGGTCAAGGAATAATACTATGTCCTAATGCATATATAGACTAATAGGGTGTTTTCGGCATAGGGGACATTGAGGGAAACATTGTTTTCTGTTTCCCCATTAGCAGCACTTCAGACTTTTTTTTTAAAATCTCTCCCAAAGAGTCATTTTGTCAATAGGCGAACGTCTACATTTGACCTTAGTTGCTATGAGGATATAAACAATTGATCATATAAATCCCAATATTACCCTTTGACATCAGCGTCAACACATCATGACAAAATACCAGCCATAGCAGTATATATATGAATTTTGTGGGATTTGGTAATCGTTATAATGACATGTTTTAGCATTGCGACCATCTACAAACGTGTACTGGAACTATGCACAACGGAGAGTGTTGCTGCCGAACCCCAGATTGCGTCACTAATTACTTGGGTAAGTGTTAAATATTTAATATCGCTATTGTATCAAGATTTCATATGGTGATAAAGGATAGTAAATGACAAGTAAGTATCTATGTTTTCGAAAAAACATGACGTACATTGTATTGTTCCATTATCATTTTTTTGTAAATATAAAGTTAGTTATCACAAACTATAGTATATGATGTTAAATATGAGGGGTTAGTACATTGTGATAAATATAGTGTGATAATAGGATTTGCGTAACATAACATTTTGATAGCGTGATATGTGGACTGATTAAAAACATTTTAGTATAACATGATTGGTTAGTGATATTATGATATGTATGAAAGTGCGTTGTGATATAATAATCTTAGTAATATGTAAATTGTAATATAATAATATGAAGGATAGGTACATTGTGATATTATTATAAGACTGATTGTATATGAGTGATTGATACATAAGGATATAATTATATGAGTGATAGGTACATGTACATTGATATGCTATAATATGAGTGATTGATACATTGTGTTGCTATAATATGAGTGATAGTGCACTATGATACTACATTGTATAGCGGTTTTATTTCGCGGGGTTTTTAATTTCGCTATATTCGCTCTTTGACTAACTAATATTCGCAAATTCTAAACACCAGCAAAGTTATCGATATTGTTAACCACTTTTACAGACCGTATCACAACATGTTAAATTACTTTCATACCAACGCTGTTATGCAAGCTTAAATGATCTCACATCAGATTATCACCTGACAACTGGGCCGTCCATGTAAAACAACACTTACATATAAGTCGCCACAACATATTTATGTGTACTCAGTATAGGTGATTAGTTGATTTTCTTTCCAGTAAAGTCCAATCGTTTTTTCCTCGTGCTATACTAGACTGAAACAAATTACCATCTGACATCGTTAATGCACCCACTTTCAACTCTTTCAAACCATCTCTTTAAATGCACACCTATAAAATTGAAGATGCAGAGTAATTAGTCAACAGATTTTACATAATAAGTTAAACACTTTTCTTCTTTTCCCCCTTTTCCGAACAAGCTTTGTAGGTGGGGGTTGCCCAATCACTGGCTTGCTCGGATCTCGCTCTCGAACTCTCCTCGAATAAAATGTTCCTTCTCTTAACTCTACCTTCTTCTCCACTTTAGTGCTGACTGACGGTCGGGATCGTCCCAATCACTTGCTAGCTCAGACTATACTGCCAGTACAAACCCTAACCCGTCTATCCTTTCCCCTTCCTTCAATCTGTTACCTTATCCTCTGAATAACTAAGTAGATAATTATTAATTATTATGTAAAATATATAGTCTTTCATTTGTGCTGCGTAAACCCAATTTCGTGACAAAATGTTCAATTAGTTGAATGTGGTCACTATATGGTTGAAGTCACTGGCGAATGATGACGCTAGGGATACGTGTTTTCAAACGGTTTACCTGTATTTCGAGGTTTAACCCTTAAATGACAACACTCAAAATACTTTGCACGACACATGGGATTCGGGTGCACAGCGGGTGAATAGGAAACCGCGAAATATTGAGCCCGCGAATCTTAAGCCCTATACAGTAATAAAAGTGATGGGTACATTACAACACTATAATATGAGTAAATGGTACGTTGTGTTATTATTATTTGAGTAATTGATACATTGTGTTACTATGATATGAGTGATAAAAACATTGTAGTAATATTATAAGATTGCTATGTACATTGTGATATATCAATATGAGTGTTTGATACATTGGTATGCCATAATATGAGTGATTGATACATTGTTATGCTATAATATGAGTGATTGGTACATGGTTATGCTATAATATGAGTGATTGATACATTGTTATGCTATAATATGATTGATTGATACATTGTGATGCTATGATATGATTGATTGATACATTGTTATGCTATAATATGAGTGATTGATACATTGTTATGCTATAATATGAGTGATTGATACATTGTTATGCTATAATATGAGTGATTGATACATTCAATTGTTATGCCATAATATGAGTGACAGGTATATTGCTATAAAAACACAGTTGTTTGACTCTCTTCAGCTGCAATACATACACCACATCAACCGAATGTTCTAAACTGTTTCGGATCTCACTGCAATAGCGACCACCAGGTAATCTTACAGAATAAGTCAATTATTCTCATGGATTTCTTATACAAACTTTCTTAATTAAGGATTTACTCTTATATTGTTTGATCTAGCCTAATGTGTTCTTATAAAAATTAACAAAGACTTTTCAAAAGAAAAAATCACCAAAAATGCATATTGTGTCCACCTGGTTTCTTCAACCGATCATAACACGAACACGAACATCCGGTCCAACAAGAGTGATTAGTATAAGATTTAAAAACTTGTTTCATAATTGTTGTAAGATAAATATATAGATCACGAATACGAACACAAGGACATAGTTGTTACCTCTTCCCATTGACTCCTATTTGCAAAATTATATCTAAGAGAAAAAAGTTTAATTTAAAAGTTGGCAATTTCTCAGGAAGTACATCCTTAATGATAAATTACGCAAACATTTTGTTGTGCGACAGTTTATTATTTTAAAACATGAATAGTTTTAAAAGTTCACTAAGTGTTGTTTAGGTATAAAGTCGGGCAAACAACTATCATACAAAATATTCGAAACCAAAAACGAGATAATAAATATCCCAAAATTAATTTACAATTTTTTTCGGGTTGATTCTTGAAGAATATTAACATTTCATATATACAAATATATTTTAACTCCTAAGTGGTAAGTGGTAAATAGAACATGCACTTTTATAAAAAGTTCTGTAAATTTAAAATGTGTAGTATCATAATGTTGCAATTTCATGAAGCCTGTTGTGTTATTGTTTATGTTATTGCTATGGTTTTATCAGTTATATTGTTTAAACATTTGGACAGTCTTTCACTTGTTGTTTATCTTGATATATTCACTTTTATTTTCTTGGTACTTTATTTCTATATATTTGTTTTGATAACATAAACCTCTATTATTCTGACCAATAGGGTTGCGTCGTCAGTCATAGACCTGGCGGGTCCATCAGTGGGTGGTGTGAGGATCACCACGTAAGTATATATGTACCATGAACAAACACACAAAGTAGAAGGAATCACAATATGAACCTTTGAAAACAATGGAGGCTTACCAGGTTCTCAACAAGAGTAAACCATTCCTGTTCGGCATTATAGTGTAATAACGGTCTGTTAAACCTGTACAACTGAATCAGAAAGGTGTCTTACGTCAAACGTTGTCAATACTATAACTCAATAAAAATATTTGCAAAACTTAATACAGCACAGGAATTGTTATTAAGACTTTTCAAACAACAACAATTGAAAGTTGACACGGTAAATAATTCATAATATTTTCCTTTTTTTTTTCACTACCTTTTTGTAATAGCAGCAATGTATGTTGCAGAAACCTAACAGTCGATGTTATGACCTGACTTTTGAGTATTTCAGAGTATTTCAGAATATTTCAGAGTATTCAAAATATTTCTTTGCATCTGAATCGTTAGTAATTGGTAAATCAGAAACATCATCACATCACATCACATCACATACATCACATCACATCACATCACATCTGATGTTATCATAAACCCGCAACAATTAGCGTATTACGTTTTCACGTAACGTCCGTCAATTGTTTAAGCAAGTGAATTTTCGACCAAAGCTTGTTGCTTTTCGCGTGTCGTGGATCATATTGTTCGCAGATATCGTGAATAAACCTTGTTATATAATGTACGGTAGTTATGACCCTTTCTCCAACGCCAAAGCATTTTTTTTATAAATAGAAAAATCAACAACTTGCAAACCCTTAGCCATTTTGTTAACAGTTAAGAAGAATCTTGTCTGATTTCCATTTTAACAAATCTCAGAAATATTTCAGCTTTTCTAGGTAATGAAGTACATTTTTTTTCTTGTAACATTCTAATACTGTATAGTAGTAAAAGTTTGTTTCAGAAAACCTTGCAAAGAGTTCCAAGTGCTTGCTACTACCAGCATCGATCAACCCGATTATCTTCAATTATGTATTGTAGTAAGCTTTTGATTTTGTCTTTGAACTTAGACAATGTTCTTTCTCTATTTTACAAATTCAACAAACATCTGCCAAGCCTAGAGATTGTTAAGAATTAGAGATTATCTTGGTCTCAGTGTTATTATTTGACACCATTTGTGGGATATATTTCCTTCATGATGAACGCCTCTATCAAATGATCTCTACTAAACCAACCTGATGATTATTTTGCTAGTTTATTGTAGATCATTGTATAGCAGAACCATTGTTGCCCCTCAAAACCGCATAAACTTTACGTCATGTTAATCATTTCATAATTTTTGCATTCTTATAATGAATCGGTTTTTAAGCACACCTTGTATTTTTTAATTGTAGTCCGACCATATTTGGATTTCCCCTTTTTTGGTCCCCAACACCATTCGATGGAAGAAATAGCTGTCTGGAGCGGTGTAATTAGTTGTTTTGCCTACTCTATCTTTAAGCCAATTGTATAGGTACAACTACATGTGTGTATACGACGTGTATCTAATGGAACACGTGGTCCTGTTCTCGATGTTCTTTTTCAAGAGTCTCCATGGAAACATATCCTTGTTCATAATTTGTTCTGGTTTTGTCGATTTTGAGTTTGAATTATGAGTTTGTTTTCATTTCTAAATCCAAACCTATGAAAACGAATGGACACTATTTACACAACAAAGGGTATTGTACTATCTTAATGATAGTAGATTACTAATAATAGTCCATATTCCATACATTATTTTTCGCAGCATTGCGATAATGAATACTGGGGGTGTATAGAAGGAAATGGACATCTAACACATCACCACGAATGTTGCTGTAGAGATTCACAGTGTATCGCAACTCTGAACAATGGTAAATATACCGCATCTTGAGGACATATGCTATCTTATCTTAATTTGAACCTTCTGTTTCAAAAAAGTCCCACTCTAATAAGTTTTATACCATAAATACTATTAAGAAAATATTGAAATTGATTTAAAAACTAATGATACATGTGTTAGCTTCAGAAGAATAGAGGCAGTTAAAAAAATCGGGTCATTCTAAATATTGATAATATTTGCAAGTTTTTAACAATATCGAATTATAATTTTATGACAAGTTTCTAATATAATGTGTTAAATTATCAAAGAAAAACGATGACAACATATGTTGAATAGCATACAGTTATTAAAGACTGAATGACAACAGTTAGATATTTTCTACGCTAACAAGGTAACAAAACGCAGATTTTCTATTTTCTCGCTAAAGCTTATTTCCCGACCAAAGCCCCTATTACCAATGCTCCTGTGACACAAGCTCCCGTGACACAAGCTCCTACGACCGCCGCACATGCAACTGTTCCGGTCACAACAAAAGCACCAACGGTCCAGATAACAACACCGACACCGCTCTACTGCCCTGTATGCGCCGATGATTTCACTGCAGACTGCCAGAGGAATGCCATGTGTAAAGCGAACGAAGGATGTATGCTTCAGGTTATTGCAGGCAAACTTCAGACGGGCTGTGCTGAGGTAATTATCGATTAGATTTATATTATGCATAATCACTGCTTGACTGGTTCTGTCGATAAAACAAACGACGCTTACCCTTCCGGAATGTTTTTCTCAATTTGTTCTTGTGCTTTTTCAAATGTGTAAATATGTTCTTTGGTTATATTCTGCCTTAGTGTTATCGAGTTTAAGCTTTTACTATTGAAATGTTATGCTTCGATTTTTTTCTTGTTTTCTTTTTGCATAACATTTTGTGTGTTTCACCGTGTTCGGTATGTAGTGCTATATTTTCTTTCGGGTATACAATTGTGGCCACTGTTATGCATACGGTTATATTTTTTCATGGAAATCGGTTTTTAAAGTGTTATATTTTTCATGAAAGAGTTCATATGTTATTTTTTATATATAATCTCGTCAAGATACAAGTAGAGAAAGACATTTTAGACCACGCCATATTTGCTTACAGAAATAAAATCACATAATTTTATAACTACATAATCGAATAAAGCTTAACTCGATATTCTGTACATAATGGGTTCTATGGAATTTTAATTCAAATAAACATTTGAGCGTAAAAGGATATAGGATATAGCCGTTCTCTAAGGTTAATATGTAAGGTAGCATATTTCAACCTTTTTCAGATTAATGACTGTGAGTACCACGAGAGAGTTGGTGACAGTATATGTTGTAAGGACAAGAATTGCACTGACTACGCCTTCCGGAACATGCACTCTAGTAAGTAGAAACGTCCGGTGGTTCATTGGATGTGGTGTTCACCATTACCCGATTTTTATAGCATAACTGAAAGATTGCAATCGAATCCCGTTTTAACTGATATCGTTGGATGATTTTCAATAGTAATATCTAAATGGTTAAATATTGGAAGATAAAGCATATTGATGAATTAATTGCAAAACGTGTATGTGAAAAAATGAGCGTCATCTCAAACAATTTACTTCATACATCATAAAAATACGGATGTGATGAGTTCTTTATTACTACATTGATAGCAAAACCAAACCAGAGCAACCTTTTTGCAAGTACCTCATTTCGAAGATATTTATTGCTATTCTTTAAGTTTTGTGTGTAAGAAGGCTTAAGTTTTTCGTAGTTCATTTAAAATTGGACAATAAATTTCCCTAGTTTCACAAAAATAAAAGTATCCATTTATAAGTAACATGCGCAATTTACAGCATTTCAGTTTCGTTTATGTCAATTAAATGTGTCAAGCTTTCCCTTGTCAAAGTAACATATTTTGTCTTATTTATATAGTTGACCGGCAAATACCATTTAGAAAAATCAATATAACTTAAGGTGATAATATTGCAATACAGTTTGGACTGATACCTTAGTAATTTATATTACTCTCAATGGGCCACACTCCAGTTCTTCATAATTGTTTATGTATTTGTAGTGAGTTACACCTGTCCGACTTGTCAGAACACTCAAAATCCAAATTCATGTTTGGCCCATCAGGGTAAATGTTCTTATCGCAGCAAGGTAAAGTATGCAGAGTTTTATTGTGTTTCCAATGGTTATTTGATTCAAGGTGTCTTTCTATTCCCTATGCATAAAGTTAGTTACCTCATACAAATATTGGATGTAAATATCCAGTTTTCAGAGTAGCAAAGATTTTTATTCATAATGTATAAACTTCGTTTTTTTAGTTTTTATCTTCTACAGTATTATAACTTTACAAAACTTTGACAAACATGACTTTTTTTTTTTTAAATAATAAAGTGTTCTTTGTTCTTCGGTAGTAACATACCAGTCTCCCCTGCGTTGACATGCCACAACTGATATGCTTACACAAAGATTATTCTGTGATCTTAGAGGCTAGCAAATCATATTGAACTATTCTGTTTGATATAAACAAAACCGAACATTATTGTAATTTTTTCGTTAATCAAGGGTTGCATGATAACACACAACAACGGAGGAATTTCATCTGGCTGTAATTCACATCCAACGGTAGGTGATAATTGTCTTTTACCTAAAGAAGCATTAAGTAATTAAGATTCCATGAAATTTCGCCTTGAAAAGAACAAATGCCCACAATACGACGCAAACAAGATGTCTTGGGCGACATCATCATAATCAGATCATACACGTAAATAAACGTTTCACTTGATTCATAGCATGTTTAAATGCTCCAATTGTTACATCATAACAACAGAAGGTAAAAATGACATCTTGCTGACAAGATATTTATTTTACAATCGCAATTGTTTTAAAATGTAATTATTTTCGTTTCGGATCTCATTGATTTTTTATGAAGTATTCTTATATCAGTTTCCGGTTCCGGTTTCTTTATGTGATGAACTGATTACTTCAATACTTGTTTATACAGGCTTGTCATATGGCAGAGACGACAAACAGTGTACTGTGCAATGTTCATCCCATTCCCTTCGCTTTTCAACCAGCACTGCAGTGTAGTTTCTGTTGTCACAGAAATGCAAGTACATGCATTTTGGATGCGCTGGGAGCACATGATGGTACATTTATACAATATTTCTAAACTGAAAAATATATCACTTATATAATTTAATCAAGATGCATCTGCATGTTTTTCTATCCTATCGTTTAAAAATTATTTGTATAATGTCGTTGTTCATTAATTTGAAATAAACCAGTACTCCTCTCAGTTTTAAAATTCATAATAAGGGGTTTTACGCACTGTCCTTTTGTTTCAACGGCACTAAAGACTATTGGATTTCCAAAGTTTTGGCTCCAAGCTTTACTGATAAGTTCTAGTAGAACGAAACAGCTCTATGATGCAGCGTAGTTCGTTTTTGGCTTGTTATATCTGTTACCAAATTTAAAAGGTGTAGTGTAATCACATGTTAATGTGTTTCGTTCATCTTTCTTTCTGCATGTTTTTGATAAAAAAAAATTAGGCGTTTCTGGAACTTAAGTCGTTATGGAATCACTGCGTTATATAACCTGTCAAAATTCTGAAAAATCTTGAAATTTGAATTAATTATTCTTTCACTCTTGTTCAACAGTATGAATGGATCCTGTGTAATCCAAAAGTCGTCAAGTCTGAATTCAAGAATTATCTTATTGCTGTTGGCTTTAGTTAAGAATCTTTGTATCATTATACAATATTATCGCTATGGTCTTTTTGTGTTTTTATTCTAGTATCAACCCCTCCGCCGACGTTGGGTCATACGGCTGGAACCACAGGTAACTAACTGATAAAGCAAAATTACTTAATTAAAAACTCTCTTCATTTGTCCTTGATGTTTGTAGATTTGTTGACTTCATTTCAAACCCTCCAAAAGGTATTCATTAATTTTGTTAGAGTAACTTTTCATTTAATCATATCAGAATTTGTTTTTACATACATTACTGATTACATTAAATAACAATACTACTGTCCTATTTTGGCTTGTATATTGTTCAATAAAGCAGGGCAATTCACATTAAATATTACAGCAAACATGGTCTTAATTATTTATGACTAATAAAATGGATTATTCTAACATATTCAATACAATTGTATGCATCGTTAATAGAGAACTTTATCATTAGTTAAACAGTTCGTATAATATAGTAAAGACTTATTACACCACTGCTATCAAGCTGTATCATTTAGCAAGTGCTTTCCTAATGTGGCAGTACTCACATACATTTTGAGTTATCTCCATCATTTATTCAGCGGCGTCCTGTTTCGATATCGAGGATGCTACGTTCAACTGTAAGAGTTTCGACGCTACGTACAACCTCTGTGTCCACTCCAGTGGTCTGATGGCCCAACTAGCTACTACTAAGTGTCGTAAAACGTGCGGTATATGTGGAGGTATATACTACCGTTTTATTTCCTTACATAGATAATTGAATAAAGAGATTTTATGTTACAGATGTGTGACCGCACATCGCACAAAAATACCGTGTGCACACCGTGCATACATCGTTCACACACCGTCCGCACATCGTCCACACATGGTGCGCACAACTGTGCGATTTATCAATCGTTCGCCCCGTTGTGCGCTTTTCTCCGCACAACTGTACGATTTGGTTCAATTTGTTGAACAATATTACGGAACGCAAAAAATACGGAAGGCTCGTATGCAATAATGTACACTGTATATATTACTGTAATTTCTCATCACAATAATTAAGATTATGTACAATTTTACAATACGTGTTACAAAGTGTTACAGTGACCGTTATACTGTCAAGAATGGGTTTAGCTTCTAGGTAACAGAACAGGTAAATAACAATTTGATGAGTGACCGGAGTTTTAACTGGCCTGCCCCTGACACATAGAGCTGATATGTGATACCGTATGACCGTTATGAAAACACAACTGGACGTTAAGTATTTGTTATTTGCATTCGTTTTGGTCTATAGATCCCCTTCACCTGGTTTTCACACCTTGGCAAGTTACGTAAGTGCCCCGGGCGGAGGATAACTACGGTCTAGGTACAGGTACAAAGTGGCTATGTTTACCTGTATTGCCGAGAATGTGTTGTAATTTTACATGGGTCGATTTAGGCGGGTTAAAAAACACCGAAAACACCATTTCTAAATTTAAGAAAATATAGACAGAAAGATAAGCTTTTAGATGTAGCTAGACTATAGAAATATACATAAAAATCAAGTTTATATGTTTAAATACAAAACCGTATATATTGTTAAGGAATTCCTCAATTTACATCAACCACGATTGTTATCGCACAACATTCGCCAATCGTCCGCACAAATGTGCGCAAGCAATGATCGTCCAATTTTTTTATCGTTGGCACTTCGTGCACACATCGTTCACACATCGTTCACACACCGTGCACACATCGTGCGCACACCGATCCCACAACTGTACTTACAATAATGAGAAACAGTGTATCTAGTTATATATTTTATCACTCATCAAATAATTCGTCTGAGTGTTATTCATCCAATTTTGCATATTTGAATTGAGACTCTAAGAATAATGGCATGGTTCGACATGTCTATATGTAAACAGTATATGCAGTTTTTAATAATGATAATAAATAATATACAATTACTTAACAAATTATGTATAAACACAATTCTTAATAACGCACATTTAAAAATATCTATCTACGTTGCCATAATATAGTCAATTTACATTTGATAAGCAGGATCAGGTGGAGTTGTTGGTGGTTCGGGAGCTGCTGGTCCTACCGTTGGGGTGACTGTTAGAACAACGACGCCTGGAGGTCAGTGGTTACATTATTATAGGATTACATTTTCTTTCCATTAGCCAGATGTTACGTCAAATAGAAATTTGAAGATATAACTATCTACCTTTAAAGTGTATACAATATTAATATGATGTTAGTTTTAAAAGATCAATTTAATCTAAATGCAAATACTTAAAACAAAAATGGTTTCAACTTATATTGATCACTATCGTTTGATCGGAAGGAAGCGCACAGGTGGATGAAGCAAGTAGGAAACAAAACGTGATTGGGCAGGTGACCCCATACCTTTGAATTGTGATTTGAGCATGTTCTGATATATTTGTTGAACAGCTACATTTCCAACGACGACCCAATTTCCCTGCATCGACCACGACATCAACAATAACTGCGCCCTAATGTCAAGTGTACTCTGCCTATCACAAAACAACCACGCAAGAAACTATGCAATTGCTAACTGTGCCAAGACCTGTAACCTATGCAAAGAATATCACCGTAAGTTGTTTAATGATTAGATTAGCATTGTCTACTTATAAATCAGTGAAAAATATTTTCCTTCAATTGTTCTTATAACAAATTACTTCCTGCCATATTATACCAAAAATAGATTTACTGATTATCTATGGAACGATCATAGGCAAACAACAATATTTCATTGATCATTATAATAGCGTTCGCTTAACAAATGAGAATTATCTTTACAACGAATTAATGTGGTTTTGGTATATATCTACTCCGTTTTCATATTTTTGGACGCGTTGCTCTTATTTCAAATATTCTTTCCGAATTATTCGTTAATTTCTCAGAAATCCATTCAATAAGAAACGACATAATCTAACAAAATACTAACAAAACACATTTTACCTCAACCTAGGCACACTAGGACAAATTGTTCAATAGCGTCAGCTCACAGCCATAGCTTACCACAGCGTCAATACACAAAGTCAAATTATACCACTAAGTCAAATCACAAACAAAAAGTATACCACAGCATTGAAAGATAAAGTATACTACGGCTTCAAAACACAAACCAAAGTATACTACAGCTTCAACACACAAAACCAAAGTATACTACAACTTCAACACACACAAACAAAGTATACTATAGCTTCAACACACAAAAACAAAGTATACTACAGCGTCAACACACAAAAACAAAGTATAATACAGCTTCAACACACAAAGACAAAGTATACTATAGCTTCAACACACAAAAACAAAGTATAAACCAGCTTCAACACACAAAAATAAAGTATTCTACAGCTTCAACACACAAAAACAAAGTATACTACAACTTCAACACACAAAACCAAAGTATACTACAACTTCAACACACAAAAACAAAGTATACTGCTTCAACACACAAAAACAAAGTATACTACACCTTCAACACACACAAAAAAGTATACTACAGATTCAATACACAAAGGCAGAGTATACCACTGAGTCAAATCAAAAACAAAAAGTATACTACAGCATTTGAAGATGAAGTATACTACAACTTCAACACACACAAACAAAGTATACTACAACTTCAACACACAAAAACAAAGTATACTACAGCTTCAACACGTAAACAAAATATACTACACCTTCAACATACAAAAACAAAATATTCTACAGCTTCAACACGCAAAAACAAAGTATACTTCAACTCACAAAAACAAAGTAAAGTACACCTTCAACACACACAAAAAGTATACTATAGCTTCAACACACAGGGACAAAGTTACCACAGCTTCAATACACAAATACAAGGTTTACAACACACAAAGACAAAGTTTACTACAGCGTCAACATGCAAAGACAAAGTACACCAGAGTGTCAGCACACAACAACTTTACCTTGTTTTAGCACACGAAGACAAAATATTTGTTTATGTTTCGTTTTTACATTGTAGAACACTTATCAGGACGTAAGTAAAACTTTAAAGATAAAAATCTGAAAAAAGACAAAGAGAGATTTGATTTTAATAACCGAAGAAATTGCAGAAAATAACTTTGATAAAATATTAAGGACTAACATTTAAAGGTTTATTTCCTGCCATACAATAGTGACTTGAATTGTAATATTTGTTCATTTGATATATAAATATTTAAAAGCAGTACTTGCTATATGTATTAATGTTAGTTACAATATATATATACACACGAAGAAAGTGCTCCTGTGAAAAATCTTATTACTTCTAAACAAAATCTTCAACAGAAATAGAAAATCGTTTGTCTTTTAAATGTCGGTCATTACAAAAGCATTAATAAAAATCAGTCTTATATTAAAACCTATGATATGATTCTTTGTTAAGTAATGTTGCATTGCATTGACTGTTGATTATTGTTTAATTGTAGTTACCGTTCCGGGAAAAAGATAAAGGAATGCTTCTTTATACGTGATGTATTTGTATAATTTGGAATTAAAAAAAAGATGAACACACCATCTCTGTGCTATTTTTTTTTTTTTTTTTTGCGACATTTCTAAACTGCTGTAAAATGCTCATTTGCATATTGATAAGCTTTACTGTAACTCTGTGTATTTTAGGAGATATTAATTTTCACGTTCATTCGTGTGCTTAATCCCTGGATAATTAATGTTTAACAATTTTGGTATAACACCCCTGTAATCCCGAATTAAAAAAATGGTGAATAAAGTCTAAAAAAAAGCGTTTTACAGTATATTTGAGAATCGATAACGAAGCCGTATTTAAAATTCCAATGCAAGTCGCAATATTTCAGGACTGCTTGAACAATTTGTATAGAAGAAAGGTCAATTTGTTCCCAAAGTTGCTGACTGGAGAGAGTAAAACTAACAAACAAGTAGTTGTTTGATTAAAGTGTACAACTGATTGTTGAGGGCATTTATGTAAATATGTAATAAGACTCGTGTGAAGTAACAAAGAAAACGTGTAGCAACATTATTTTTTATTTATTGCACAATTAATTAACAGTACACATCAATAACGCGTCTGCAAATTTAGTGTTTGGATGTGGCCAACATATGGACCATCATGCTCTATTGTAATAATATATAGGGTTGTAAATAGCACACCCGTAAAGTGCACTGCTTTGTCATATAATCAATCTAAAGGTATTGTAACACAAATTCTCAAGATTCATTACTTCATGCTTATGATTCATGCTTTTAGAATCTTTGCAAAGACGTTATGTAAATACCACCCTTTTATTTGTTCAATTATGTACACATTGCTTGCTTAAAAGTATAAAAGTGATTGTAAGCCTTTGTTTTTTGTTTTTACAATTATAACCATTACTACTATCCATATGTTGTAAAGCTCTTTAGAGTAATTTTACAAATTATATAGGGCGCTATATAAATGTTGTATATTATTATTATTATTATTTATGTCAAATTAAGACATTAAACTTGATATTCGAAGGTCAATACAAATGCAAAAAAAGCCCTTTTAAAGGATGAGTGCGATAAGGCACTGGTATATCCTGTATATCCGAATTTTTACCTCCTCAATTGGTCCATAGATGCCTTATAGTATCACATGCGCAAATACTAAGGCAAAAGCTTGACCGAAAGTGGGTTTTTGAGGTACCAAAAGCGGTAGGCTAAACCACAAATATAATTTCCTGTTTTCAAAATGAGCTAAAACAACCAAAATGATACCACTTTTGGTTTTGGAACCATGTTTAAATCAAACAGGTATATCTAAAAGAATGAAACATTTCCGAAATTCAATCGTAACTTAAATATTGTTTATACAAAACCGAGGATTAAAAAGTCAGGGGGTTATTTTAGGTAATTTTCAAATGAAAAGTGTTTTGTTTTCTCAAAAGAAATTCCTTCCTCATTTATATTTTATGTTGAAATTTACAACTCATTTTAGTATACTTACATAAAAAGGATATTCACTACACACTTTCCTTTTGATTTATACTCAATCATGGCTTCTGGACACATTTCAAACTTGGCAATTTCAAATATCTCTTAATCTTAAGTGAAATAAAAGGTGCAGGACACCCTTTATATGCTATAAGTATAAGATATTAATAGTTAATATTATGCATTATATATCTGATAATATTTGCTCAACACCTGTGGTCCGGATTAGTTTTCTTACTAATCAAAATAACCTTAAAAAGAAAAAATGTCATTTGCCACCACAACTACTGTAAAATGATTAATCTAATATATGAAGCTTGATTTACTGGTAATTTTAAGTCTCTTTACCTTAGGAAAAGTTTCTGTTTTAACTGTTACAGTTACAATTGTTCTGCCTATTTTCAATAATAAGGGCTGATTGTACATAAAAGGCATTTTGTGATAAGCATGTAACTTGCGAATATATTAGTTATATGATAATATTTAATTTGTTAAAGTTTCATACCTATCTCACAATGACGTTTTACTTAAAAACATTTTTTCTTGCGTTTTGGAGTACAACGACTAAAGTGCATCTCATTGCTTAACACCAGATATTTCCTTACAATACATGCCAGTCTATATGAAGGTATGTAAATTAAACAGGCTCAGTAAGGTGTAAATAGTTGTCAGAGGTGCGTATGACATGCCAGGCTGACCAAAAGCCAGAAATTTCATATTTTGTATTGACTAGTATTGTGAGAAATATCTGGTTGGTTGCACTTTAGTCCTTGTATTCCAAAACACAAGAAAAGTTGTTGTTTTTTTAGGTAAAAAGCTATAAGTATGAAAATTTACAATGGATGCGATTGAAAAAGTACAGCATCTCATTACTTCCATGATTGTATCAAATACAATGAAGATCGTATTGTACTTTTTCAGAATTTATTCCATGAAACTCACAACCATTTATCATTAGATGTCATGCTAAATGGTTGTGCGAGATGTGATGAAAATGAAAACAAACATATTCTCCTATCTATATCCAATTACATTTTAATTTCAAGAAGATTCAGGACATTTAACTTCAATTTTGAAAGAAATTTTACTTTTTATTTATTTACACTCTATCTATTTATTTACATTTTATTTTTTCTCAATGTAATTCTTCTGATTTCCAGAAATGGTACATGAATATTAATATTAAGATTTCCTATTTGTCTTCATTGTTTATTTTTAAATATTGTTAGTGAGGGGGGATGGGGTTCAGAAGACCAGTTATACTATTTTATTAAAAAATATTGGGAAACAACTACATAAATAAGAATATAAAGCTTTACAACATGTTAATTATATATCAAACCTGTGTTTAATATGCATAAATTAAACTATTTGGTGGGATTGAATTTCCAAACTCATCAGTGGATGGCCTTGTGTGATACAATGGACTTTTTGGCCTGTATCTGTTGGGTGCGATAATTTAATCCCATCAAATGTTTATACATGCAGCTCCATCAACAAATTATTTTTCTTTTCTTTTCATAATATGTATATATGTATATATAGATACATTATATGTCTTTTCGATATCAAAATAACAGGTTGGAATTTAAACCATTAGATTCAATTATAATAAAAATGAGTATTAGTAGTTGTTTCCCCTAATTTGATTATTAATTTGATAATACCAACTTATATGTGTTTGTATGTGTTCTAATGTCTATGTCTATGCTTGTACCATTGTCTGTTACTATGTTTGGAAAGGGCTTAAATAGGCTATGCCTGCTGTCCAATCCATTTGTCATTTGACAATAAAGTTATTGAAATTGAAAAAGTACAGGAAGAATAAGACAAAGTGTTCCGAAAGGGTAAATGTCTTCTGCTTCATGAACGACACCTACACTGTACATCGATGTCAAATCCAAGTAATGAGCCTAATAAAAAAAAAAAAAGACCAACATACCACACAAAGAAATAGCACATTTCCCTACAGGATCATGATGGCGACTATAAAACCTGTCCTTGCATCTTTGGGAACCTTTTGTTGTAAGTCGGTGTCTATCACGGAAGTTATGACATTCGGATTTATATAGCGTACATTTAAAAACTTACATGACAGCATATAAATACTGTTCGATAACATGATCATAAGTATATTATAAAATAATGAATTAACATATTATTATATTAGTACATATTATATGAAAGTTAAATGCTTCCTTATTTAGGAATGGCAAATACGAATGCAAAAAGGAATAAGATGACAATAAGAAAGATTGATAAGGGGTAGGCATAACCTTTTCGTGAGTATACGTTTTATGCATTCCCTGAACTTGTGTTAGGTATCAAAACTAATGTGAATAGTTTAGAATTTTAAATGCTATAAAACTAAGAATTAAGACACGTGCAACTATTCAGTGGTAACTGTCCAGGGTAAGAAAGGGGTGTAGGAAATTTCTATCTTACAACCCATTTCACTTGACATCACGTCACAATAGCTCAACAATGACCTGACGTCACGAATTTGGAACTCTCTGATGCCACAATGCGGAAAAGGCGACGTGATGAAAGTAAAACCAGTTGCGATATATTTACCGTACACGTTAGAAAGATGAGATTGTTTTTTCTGTGCAAGCATTGTTTGCTGATAAGGGATATGCTAAATCTGGCTGACTGATTCGTTTTCGTCTAAAAAGAGGGGGAAATTGATATTTTCAAAATGGTGGCCAGTCCAAACGCATTTTCATGGTTTCTGAGCTTGTTCTGGTGGTTGGAATGAGAGAAATATACTCTTTCATGACCCAGTATGTAGGATAGGGAAGTTCCACCTCGGACTTTTCAAATTTGGCAAAACCCTCGGCAAAACCTAGGTTTTACCAAATTTGTAAACCCCTTTGGGGGAATTTCCCTATCCTACACCCCTGGGCATGAAAGAGTCTTATTTTCTTCACCAATTCGTCCAGAAAACTCATACGTTGAACATCACGATTACATTCAAAACCATATCTAGACCTCAATATTATAACATACTATTTACAAATTAAGAATGCTTCGTAGTGAAATTGATGCTATGAGGTATTTCACGCATTGTTTATTATCAACATATTTTTTTGTTTTGTTGTAAGACAGAAATTAAATCAAAAGATGGAATGCTGACTTCTCGTTAATAAACCTGCAAGGCGATATGCATAAAAACTTCGTATTTTCGTATTGTACAAAAATGGTAACTGTTGTTATCATACTTGTTAATGTAATGTGGTATTGTTTATAATATAAAAGTAACGGGAACCATCTTCGTTAAAAGAGCCGAAAGATAATGTGTTTAGTAGACGAATTCTCGACATTACATCTGATTTAATTTCTTATCTCTTTTTCTCTGCTATATATAATAGTGACGACAATAAGGTTTTTGTCAAACGTACATTGAGGTCGTTTTGATAGATAACCCTACGTAAGTGGTTATTTGTCAATATGACGCATTCTTTCAGAAAAGTATTGATACATATTAGATTCTCTGGAAAATTGCTAAGCTGTGACCTCAGTACACCATACACCATATAAGTATTATCCTTAGGACATTGTAATTATGTTCTACAATGGGAGCAAATGGCCAAGGTCGACTTGGAGTGTCTAGAGGTTCATTGATAATTTGAGTAGGTCACAATCATTACTCACAGTATCAGTTAAGGTCAAGTTTACGCCTTAAACTATTACAAAGATAAGCCAAGGAAACAGAATGAGTTGGCGTAAGAAATCGTGCAAAATTGGTGAACTGGGCGGATGTGTGGTCACAATAAACAAAACTTACGTCTGTAAACCGTCCAGGGACCATAGCATTATCAACATGAAGTCATATGTTGTGACTTTATTCATCTATTGGATATGTAAGTTATGTTACTGATCGTGGACAATCTATCATCTTTTTAGTGGGTAATATATGTATACATCAACATCACTAATTAAAAACAGTACATTTTATAAAATCGAACAAAGCATCCGTGTTGATAAGTCGCTTATTAAATAAATATCAAAATAATATCTCAATCAATAATTATAAATATTTTCACATTAACGATGACCAAAACTGAAAGTGAACGTTTCAATCCACATAATTATAATTTAAGCTATACCATTGAAGGTATATGGAGTGCAACAGCAGAGATTTTGGACTGTTTCGGACACCAGTGTGGCGGCCATAGTTCGGTAACCAATTTTACAGTTAGAATCAATTTATTTCTTTTTATTATCTTTCGACATACAGTGAAAGGTGAAGCATGTTTATCATTACGGTTATAATTTCTTTCTCAATTTATTGGAATAATTACCTATTCGATTTGAAGGTCCATGCTACGTTGGAATAGGAAAATCATATCATTTACATATCGATTAGCTTTCTGTATTCAATCAGTTTTGTTCTAATGTAAAATTGAAATAACACAGAAAGCTGATCGCACACACAATTTTTGTTGGAATGTCGACCTATTCAATTTAAAAATAATAGTTCAATCAAGTAAAAAAAATAAAAATTGAAAACTAGATTAGTCAATGATGCGGTTAATAGCAGTGCTGTCTTTGGCTCACACTAGCCGTAGTGTATATTAACATTTAATATTCAACTCTGTTGACTGTTCTGTATTTTTCTATTGATGTGCTATGATAAAGGAGTAGAACGCTCTGAAGATTTTTGACATCGTTATATTTTCGATACGCTTTGATTCGCTTGCAATATCCCCCTTGCCACGCAAGTAATTCGTATCCTACTAACAATTGGATTTTACCGTTGATATTCCTTCTTTGACCAATATATATTCATTATTATGCACGCTTGTCATTTTCTTCACATGTTTGTTTATGTGTATGATGTTAAGACTCTCCATATAGTTTTTTTAACATGACTGAATATGTCATTGGGTACATGAAGTTTAGTTATGAAATTAATTGAATGAAAGTCTACAAGGTTATCTTCTGTAGAGTTAATTAAGTGTTCTGATGACGCTATGTTACTTAAATCAGTAAACATAACTTACACAAGTGTGCCTTTACTTTCATCAATTCCGTTAATGTTTGTTATATTATTACTTTATTCTGCTGTATGTTTGTTTGTGGTGGCAATACATGGAATATTACTAATTATGTTACGATGTTATCGAAGAATGAACGCTAACATACTGTCGAAATTATTCAAATGTTGCGATGTCCACCTCACATAGCCGCTCACAGATTGACATCAACATTTAACTCTTCTGTCATTTCTTATACTCCTTTTAAACATACATTTGGTAGTTCTAGAAAGAAATCTGCAAGCATAAATTGTGGGAGTGTTTTAGATTGATATTTGTACTCTTTTTTTACTGCACACAATGGTGCCAAACTCGTTGTCTTCAAATTCTTATTTTCAGAGGCATAATAAACACGATACAACAATCATACAGTATCGAGAACACCGTGTCGTAAAGTTTGTCTTAAAACAATGGAACAGCCGAAATATATTACGGGAATATATCACTCAGATTCCCAGCCTTCCTTCGTCTTTTGTTGTTTATATTTTCTTTTTTACTAATGAACGTGCTATGTTTAAGAAATATCAGAATATAAGCGTGTATCTTGATCACACTAGAATATATCAACAGGGTGAGATAATAATTGAAAAAATTATCATAGAAGGCCCCTTTGGCCTTAGCCAATTAAAACAAAATAATACGATTCCCATATTATATATTCCACCAAAATAGACAAAGATATGTTGATAATATCTATTCTATTGCGTTCAATGTAATGTAAATGTGTTTTCGTGTCTAGATCACTACCCATACACAATGTACGATATTTTATGCATGTTGGCGTACATGTGGATGGTATTTACATTTCAACTTGGCTGTTTTTAACGCGTGCAAACGTTTTGCCTATTTAACCTGGATCTATTTGGGTAGAATCATATTCGCCTGACAATGTTTTTGATTTATATTAAGTTTACAAGAGACGATGAGAAACAAAAATAATGAATTGTGGCCGCTTCCTATGCGCGATTTCCCTCGTCAGCAAGTTGTGTTCAGTTTAAGTATGACTGGTGGAAGTCAACAATCTGGCAGAAGTCGCCTTGTTGATCGTGAATCCGCACAAGCTTCATTAACAGTCGCCATTTTAGCGTTTTTGTTAGAACATAATACATGCATGCTTATGTATTAATGTCCAGAAACACTTGACTATTTACGAATGGAAAGCGTCGTTACATTGTAGGCGTGGTTGAATTCCTAATAACACACTCCTCTCCACTCGACTGATAAATATCTTCTGTTTTTTAATTATATAGTTGTTCAATAGTGACAAGTATACGTTGGCGAATGTAAAACGTTGGACAGGAAGAAATATCGCGATTCAAAGTATCCCTTTTTTTCTTGTCAATTACAGCTATGCCTTGTCAACAAGGAACATACTTTTTCTGGGAAGTGTGTGAATCAAGAGGTAAGTATGGTGAATGTTATTTCATCATTTTCATATGTTTGCATCACGCAATCTATCTTATTGATGCATATTTAATATAATAGTCTTATATCAAGATAAGATAAAGCAGGTAGATACATTTAGTGAAATATCAGCACCGTCAAGTTTATCTTGGAATAGAAGTTTTTCAAGACAAATGTACAACCATAAATTGAAGCATTGAATCGAATTGTATTTTAATAATGATTTTTGGTCATTGCAGCATTGTCGGCACCATTCCAGGTGTACTGCTGGTCACGAAGGACACGGTCCTGGTCACGAGGTTCACGGTCCTGGTCACGAATGCTGTTGTGAGGACCAGCAATGTATCGATAGCCTTCGGGGTAGGGCGTGAACACGATTGAACTGCAAGTGAAGATGAAAGCTTTAATAATATTATATTGATAATAGGTATCATGATAGCATCAGTATTTTCAGACAAAGGACGTCTTTTCTTTAATGTTGCTCATGGAGGTATTGCATGCAAAGCTGTTAATTGCATACATATACATATACGAATGTATAACTAAAACATGTTTCCACGATGTAGTTTTGTGCATTGCAATATTGCTTAAACAAATAATCGAAATTATTGAGAAAGGCTGTTATCAAAGGCTGAAGGACAGAGTTTATTTTTGTATCATGAAAGCAAACACAAATGGTTCCTTTCATTTCGACAAGAGCAAACAGTTTTATACAGAAATAAACCTTTTTATTATCATTATCCTATGTCATATGGCTAATATCTCTATATGTGTACGGTAATGCGAATGTGCTGGAGGCGTAATTTGTATTCTTGTTTTGTTTTGTGGGACCGTGAATATTACAAAACATTTTTCTATTGTGCAACTTAATTTAAATGTAACCGGTGATTGAATCATGCGCGTCTGAATGAAAATTCGAAGTGTCATCCAATCGACCTATTCTGCTTTGTAACAGATTCGATTGCGAGAAATTACAATGTTAGGTTTATTATATGAAGGAATAATCTCAACTTTTTGGAAACTCTAGAAGCTTTTTTCAAGACACTGAATGCTTATTCTTTTCTTTATGATAGACGTCTACACTGGAACCATAATTAACTGCTTCGGAAAACGTTGTGATGAACATCATTCGGTACATACTGTTTTACATTGTTTTGTTAGAAATATAAAATTTCTAATGTAAATATTTGTTATTTTGATTATTGCAAATAAATGTATATGAAGCCATGGTGATACTTTAAAAGTACTTTCGATAACCACGACAAATATCAACATTTCAAAAAATATATATATTCTAAAAGTTTATCATAATAAGGCTTGACGTCATTCGTTTCTAACTTGTTAGCAGCAAATTTAACAATCTTAAATATCATTCACCGTGAAAAAAGCCTAAAGCGTTATGAAATGTATCTTGCTTTTGGTTACAGATGTGCGTTATCGAGAGGGAACACGGCAGGCTAAGTGGGTGGTGCGACGGACCGGATGTCAGTATTATCTTTATCACTATTTTTTTTGAAACATGTTATTTATATTTAAAGTTAAAATATACGAATTGTTTTTTCAATTATGTCACAAAAAAAAGGATTTGTTTATTCATTCAACGAAAAACCCAAATTTGCAATAAAAATGATTAAATACGATTTTGTTCTAGCATCATCATCACTACTCAGCCTGCACTACCACTCACGTTCACGCTCACGTAAACGACCATGATTATGAGTGTCGCTGTATGAACCAGCAGTGTATCGACGGACTTATGCCACCACTGCTAAACTGTCTTGGGAAAATATGTACTGGTAATCACCCGGTAACTCAAGTAGTCTTATTAAACAACAACACAATCATTACAGTGTTATGTGTAAATAATGTCAAATCAAAATTGTTTCAAATCATTTCAACGATTAAGTTTTCAACTATTTGTAGAAACACCGTTGGCTTACAATTGTGTTTTCCTTTTCACTTGAAAATTGAAAAATAGAAACAACATATAAATGGACCCATTCAATAATTTGAATTATGTCAATTACATACCATACCTCCGATTAATAAAATATCGTTTGGAACAAATATATCGTCACCAAACTCATGTTTGTAGCACTAAATGTCATTATTTTTATACATTTACACCAATGCTAGAATTGTGAAATTCACAAGGAAAATGGTCATCTTGTTGGACATTGCATTGAAGAAAGGGTAGGTAACATTAAAATCAAATGAATACTACTAATGTAACAATGATTTAACCAGCAAATGATCACAGCTGGGTCTATTCATCAATATGTTTAAGATATGTAGATGGTCACTGATCAAAGAACAACTGTGTATACTATCATAGGATAAATAGCCTTGATAAGTTTACTGATAACCAAAAATGGCTGACTAGGTAGATAAACAATACTTGTAATGAAATCTGACTATCAAGGTTTCACTACTTATTTAAGAAAAATTTAAGTATGATATAATAAGCGTTCTCTGTCTTTTCGTCCAAGTAAAGATTGTCTATTACGTTCTAATTGTTTTCGATCCTCAGCAATGCACGGAACACCACCGTGGGATATGTACAGGTGAACACGACACGCACGGCCATGGAGGATGCTGCTGTCAGGATGATAAATGTGTCGCTACCGTCACAGGTAATGTCAGTGATAGTGTTGGTTTTCAATTGTTTTTACAAGGTGCTTCAATTTTCGTATTAATAAGTGCCTCTTTACGTCAACAGATGTTTTACTCTGCTGTCGAACTACTAAGCATCAGTCGCACACCGAGGTTGGCTGTAACCTTGTAGCTGGACTGTAGTCTAATTCGGTTTTAATGAAATACTAGCTTGAGATTAATTTATCTACTATTAAAAGTTGTAAATTGAGAATTTTATAAAAGGTTGTATATGCACTTCCACCCATATGTATCATTTTCACATTTTACCTTACAGATCAATTCCAGGTAATTGTTTCAATCAATCTTTTTCATTGTTTCGCTCTTGCTTCAACATTCGAATGGTTAACCTTGCTAGACGAGATCGTGACTATGTTGTTTACATTCTACGATTTAACGAGATACCATAATCAATAGCACAAGTTGTGCAAGAGACATTTATCATCAAGTGTCTTTATACTATCTTACTATTGTAAAATTGCGTTGAACGGACTTTAAAAATGGGACATTTGACTAAAATGTATCTGGCAGGTGTAGCATACCCTCACCGCTTCGGAATACCTGGTCATATACCCCTTTTTCTTGTTAATGGTATCTATTTAAACATTTCCTTTTGTTCATACTTGCCCTATTTTTATGGACTCTGATTTAATAAAAAAAAAAAAAAACGGTTTTGTTTGTATTAATCATTTTTGGTATTTTCTATTTACTCATTTTACAGAACAATAATGCACCATTGACCCAATGTTATGCATTTCTGTACTTATATCTAAGGCCCATAATACAGGTTAAGTTAACCCATGTTTACTGAAATAACGACCCGCTGTAGCTGGTTTGTTTGATTTATTCTTATAAGACAATATCACTAGTTTTTCTGAATGATTGGTATATTTTCATAAAATCTATAAATTTTCTCGCATTAGTGATCACCACTTCGGCCCCTTTGACCAACGCTCCGACGACAAAAGTTGATGCGGTCACGACGGATGCTACGACCAGTGGTAAATACATTTCAACAATTCGTGTATTACTATATACCTACCCTTAAAAAAAAGTTCTTGAATGGATCGTACTCTAAATGATTGAATTTTATTCGCCGTTTCCAAAACTGAAAAAGTGAAATGATATGGATGTCGCGACGTATGCATATTTTTCGTACAATAAATACTGTAGAACGTAAATTGTAACACAATTTCTTTTACGGCATAACAACGTCTAGTTCTTTTTACAGCTTCTAACACAACAACAGAATACCAAATAAGCATCACAACAGTCCCAATTGTCACAGACAGTTCAACAACTGCCACGCCCAATGTCCTTCATTGCCCAACATGTACCGACGATTTTGTAGCCGACTGTCAGCAGAATGCTGAGTGTACTGCAGATGAGGCATGCATGCTGCAGGTTACTGAAGGACAACTTCAAACAGGATGTGTAGAGGTATTTATTTACCTTGATATATATCTTACTGTAAGTCAGTTTTAACGAAGATATTTTTCAGCGGCAAATACCTATACTTATCAACAATTGACCTTATTTATATTCTGAGTATTGCCCAAAAGGATGATATATTAACATTGATGTAAAGATGTTTTAAATTCCTAGATCCATACGTAAACTATTTGCGTTTGATAGCATTTGGATTCCGTCATATGATAATGATAAAGATTACTCGCAGGTTTTGAGACCTATAAAATGAAACTTAATGAATATGTATTAATGTGTTCGTGCCTGTCAGTACTATGTTGTACCCAGATCTCATGTTTTAATTGTTTTGGGAAATCTGGAAATACAATCTCTTTCTGAATTAGGAATTGCTTATCTATTTATTTGTCACATCTGTCGTATGTGATCAAATACATCAATATATATATTGTACCAACGGGACTATAGACATGCTGTTATTTAACTAATGATATGGTAGTCTTCTTCATTAAAAAAACTTTACGGCCACAGACACATTTTGTCACACTTGGTTCCCCTTGATAGACCATTGCCAGAATACATGACATCATCTGTTTTCAATACTACCGGTTCGAAGATGACATCTTTCAGTGTGGTGGCACATTCAAATAACACTTAATTGGTCACACCATATATGAAAATGTTGCCATATAACCGTCACCGTATTAAAGAGGTGTACTGTAAAAGCACGAATAAGTTAATAAATGATAAAATGAATATATATAAATTAACCACAATGTCACTGAAAGTAATCGAGAACCACCATATATCAAGTAAGATATCTTATTAGTATTCTATACTACAGATCAACGAGGAAAATAGATTCTACAAAGACAGGAATATGCATGTGATTAATTTCAGATAACTGATTGTGAGTACAACGCCAGAATAGGAACTAGTATATGCTGCAAGGACAAGAACTGTACCGACAACGCCTTCAGAAACTTTCATGATTGTGAGTAGTGTATTTACCATCATCTTTTACTATTGTCTTTTGTGGCGGAATTAGTGATGTTGTCATAGTGTGTCTAAGATAATTAATAGTGACTGAAAAAGTTAAAGTAAAAACTAAAGTAACTGCATCCACAAGAAAATGTTTTAAAAGTTACTTCAAACAATAGACAAGTACCTTCAAGAACAACAAGTAAACAAAAATAATCTCAAAATCACCCCGAAGGCCGGATTACTAAGTGCTCTTAGATCATTTGGTTATGACACAACACACTTTTTAAAGTCTGTTGTAATATTACTCTGTATTTTTAAATAGATGGCCATACACTTTTTTGGAAGATCTGCTCGAAAGAGAAATGAACAGATTTAACTTATCAGCCGTTCTGTGCATATTTAAAGCAATCCTTTTTTAAATTAAAGGAATTGTTTATATATATATGAGTCGGATTTGGATCAATCATTCATTTGTTTACTAAAACCGATTTAAATACTTTAATGTCACTATAAGGCAAGGTCTAATTGAAATAAATGTATCCATCATTGTGTAGATGTTAAATGTCTCATTTGTTGCCAAAAATGCAAGTTCATAGAAAGAAATATTAACTAAACATTTTAAAGGATATAATTACTTTATCATACCTATGAATTATTTATTTCTTGTAGTCATTTTTACTTGTCCGACTTGTCAGAACACCCCGGACCCCAAGTCTTGTATGGATACGCAATGGAAGTGTGCTTACATGAACAAAGTAAGACGCACACATCTTTTCTTTATTTATTATTTCGGGGAGGTCTTTTTTATATTAAGAAACAGATTATTTTTCGTTATTTTATTACATCATTTAATCATATTTATGTTTTTCTTACATCAGGGCTGTATGATTTCACTTACTACCAGAGGATTTACATCTGGTTGTAACACAAATGGAACGGTAAGTAAATATTGAATAACCTTAACAATAGGTTGATTTTTTTTTTATAGATTTATCAATATATACATATATGTCAATTTGACTATTTTCAAATGTGTTGATAAGACGCGTTCTATAAGAGGTCGTACCCACTCGATCAAAGTTCTATAAATCTCGCTAAATAAAATTCATGTGGAACACCTTCTGTCTAAAATCAATAATTTTGTTTTATAAACCTCTTATACCTTACACTTTTTAAACAGGATTGTCATCAGGCGCAAGCAGCAAACAGCGCTCTGTGTAATATAAACCCTATTCCCTTCGGCTTTAACCCAGACCTACAATGCAGTTTCTGCTGCCACCAGAATGAAAATACCTGTATAGTGAACGCATTGGGAATACATGAAAGTGTGTTTATGTTTCTATGTAACATTTTATAAAAAAAAACTTGTTGTCCTCAAAACAAAAATGAATAATGTATTTTCAAACTAGGATCAATTGCAATTTTTCATGTTGCGTTCATTTTCTGTCTACAATAACTATTAAAGCGGAACGATCTATATCAAATACAGTAAAACGTTTCTCAAACTATAATCATAAGAATGATTTGGAAATAATAACAATTATAAGGTCAGTGGAACATATTGTTTTGCTGTTCGTAGCATCAAAATGTGCATAGGAAGATAAGAGGGGAAACGGAAGATGCTTCACTTATGATTGAAATGTTGTTTATTTTTTATCTAGTAACAACACCGCCCGAAGTCACTGGAAGTGCAGGTACATAACGCTGACGTATATACATGTATAAATAAACAACGTATGTCTATGATGGCTCTTTATAAGATCAAAATCAATCCATACGTGGTATCGGTTCAGATAGGTTGATCAGTCAATCACTAACAACTATTAACACATTATATTTAATAACAACATACAGAACATTGGGTAACATGACAAGAAATATATCTACAAAAAATCAGATTAAAATACTGAATATTTTCCTGCACTTGCGAGTTTCAATAATTCTGCCCTGAATGCTATTTGAGGAAAGGGATACTTTGAATCGCGATCGCTCTTGCCATACAACGCTTCGCATTTCAAACTGCTTGTTAAATACAATGCACATATTGATTTTTTCGAAGCAAGTCAGATGATTGTTTTTTTTTATATGGTATGGGTATGGCTCTATCATTTTAAAAAAAGAGGTTAAAGTAATTTCATGATTAATTATAACCTAATTGAGAAGTTGAATCTGTAACATTCGGATGAAAAAACTCGTTTTGAGTGCTGGTTGTAAACACAAAGACGAAACAACACTATACGAAAATTTAAATATGTATGGTATGCTTAAGATTTTTGTTGATAAAATATATTGTTTGTTTAATCTTAACGATATATATTCTATACGCCTTTATTCATTACAGTAGGCTCAGCCTGTTTCGACATTGATGATGATACGTTCAACTGTAAGATGTTTAACACGACGTACGATCTTTGTGCGCAGACAAGTGGATTATTGGGGCACCTTGTCGTCACCAAATGTCGTAAAACATGCGGTGTATGTACAGGTATGTTGTCACTTACACCTTCTCTCAAACAATAGGATGGCATACGGTTATTTGGTTATAGTTCGCACGTCCGGTTATTGACAAAATATCGTCTTCTTTTACATTTACTCTTGTGTCTTTTCCGGAAATATAGACTACCTTATTTTACGAGAGAATTTCGATAGTCCGGAAGATAGTAATTAAATTTCTTCTCTTTTTTAAGATTTGTAAACGTGATTCCTATTCTAATGATTCACTCGGCGGGCTTCTTAAGCCAATGCCAATCATAAGGTTCGAATCTTCCTGTGTTCATGATTTTATTTCATTTACTGATTTTAGGGAAACAACTCCATTATGTCTAACTTTTAAGAAATTCTCTAAACCTTGTTTCTATGTAATCACTGAAACGCATTTGTGAAAAGATGAACACGAACACATTGATTAATTGATTTATTTAATCAATGACTATCAGGTTATTATCAGAAATCTGTGGTTATAATCTTTTTAGATAGCGACGAATATTAAACTTTGGTTACACATATTTTAACAGTTGTCCATTGAAACAGTGTGATAAGTAAAAACATTACATGAAATGACTGAATATTATACTTTTATATCCAGACGGCAGTCTAACCACTGAAGGTGTAAGTGTTGCCACGACAGGTAAGTTACTCATCTCCTGCATTCCGTGATTATAGAGTATTACCCAGTCAATAATTTATCATTAATTTTGTCATAGTGATTATAAAAACAACATATATGTTATGTCATATGAAATATCGTTTAATCATAAGCCAGATAAAAACATATTCAAAAAATCGTGCTTTCAAAACATGAACCATTGAAATGTTAAACAAAGAATAAACCCTGAAAACAACTCTTTGCAAAGATCAAGTTTTTATGACTTCATAATGACAAAAAAGGAATGACACGATCTCCAAATTATATAAATGCTATAGTTCTCATGTGAAAGCATATATTCATGTTCGTCAACATACACTATTAAAATTATGAAATATGAAATTTGTTTAACCAAAATTGTGGTGTTATTTGTCTTAAATGCGTATATTGAAGTACAAATGATAAGTTGAGATAGAAATTTATCAAAATTTATTATTTTAATAACAGGGAAAACTCTTGGAACTTATCATTTAACTTAAAAATGCATGCCCATTATATGCCAGATTTCTATGATGGCATAATGTTGTTTATGAATTGACAATTAAGTTATAAAACGTCCTAGCGATTAAACTTAGAAATTGGATAAGAAAACAAAAACAAAAAAAGCCCATCTAATTCGATGCTAACCACGGTCATGTTATACTGTACTCTACAGGTATCAGTGTAACGAATGAAGGTGTAAGTGTCGCCATGACAACAACAAGTAAGTAACGCATACTCTGTATTTCGTTTGTATAGGATTTATATATTATCCTGTAAATTAATTATAGCTCACGCTGTTCCAATGCTTGTGTGACAAACAAACATATCAATTTAAAAACATTTACAATTGATCGGTAGACAGATTCCATACTATCGAAATGATATGCTAACTAAACAGTAATGGAAGCAAAAATTGGACCAGTTTGATATTTTGAGCGTTTGGGTCTTTAAACTATTCAGCATTGAAATGGAGAGAGCACGAAGTTCATTCCGGACGTAAAATACATAAAAACCTGCGTTCTCGTAGCACCACCTTATATTCATAAAGGCCGTGACGCGATATCCTTCTGAAAAGAATATGCTTTAGTTTATATGTGACTGTACAGATACGTCAACATTTTATGTTTCTGAAAAATAAAATTGGCCAACTGAAATGTTGAGGTGTTTTGTTTTGAAAATGTATTCTATGTATATACCCTATTTAAGCTAGCAATGGTAAGTTGAGGTAGAAAATCTTGTTCATGTGAGTTACAAAAATACAAACTTGAAGGGAATTAATGTAATCAATGATCGATGTTTTGATATTATAATTCTTTGACGTCATCGTGTTTATTGAGTTTGAAATGGCCATTATGTAATAAAATGTCTTAAGCGTAAAACAAGGTATTGAGAAAAGCAAACATGATAAATTTGTATTTCCAGGTGGCAGTGTAACAACTGAAAGTGTTAGTGTTGCCATGACAACAACAAGTAAGTACATGTAGCCAATGTTCTGCATTCCGTGTATACAGATGTTATACATTATATTTATCGTTGTTCCAGGAGTTGAATAGTCAGTTAGCATGTCGTGTTATACGGTATACCGTTCCGTTCGATTGTAAGCTAGACAAGATAGACACTTTTGGCTTTGGACTAGATCAGGTGCTTTGAGTCCTGAATCCATTCACAATTGAAATGGTAACTCAGAACTTATTCTGGAGACAGAGGATCTGAAAGACAGCGTTCTTTTTACGACGACAAATTGCATAAAGGGAGTAACACAACATTTTAATTAAAATGCTTTACTAGATACGTCAACCATATATATAATATATAACTGAAATTGTGAGGTATTTTGCTCTGAACTTTATATTTACAAAATTGACAAATTTATATCTATTTAGCGAGCAGTTGTAAGTTAAGGTCTGATATTTAATTCATTGATCCTATGTGTTACTAAGATAAACACTTAAATGAGTTGATGTGATAAAGTATGGCTGTCTGATGCCCCATTGCTGGGAAAGCCTTATCATTAGTATGAATTATCCACTAGGTTATAAAATGTCCTGACGATTGAGCTCATAAAACAGATAAAAAGAAAAACATCCAATTCAATGATTAAACATGATCGATATTTCCTCGTCACGGCACCACTGTCGAATAATAAGAGACGCGTCTCTTCATTTCCCCGGTTGGTTTATTTCTTATCGTTAACCATTATGAAGACACGATTATGATGACGTCGTAAATACAAAGGACATAACTATACATTTCGCGGCATACTTTTATCTCCAGATGACAGTCTAACAACTGAAGGTGTAAATGTTACCATGCCAACAACAAGTAAGTGACATATTTTCTGTATGCCGTGTTTATGTAATGTTACCTAGAATTTGTCATCAATTGGTGTTTGTTCACATTATGTCCATGGTTGTTTTAGCAGTTAGTGTGTCATGTCATATAAGTTATCGTCTGATCGTAATCCAGAAATGAAACTTGAAAATAAAATATTTCAACCCTAAATATATGGTGAACACAGAACTTACCATGGCGATAAAAAAATGCATCCGTTAATTATTATGTCATTAAACTGTTAATTCTTTCACATAATGTTTTGACGCTAACATTCCTGGAATGTGTTGTGCTAATTATGAATTTTCCATTAGAAAATATTATGATAAGATTATTTTGTGTTCAGGTGGCAGTGTGACAACTGAAGGTGTTGCCATGACAACAGTTAGTAAGTCATACATTTCCTGCATGTTGTTTCTTTTTTCACAAAATCTCCTTGGGTGCCATTTCATTTACATAACCGATTTTGTTAGCCTTTGATGTCATTTATGTTATTATTATATTGATATGAGCATATAATAACCTAAAAGATAAAATGGTTTAACACAGATCAGGGAATACTGAAGTGTCAGTTAAACCGTTATCTGAACTCTAAAAATCTGTATAACTAGGGCAAAATAAGAACAAAGGAAAGGTTAACATGGAGGACAATTGAACAATACAAGGAAAATATGAATATGTGTTGAAAGATAAGCGATAAAGAAACTGACGCCATATTGATATCAAGATGGTTATAGCTCTCACGCTTCCAATGTTAAAATGTTCACTTAATGAAATAGGTAAATTGAAAACGTGTCATGTAACTTTTGCAAAAAGCATGTATGGTTAAAGCATGTATAAAGGTAACAATGCATATATACTATAATGTCAGTGTTAAATTGTGAATAGAGGTCGAAATTCTAAGCTAATAATTATACAAATAATCTAACATATAGTTTACATTCGAAATGAATTGATATCATTATTAAAACACCTTTGAGCTAAAATTCTGAGTTTAAATGTGTGGATTGAAATATTTATATGGAGCTTCGAAACCAGATTAAAGGACTGCAGTCTAATTCAATGATCACGATCACATTTTACTCCAGATCGCAGTGTAACAACTGAGGGTGTAAGTATCACCATGAAAACAACAAGTAACATCTTTCCTACATTCTCTGTATATAAAATATTAGCTGATAGGCTATCATGTTTTCCTCATCCAAACTTCAAAATAAAAAGCAATCAAAAGGGGGATTCCTATTTGCAGAGGACAATGTAATCAATATATATTTGTGCCTTGAAACAGTCACCATGGAAATGGTGAGCACGTAAATTACTCGGACGATAAACCATCTCAATAACTAAGTTCAACAAAATATTAACAGACTTATACATCTTTCCATTATATCATGTTAATGTGTTGTTTTCCTTACCAAGACAGTTAACGTATTGCTTTTGAGTAGTTTTTATAAATATTAGCGGTAAACATATTTTGTAAATGCGCAATTACGATACTAAAATTTGATGCAAATGGAACCGTAAACATTCATATATCATGTGATATCGCTATTTATTTTTAAGGTTCTCCTCAGCCAACTACTCCAATGCCTTGCATCGACCATGATGTAAACAACAACTGTGATTTGATGCGCGACGTTTTATGTCATGCAAATGATCCCCATATCATGAACTATGCTGTCGCTACGTGTGCTGAGACCTGCGATCTCTGTGCGGAATATCTTCGTAAGTTTGTAAATGTCGGTTCTGAATATCTCTAAAGGTGTTATAATCTCTGTACTGATTATCTCTAAAGGTGTTATAATCTCTGTACTGATTATCTCTAAAGGTGTTATAATCTCTGTACTGATTATCTCTAAAGGTGTTATAATCTCTGTACTGATTATCTCTAAAGGTGTTATAATCTCTGTACTGATTATCTCTAAAGGTGTTATAATCTCTGTACTGATTATCTCTAAAGGTGTTATAATCTCTGTACTGAATATCTCTAAAGGTGTTATAATCTCTGTACTGATTATCTCCATAAGTTAGTTTTGCATCCATACGGAATATGTCTGTGCTGATCATCTCAGTAACTTTGTAAAATCTCTTCACCGGATATCCCCTTAAGTTTGTACAATCTTTGTACTGAACATCTTTATTTATGTGTAAGATCTCTGTACTGAATATCCCCAAAAGATATTTACGATTTTTTTCACAGTGTTATATGCTGTTTTATGTGATATATTTAACCTTTTTTCATAGAGTTCTACGAAAAATATATAAAAAAAAAAGAAGACTTATAAGGTAGTTTATATCTGACAGACATCATAATGTTATATTAAAATATATCTAACGAATATTATAGAGATACTATGAACTATTCAGTTGAATAGCAACAATAAAAGAATACCAAAGTGTCGACAAAACTCTAATTCAAACGCAAACTCGGCCAAATATGAACGGAGTAAAGGTTTACATTGATATTCTTGTAACATACAAGGAGATTACGACAAAGTATCTGGAAGGGAGAGCGACTTCTCCACTATCGATCACACCGGCCAAGTCTGTGTACGATGTAATATCCTGCCCTCAATATAAAATAAAACCTCGGGTATTGAATCTTACTTAAATTTATGCTATATACATGTAGTCTCAAAGATTTGCTATTGATTTCATGGTATAAAATACAACGGAATACAAAATGTTTACCACGACATGTGATTACTTCAATTTTTGACGTCGGCCTTTTGACTTGCCATTTTACTAAAAAAAAATACATTATACATGTACCTACCGATCAATTGATGGTAATGGAATACTGAGGTCTGACAGTTTGTTATATTCATATATGTTTTCTCTATTTCAGAACATTTGTCTGGACGTAAGTAAACATCTGCAACAGTAAGCTTTTACTATTGACACCTTTTTTGTTGTAAAGACTATTATCTTTGTCAGTATTTAACATTAATATAATAATTGTACATCTTTGGTAGCCTTTTGGTTTGTTGGCCTATTGGTAAGAATAATAATACATTTATTCGTAATAAACAAATGAACTATAACGTATATTATCTAAGCAAAATAAGGCAATTTCTATAAAGTTTAGGTATGCTAATCAAATATGTTCCTCTGTTGAATATTTTATTAAGCCCGACTTGTGTTTAAGTTGTTAAATCTCACATCAACTACTAAAATACAAAAGTTGAATTTAGCATATTCTAATTAGAACTAAAAACAACATTCATGATACGAAATTCATATAAAACCGGCGAAATATGTCATTTGTAATCAATCAACTTGTTTTCTGTTTGATTAAATGTAATTGTTTTTCTTGCAGTTGTCGTCACTCCGTAATAAAAGGCAGTGCACGTGCGATACATTTGAAACGTTGTAAAACTTGAAAAAATAAAAAGGATACATCTTTGTTATTGTCCGAGTATTTCTTCCAAATATATGAAAGATAGCTCTGAAGGTTAGGTGTTACAAAGCAATGATTTACCAACATGTCACAACATACTGCATAGTCTGGTACAATATAAAGACACCCTCAGTATTGCATTTCAACAGTTTAGTTGTTTGTGGTGTACGTCCGTTTAACAGCTATGATCGTTCCAGGACGTACCAGGGTTTGCTGTTGAGGAAAACCGGAGTGCCCGGAGAAAAAACACCGACTTGCGGCTGTATCTGCCGACAACTTCATGTAGGCCTCGAACCCGCGACCCAGTGGGAGAGGGCTAGTGATCATAGACGGTCAGACGCCTTTATCACTTAGCAATTGCCCAACAACGTGGTGCTCACATATTACCTTTCACTGTTAAGTGAGAGTACAATTTGTGCGGTGTGAAATACAGTCAATTGTTAAATTTAACAAAATTAATTACATTTTGAATTAATAATAAAGAACAAATACAAATAAAACTGACCCGCCCCAAATCTTCTCGTTTCGAAAAGAAAAACAAGTATTTTGGTACCGTTTAACGGTAACATACTGACCGTTCAATACCTTCCACTATTTTTTCATATTTCATTTTTTTTTGTGTGATCATCCCCGACTTTACACGAGGAGGAATTGGTAATTTTCTTTCGAATAGGTAAGGAGTTGTAAATACCGACCTTAAGTTTGAACACTCAAATGCCTGCTCAGGATCTTAAAACCCTTCATCTTCAAACCATCAATCAGCACTTTAGCCACTTCTGGGTATGTAAAGGATATGACAAATTTCTTTCCGGAGCCTCTTTAGTAATACAGGTGAATCATTGATCTGATAACAACCTGATTAGCTGTTGGGGGATACCTGCGTGAATGTGATTTGGATTTCTTGTGTGTAATGATCAACTCGCTACCACTTCTTTGATCTTGATTTAACACCCTGCCTTATTTCATTTATATATATATATTTACAAAAGGGTGACACCCAACCAAGTGTGATCGGAATAAAAAGATTGTCGCTGGCAAACACTTTGATTATACAATAATAGCGTGTCATGTTATTATACAAATTTTGTTTCCCAATGTTGGTCAAGCATTACTGCACGATTGACACCTTCCTTGAATGTGAGCTACAAATCCACATTAATCGATCCCTACGATTGAGCTGGATCCCTCACCTCTCAAAGTCGAGACAGAATGTAATATTGTCGCCAACCACAACCCTTGAATCACTTATAAGCTAACATTACCGCGAGTGATGTTAGAAGTACACTTGATGAAGTGAATTACCTGATGTGTTGTCTTGCTTGTCATGCTTGAAGTTCCACCAGTCGCTGAAACCAGCATGGCCTGGACTGGGGGCTAGACATAGAGTTGCGAACTGCATTGGTGCTGTTGATAGTTGAACAGGAACTTGATCTGCATTGGAGTTGGATTGGGGGCGCATGGTGATTATTGGCACCCAGGTAGCTTGCTGAACCTCGGCATAGTAATGAATTCGCAAACAAAAACAAAGATAATTATTAAATTAAAACCAATTTTTAAAATGTAATGCAAACATACTAAACCTTGAATTAATTGATAACCAATTTTCTAAAAATTCAATATCACGGATTGATTAATTGAACTGATTTATATAGATTATTGATGGAGATTAACATATCTTCCTATTCCCATCCGTCCAAACAACAACAATGAATGTGCACACTCTTGGCTCCCAGCTCAGCCAAAGCACAACACATGCACTTCCAACAAACCATTTTACGAATCTTCAAGTAGAGTATATATATGCAAATATTACTTCGAAAATGTTGAAGAGGAAAAGACAGTTGCAATTCTTGCATGTCTCAAAGACTGAACAGTATCTATTAAGATTAATTGAATTTTTTACTACTGTAACATAACTTCTTATAATGTGTCACAAGCAATTATGAATATTTTTTTCTCAAAAAAATCTTATTCATTGTAATTTCATCAGTACACAATATTTGTTCAATGATTCCAATACAGTTTGTTTCAGATGCAGTTATAAAGAGTAAAACAGTAAATACATGTTGATTACAATAATACGGGCATAACAGCAGTTAGAGAAAAGTACTATACGTTTTGCCTGTGGACTTGACGTCTTTTTTAAATCCAGATAAACTTGGAGTTCATCCCTGGTGCACTAAAATGTTTACCTGGATTCCGGACGGAGTGTTCTACTAGTCTACATGAAGTTGACTCCGACTACAACTAGTTACTTTAGACTACACACAGTTTTGTGTCATTTTCTCTGTTTAAATGCAATGACGATTTGTGTTAACATCTTACGTGTTTCCCATCAATAAAATGCAAAACAACTTTTTACAGAAAAAATACAATACAACCCTGTTCTTTTCAGAGTGCAAAACTGTTATTTATTTCATTTCAACGACATTTGAGATATGTCTTATAAATGTGTCTGCTTACAGTTCTATACTATCTAGGACATGATATAAAGGTATTATCCTGGCCTTAAGTTCAAAAGATTACTATAATGCCAAGGCTAACTTTCAGGTTTCAGATAAGGTAAGTTCTCTGTAGTATTAACAGTTGTCAAGGCGAACAAGATACGATCTCTGTTCAGAACACCCTGATAGACCTTGGAAATTCGAAGCAAAAAAATGAAGTTATTTCTTCTAGCTGTGTTCCTCTGCTGGTTGAGTAAGTCCATCCCCATATTCGTATAACCATATCGGCTATTTGCGTGTTTATTAGGGTTTTTCACTTATGGTGAAAAGACCTATTGTTTTTGTTATGTTTCTTCTTCTTATCATTATTATTATTATTATTCTGTCATGATTTTGTGGCCACCTCATCTTTTGATTGGTAGCAGATATGTTTATAGTCTTACAAATACATTGTAGGCCAAGGTCAAAAGATGTCATTGCAACAATTTTAAGTACATGTAGGTCAAAAATCGATTATGGCCGCCATGATGTCAAAGAATAAAATCTTATTAAAATGGACATAACTCAAAAACCATTGATTGTACAGCAGTTATGCAATTATATTACTTGTAGACATTTTTCGGGGTTGACTTTTTTCTTATTACATGTTAATACAATTAAAGTAAAACAAAATATACTCGCTTTTGAGTCAAAGATCACCAATCTTTTAAAAAAAATCATTTTTCAATTATTTATTTTTTTGTATACGATGGAAAATTGCATTACATTGTCTTCATATTTTCTGTAACATTCACCGTTAACTTCTACGCCATTTTGTATATTTCCTTTGAACTTTTTGCAAGATCGACAATATGTTAAAACCGTTTTCTTTTGATATTCTGCTACGCAGATTTCATCCAGTGTAGGTATTTATGTTTCCCCAGTCTACCTACCAAATTTTTGGAAACTCTCTATTTGATCCCAAATCGAATATGGCGCCATGACGTCATATCCGTTTTTCTACTAATTGCAAAAACTATTTAACGAATAAAGCCATCAAAATGCATCTTTGGATATGATATGTAGACAAACTTTTTCTCAGGAAATATTTTTGTGTCAATGGTCTACTTTCGGTTTTTGGTAGGAGTCATAGTTAAAATGCACTTTTTTCGGGAACAAACTTTGAAGAGCTTGATCACAAGTTCTTCAGGGTCTTGAGCCTTGATATTTGATACGTCATATGCTGAGAAGGTGCGCTATCACGTTTGACAAAATGGTTGATTTGGATTAATGATCAAGGTCATAGAGGTAAACAGTCTAAAACAATAAATAGTTAATGAAAATAAAGCTCACTTTCAGAACTGTGGTTCATATTATCCTTTTCTTCATAGAAGGTAAGGCCATGAGGTTTTAAAAAAAAATTGTTTGTGATCAAAGACCAAATCATTCCTAACGGTGAAAAGCTCGTCAAATTGTTAGCCAACAATTATCTAGTTTAGATTTGTAATTATCCATGAACATAATTATTTAAATACGGGTTCAGCTTAAATATTGACTTAATTGTACCATTTACAAACGAAGGCCCTTTACGTTATCTGTTGAGCCCCTTTAGTTCCAAATTACTCCCTTTTAAACGATGTACAAAGTTAAATTAACAAATTGACGAAGAAAGGAAGTAAATGGTTAGGAGCAATTTGAACCAAAATTCTTACATTTAAAGCACTTTGTTTAAATTTGTTGTTGACAATATCCTGTAAATCTAGGTTGTTGTTCTCAGCGAAGTGGACTCGGAGGTTTACTCTATCTGTTATAATGTTAAAGGTATCGGGTATACTACGGCAGCGGTTAGGACGTGCTTCGGAGAACACTGTAGCACTCACAAACCGGTACGTATCGAAACATCTCATCACAAATGACGGTATTTCTGGGGTTGGGAGGTGGGCTCTGTATCCCAAGGGTATCTTTAATTTCACGTACAATGGGAATGGAAGAATATCTGAAGATATACACGCATTATCATGTTGCGTTTAAAATTAAAAATATTTTGGAATTATTAGAATTAAATAGATCCATACTATGGTATATAAACAATGGTTCAACTACGTAAACAAAGGTCAGTAATGAGCAATGAATTGTTTTTATTAATTTGTTTTTCATTTCATTAAATTGGTTCGTTCTGAATGTTTACAGGTATGTCTCGTGAACAAGGAGCATGAAGTAACTGGACATTGTGAGGCAGTGGAGGTCAGTGTCTGCTATTTTATTTAAGATATGGACGGAATAGGAAACAATTCATTCTAAATTTGAAAGAGTGGGCTATATGCTTGCTTTACCTGACTTAAATGTCAAAAAAATCAAGTTTTAAACTATCTCATATAAAATAAAATAAATAAAATACTGAACAGTAACAATTTAAAAAAAAAAAAAAAAAAAACTCCTTAAAGGTCACCTGGAACTGTATTCTTTATTTGTATACAAAATGACAATAATAAAGTTATTATCAATAAACCTGAGTACAAATGAATATGTTCTAAGCATTTAAAGTGAGAAACTCATTCAAAATTCATTCTCTCGAAATCAAACACAATATTTCATAAAATATAACATTATGAAAATATGATTTACAGCACTGTCATCATATTTCGGATTGCACTGCCAGCGGTGGTCACGAACACGGACACGGTCACGAGCACGGACACGGTCACGAACACAATAAATGTTGTTGTATGGACCAGCACTGTGTGGACGTACTCAGCAGTAGTATGAATGATTGTAATCAAACTTAATAACAAAACGAAATAGCCGAACCGTTAACCAGATATTCACATGCTGGTTGTTGAAAGAATTAACGAAATAAAATGCGATACAACAGGACATGTTGTTATAAGACCATCAGATAATTGTTATTAAAATAAATAAAACAAAACAAATATAACTTTTTAATCGTCAAATAGTTATGTTTCGATATTTAAAATAATATCTGCGTTGCTGCTCCTCATAAAACTGTAAGAAGAAGAAGAAATGACTGAACCATGACTACAATGTAGACTGTACAAGGTGAAATACAATTATTTAGAATCTTGTCTTTAAATCGACTATGGTCGACCGGTAGCGACAATTTATTGAACATAGAATACTATACTTAGTACACTTGACATACATCATTCATTGGATATCAGACCAGATTTTTTTTTTTTTTTCTAATTTTGTTTTGCTTGTTTACCCAAACAGCTGCGTCGCAGTTATTCACCACACCTATCTCCTGCCTCGGAGCCTCGTGTACAGGAGACGAACCGGTAATGTCAAATAATTCCTACCTAAATAACCAATTATTTTACTGATGTATACATGTATGTATGTATGTATCGCATTATCACTAAAAACACCTTAAACGGCTGTCAATTTTTTTTCTATATTTGATACTTTCCAAACTCTTAAAACATTACCGACAAATGTGCTTTCTGGTACTACCTCATTATGTGAAAATCGTTCAGACCTTGACAACAAACGACGGGTACTCCAGATGACTGAAAAAAACACGGGCCCTAAAGCATTTGAGACATCCGAGTCAGAACACATATGGCCTCAACAATCTTTGAGATATCTGAGTTAGAACACATAGAACCATCACTGTTTTTGAAATATCTGAGTTAGAACACATAGAACCATAACTGTTTTTGAAATATCTGAGTTAGAACACATAGAACCATAACTGTTTTTGAAACACATGTTAGAACACATGCATGTAGGACAACAGCAAACTTTGAGATATCTGAGTCAGAACACATAGGACCATAACAAATGTTCAGATACCTGAATTAGAACACAAAGAGCCATAACAATCTTTGGTATATCAGAGTTAGAACACGTGGGACCATACAAATCTGATATATCTGAGTTATTATACATAGTCTTTTAAATTATGTATTAATCAATTGGATAGGGCACATTACCTCATTTATTGTATCATATTTATATTTTGATATATTGTTAAGATATTAACAAGAAAAATATTATTTACAGTATTGTCAAATTCACCTGGACACAGCCAATGTTTTAAGAGGGCACTGCATTGAAGAACGGGTGGGTAACATTTACGTCAGGTATTTACGTTGGTATCAATTCACGGTAAAAGGCATTTTAAAACCATAGAAGAGAAATAATTTGGAATCATAAAGCAGAAATATAAATTTTACCAGAGATATGTTCGAGCGAAAAAAATGAATGCTGAACTTTATATGTGTATTCAGTGACCGGTAAAGGAAAGCATCAAAACAAAACGGGACGAGACACATTTTTTATTGATACTATATTATAGCCGCAGGTTATTTTATAAATTGCCATTGACATCATTTGCCTCTATTCAAATCCTATTGAAAAGAACAAACTTACATAATTTGTCTCATTTTAAATGTTATCTGGTTGTGAATTTCTAATAGTAAATAATTTGTAATTTTCCTCAGCACTGCCTCGATCACCACCATCGACTGTGTCAAAGCATACATGACACGCAAGGACACGATGGGTGCTGTTGCCAAGACCAAACCTGCATTTCGACCATATCAAGTGAGGCATATGCAAATTTGCTTTCTTTTTCCTGCGATTTCTCAGTTTTGAATTCGTAAACCACACAGCTGAGTTAATTCATTCTCATTACTCAAACTGTAAGCACAGTCTCTATCAAGCTGCATCTCTGGGAACACTGTATTGTAAGTTTTTGTTCCGTTAGCAGCCGTCATTTGTCAAGGAAATATTGATATTCGGATCAAGCGTGAATACCAAATCAGCTGATATATGATAACAACGTAGTTAGGGAGGCAGGAATATAACCATCACGACAGTGAACAAAAAATCGAATTAAACACAATTATAGCACGTCTGAGTATAGTTATATGTCTCGTGTGTCATGTAGTCCAAAGTTAAAGTGGCTCATGTAGGTGAACGAACAAGTTCCTCCAGTCTGGTGGTACAGTATATTGTAGAGGGGAAAAGATCAAATGGTCTTAAAGAGGAAACATTTAAAGGGGTGATGTTCAAGATTAATTAAAAAATGTTTAGATTTTTTCAATAGTCACGCTCCTCTAATTTCATGTCTCAAATTTACAGTGTCACAATTTAAAGGTAAAAAATGTATAGATTGGATTCCTAAATAAAGGATGTTATAGTTTTTGATACTGAATCGCATGTGTTTAACGACATAAGATTTAATTGAGGTCTCACTAGCTCCTTTTTTTTCAATTGGATATCCGTCATGTCCTCCGACAACAAAGAGATATGATACCGTAGTATCGCATGTCTTAATGACATATATTAAAACGTTTACAGGCTGTTCTCGGTTGTTGTTATTGACCTGTCGTTTACAAGCTGTTCTCGGTTGTTATTGACCTGTCGTTTACAGGTTGTTCTCGGTTGTTATTGCCCTGTCGTTTACAGGCTGTTCTCGGTTGTTATTGACCTGTCGTTTACAAGTTGTTCTCGGTTGTTATTGACCTGTCGTTTACAGGTTGTTCTCGGTTGTTATTAACCTGTCGTTTACAGGTTGTTCTCGGTTGTTATTGACCTGTCGTTTACAGGGTGTTCTCGGTTGTTATTGACCTGCCGTCTACAGGCTGTTATCGGTTGGTATTGACCTGTCGTTTACAGGTTGTTCTCGGTTATTATTGACATGTCGTTTCAGAGTTATTTTTGTATATAACATCTTCACTTACAAAAGAGCTGACTTAACTTGATCAAAATTTTTAATAATTATGATATTATATTTTGATAGAAGTAGAGCAGTCAATGTCACTGTTTCCAGCTGCTATATTCATGTTAGATACGGTGGTGAGAGATTAATCCGAATTGGTCTTACATAGGTCGTACATATAGAAGGCTATACTATAAATTATTACGCCTACCTGTGACACCGATATCCATAGGCTCAAGGAAAGGTAAGATTCGTGACAAACTATAAACCAAGGCCATCACTACTCGACCTTGTATATTTATCATTTGTCTATGAAATCGAACAAAATCCTTATCTGTGGATATTAGTATAGGTCACTAGAGTCAATGGGTGTCAGGGGTAACGTACGTACATGGCTTCTAATGGCGTCATAGTCATTTGTTCTCAAAAAGAGACGAGTAGCACGGTCGGACGTGTTGCGTGGGGAATTCGACGTCAGCAAGGTCAAGGATATCTCTTGTATTCCTTTGAAATTCATTCAGATGGTGATAGAAAGTCAAAGAAACATGAAGGTATTCATCTTGGCTTTGTTCTTCTGCTGGACATGTAAGTTACCCTGGACACAATGGACATACTCAGTTCAATTATCTTGTTAATGTTACAATGTATCATCATTAATATATTGAAATTATCCTAGCACATCCTCTACGAATTACTTATCTTAAACTAAAACAAATGTTATCTTTTTTATTTATTTATGATATGTTATCGTTCATGAATTAGAAGTCTGGCAGCTTTGGAGTTTTGTGCTCAGCACTTTTTCAAAAAGTATGTGATTACGTGGGAGTGGATTCATATATCTTTTCTTTCATTTATGTCTGCATATTTCATATATACCCATTCAATAAGCAATGCGTTTTTGAACAGTTCATTCAAACATTTTTGTATTGACACAATTTTACATGGTACAAATATATTCAAATACTGTAATAAATTATACTTCAACAATACTTTACTACTATAATTGTATACACACATCGTTATAAATCATACGTAAGACTAATTTATTTGGCTCACTATATTTGTGACATCACATCCGGATGATCTGTTTATATCTAAAATTAACGATTCTTATAATAGTATTCGATAGCATGCTATCAATCTGTCCTTGTTATCTTCCTGTGTGACTTTAGTGTATAGTGATATTTTCTCTGAGTAATTTGGTAATTTGGTGGGTGGATAAGGAAAACGTTGATGTATATAGATATATATGTTTTAGGCTTCTTACTTTCCAAAACACCCACCACTTAGTTGTGTGATAACTAATGTATGCGACAGCTGATATTTAATTTATCCGAATATCTCCTAATGCTAGCATCTCCTTATCTCATGCACAGTGAATAACTTAGCTTTGCCTCTAAGCATAGTCCTTAATACAGATAAAGTTTTATCAGTGATGTATTCCATCTTTGCGTATTGCAGAGTTATCTTCTCTTGTGAGCAGGTATTGATTGTTACGTCATTGGTTTGAGTGAGAAAATTACGTCGTTTTCTCAAAAAAAAATAACGTCACTCTCACAAACAAATGACGTAACAATCAATACCTGCTCACAAGAACAGATAACTCTGCAATATGCAAGCACGGAATATATGCTTTTACTTTTTACATATAAGATATTACTAATTTAGTTATTCATTTAGTTCACCCAACAGTACATTTTACTATATTCTACTAGTATTGATGATTAAAATATATACTATTAAAAAGATGTATCAAAGATGTTATGCTGTTGATCAACAGGTTAAGTAAATTCTATCAGTTTTACATGAGTACTGACCTACAGAAATACTGTCAGAGATAAAAACTTTATTGCTAGGAAGGCCTATGATCTACGGTCTTATTCAAATGGAAATTGTGACCACGAGCAATTATTTCATGACGTCACTACTTTTTACTAAGTTTACTAATTTTCATCTCGATTCGTCTATCATCAGAATGTTATCAAAGCAAAACTGCATAGTTTGATTAATTTAAGCATTTGGTAATTGTTGTGATTTGTTGTGATTTTAATCCCAACAATAACTTACGTCAACCACCTTTATTATATACATGAGCATACTGGAAAATAAGATCCTTATACTGATTTTAAAAAGCTGAAAACGATATTTTAAGTGGCTTGGAAAAAATAAAACTGTTTTTGGGTTCAAAGCTTAAAGTTTCTGTTTTACGGGTTTTTTAGACCATTTTACCTACAACAACATTTAAAACTGACATATCTATTCGTATATCGTGAACATTATTTATACTTAGAATTAATCGTAGGTAGGTGAAAATACAACATTACATAGCTTACGATATCAAAGAAGTCTGGATGCTTCTTCACCCATAATTTCTGTTGAAGGTGCAGGCGCAAATGCAGCGGCGCATTTGAATTGCTTCGGCCATGTGTGTGATGGTCATAGATCGGTAATTTAACTTCTCACGTTTTCGTTATTTCATTTGAGCTAAGATTGTCTGTTTGTTCACATAAAGTATTGAGTATCTGTATCATCGTGTTCTGTATAAATGAAAGTTTCTAAAATTCCTTAATACTACATATCGTCTTATTAAGCTGTAAATAAATGTACATTAAAGGATATTTTTACAAAACCATATTTCAAAGAGACCTTATTCCACTGTGTTAGTTGATAACGAAATATACCAAACAAGGCTTTGCAACCACGTTTATATTTTCTATGATAAAATGATGTTGTAGGACTTCAGAGTACTCAAATATAACGTTCAAATATAACCGAGCGAAATCCTCGCATTACATTGTCTTTTTGATGAAGTATGGTATTTAGTAACATTCGGTAACACATATTCGTTAGTTAGCATTTTTTTTTCTTCAGACGCTTTCTTGTTTTTTACAGACTTGTCTCGTTAGAAATGACCATGAGCTAACAGGCAGATGTGAGGATGCCCACGTCAGTACAAAATACCTTCATTGTTTAGATATTGTTTTACTTGTGACTTGTGTTAGAGCCACCTACCTTATATTTAATACCTTCATTGTTGAACATTTCGTTTTATCTGCGACTTGTGTTAAAACCACTTCCTTTATATGAATATTTTACTAGCTGTATGTAGAGATTAAATCATTATCAAAGTATCATTCTCATCAAATATTTACAAGTATCTCAACTTCAAACTCTTTCTAAAAGTCGATGTCCAATGTAACAAATATATAGCATTAAATATGCAGAGATATTATTTATTCATGAGATCTGAGCGATAGAAAATTGAATAAATTTGCACTTTTGTTAACACATTAATGAAAAAGAATATGCCGTTACGAGGAGTGCATGTTGAATAATAGCCATACGCCTTACAATACCATCATTTTACATTAAATTTACATACATTTGTAATTAAATTATTCAAATTTCGTTGAAGATTGTCCAAAGCTAACTTTTTCAACGAAAGAAAAGATACGAATAAAACAATATTTGTTTTCAAACTAATGACAGATTTATTTTTACGTTGTTGACATAAGCGCTTTATAGGACGTGTAAATAAAAGATAGCTATTCATACTAACTCAAAAATGGAATAAATCACTCAATATGTAAATACTAAACTATATATATTTGCTTTCAATTAAAAAAAAACATAAGGCCATCCTTCCTTTTTACGATAAAATAAAAAAGCATGTTTCTTATTCTAATTTGTTTTAGTAACGATATGTTTACAATATATAACATGTCTGTTTTGATATTGTAGGCTTCTAAAAAGTAGAAAATGAGCCCTGCTCACAATATATATCAACTAAATTTGAAGATTTTATCATCAAGATGTTATTTTATTGTGTCCTTTGATATTGTTGATTTCATGTTTTGTCTTTGAAGCTGTTTTTTTTTTATATAATCGTAGGTGTGCGATGATCATTTCTTATGCAGTGCAAACCATCAGCCTGAGCATGGTCCCCACCACGAATGCTGCTGTACAAGCCAACATTGTATCGACGCCTTTAAAGGTATGTATAGGGCGGCGTTAAGTTTATGTCATAATTAGAAAAGAAAAAAGGGTGTTGTTTTATCATTTGCTTAGAGAATAGTAGGAAATAGAAATTAAACTTAACAACAACAAAATCAACAGAATCCTAAATCTGAATCTTAATATATGAACCTCATCCAGGTGGCAAATATCATAAGAGGACCATCTGAACCTCTTATTTCATATGAATATGTGCAAAATATTTTTATTTCGAGGATCTTAGTATATCACTTATACGTCAAATCCTCTTGCAAATAATGCTTCTTTTAACTCCTTTTTTATATGCACTGTCATATTTGTTTCTGGTTTTTTTAAACACAAGGAAACCAAATTTGATACGAAACAATTATTTGAAATATGCATCAATATTTTGGATAAAAAAGTATTTATTTGCAAAGAATTTCGATAAAGCTTTACTCAGAATAATATGGAATTGTGATATTTGTTAAAAACAATTGTTTTTTCATTAAAGTTTTTCAGTCTACAACACCATTGACCTGTTTTGGACAAATGTGTGGATCTTCTCATTCGGTAAGTGTGTTGACTGTTTGGTTCTGTTTGGGATGGTTTAGTATAATCACTGCCTATTAGAATACCCTTGGAATATCTTTGCTTTTAAAAAATATCCTGATGTTTTTCTTTCTATTATGCCACCAACAAAATTGAATTTATTACATTTTTACGAGTGGAATATCAGAAATGATCAGTATGATATATAAAAACGTTTATCTTCAATTCAGTAAGATCCGATATCGATTTGATATCGACCAGTCAAAATTGTATTTTCCACTTACTGCTGCATATTTTCTGTTCGGTAACGGGTAAAGCGATGGTAGAATAGCTGGTTGTTTTTATATAATTTTAGAGTATATCATAAGGTACTAATATAATTACGGGATTGATAACATTCTTGTAAGCAAAACTTTCCACAGGTAGAATAACTTTGATTCGTATTTTCAAAAGTGCACACAGCCGTGTTGTTAAGCACGACTTCATAAGAACATGGTGTCAAATTTTAAGATATTAACTCCCGCACTTTATTTATCGTTTTACTGGTTAAAAATTAAATAAATGGAACATTTAATGGTGTTTACGTTACATTTCTTATTTGTTTCACTCGTATAGCAGAATATACAGATATTTTCATCCTTGATGTTCTGCCATTCAATTGAAATATTTATGGTTTTTCACGAGAAACCATTAAATAACCTCTAAGTACCGTGCACATTGCAAATGTAAGCTACGCACACAGATAAGATAATGTATTGATAACCTTTAATAAAAAAATAAATACAAAAAATGTTATTTACAGATATGTCTTGTCAACAAGGAAGAACACGGTTTTACCGGACGGTGTGAGGCACCTGAGGTCAATATATCCCTATCACCTGTTCAATGTGCATATTATCAAAATCTATTATTTTTATCGTTGGATATTTTAGCAGTGTGACGGGTTTAAAGATTAAATGGATAATAATAATAAACGGAGTTGCTCATGAAAAGAAAATCCGTATGAAATTATGATATACCATTGCCACATCGAATTGACGTAAATAGCTATATGTGCACATTCAATAGTTTGAAAACGAAACAATATAAAAAAAAAAAAAGGTTTATACCAAAGTAATTATAAATTATGCTGACGGCTAGAAACGGGTCAGTTTAATTAATAACTGAGATTAATTAAACACTTTGGCTATTACAAAATCTCCGAAAAAATATTTGAAAGTCTCTGATGGACAATCTTAATAAACATAAAGTATCGTCTATGAATGACGTTATATTTAATTACAATAGCCACATGTTTTGAATCAATTAACAAAAAACACCACTTACTTTATGTTCTACAATGTTTTAGCACTGTCACCGCCATGCTAAATGTACTGCAAGTTACGGGACGGTACATGGCCCTGGACACGAGTGTTGTTGTATGGATCAGCAATGTGTCGACAATCTTAGCAGCGGTAAGTGTTCATGATTCTAATCCAATTTTTACAACAATACTCGATTTAAGATCTTACTAAAATGGCATTGCAGAGGGGCAAGAACAAGAAATTACAAATGGAACAACATAAATGCTTTACAGATTATTATTTTTTTATAATTTTAATGACATTTTATATCAAATATGTTGTGAATTCTGTTGCTTCAATTTAGAAGTATTTACTAGGTAAATTTTATTTCAAAAATGAATTATAGCATCCAAAAATTTATATTACACTGACCTGTTTATGTTTATTTATTATCATTTATTGTAACTTACTTCACCAGGTACTATTCAACATTCAGGGAGTTTTCTAACATGCCTTGGGCAAACCTGTGATGCGCACAAACCGGTAATTTAAATACCAGTGACTTAACTGAGAATCAATAAAATAGTACAAACATTTTATCTGAAAGCAATCTTACATTTCTAAATATTGTTTTACAAGAAATCGCATCTGATGCGTTTTCATAAGGTTGTTACAATATTGTTTTACTTATCGCTAGAATCATTTATTTAGCTTATTCTATTTTATTTATTTATTTCGTTGATGCCTACAGTAAAACAAAATTAATATTTACTTTTCTACGTTTTTGATTTGGAACTTTTTCATCTTTTTCATTTTTAATTTTTTTTCTCCAGGAAATGATTTTCAAAAGAATGACAATCGTTATCTAGAGTGTTCCGAAACATGTGGAGATAAAAAACATAAAGAGAGATATGTCTATATAACCCTTTGTAGTCTTAAAACACTCTTGCTTCAACTTCTTTGTAAAAGTTCTTGTAAAGCATACCTTAATAAAGTTATTATATATTATTTTTAGAAAACGATAATGGACTTTTAAAAATGTAAATCATTTTGTGTTCTTAACGTTACTTCTACCCTTTTCACATACATACCCCAGTATTGTAGGCTACATAGCGGAGATGATCACTTGACCGGGCACTGCATGGAGGAGTGGGTAGGTAATCTAAACATTGATATCAGCTTATCAAAGTTTATGCGCAACCATTTCAGCTTCTCTTCGATGAATGTTGTGAATTAAAATAAAAGAGGAAAAACAAAACACGGACCCTGCACATATCTTATTACTGAAAATAGATAAAGAAACAATGTTTGTCATATCTAGTTTAAGTAACCAAATATGTGAAAATAATGTCCCAGTGACGAAAATGCCAGACCTCACTTATAAAACGATGGTTTTAAAGAAATTCAATAAATATGGACTAAGAAATATATTCAAATATCAAAGATATTTTTTCTAGATATACAATTTATTGCCTCTTGTCCTTCCTTTGCCAAATAAATATAAATAATGATATTATTCTTTTCTATAGCAATGCATGGAACACCACCGTGGGATATGTAGAAGTTTATCCGACACACATGGCCATGAAGGTTGTTGCTGCCAACACGATACTTGCATAGACACTATAACAGGTGCGTGCTCGATTTGATAACAAAACAATTAACAGAAAAATACAAAATCGATAGTGGTTTCAGTGAAAATTGTACTTTAGATAGTTTGGGTAATATAATGTAGTTTTAATTAAATACTACTAGTTGTGGTTTAATAACAATGTAAGGTGACCTAAATGTTGTATGTTTAAACTTTTCTATCAATAAGCAATATATTTCACCTTCTAGCTCTTTTTGTTTGTTACATTTTTTCCAGATCATCTAAGCATTAAACACAATGTTTAAAAAAAGGTTTTGTATGTTCTAGGTACCCATCACGCTAGCAGCAGTCATACATCTAGTACCTCTGGAATATTTTCGAATGATCTACAATGTTCCGAGTGTAGTGATATTGCAACCCAAACCTGTGTTCACGATCATTTAAAATGTGGTGTGAATGAGGTCTGTAAAATAAAGCATACTCTACAGGGAAAAGTGTCTACTCAATGTGAATCAGTAAGTACATATCAGTGTACAAACAGACATGAGGAAAAATTAATGCATATCATATATCAAATAAAATATGCAAAACTTGTAAAATATTTCGGCGTCGATTCATCATAATGACAGTCAGCCTTAAAATAAATATTGAAGGAATATTGTTTTGGCTTTAGAGGGGAAATATCAAGTCATCCATCCGCCCGAACGGATTTCAATATTGTAAGTTGAATAGTAAAAAAGCAGTTTAGGCATTCTTACTGAAATTTATAGCATTGCCTGAAAATTATCGAAATTTAAGATGGTTTATGTGAAAGTTAAAATTTAACGCATCTTTTAGGCATGATAATACAAAAACAAATGTTCATTCCATTTCATTTTAACGCCCAGTTATGTTCTCTTGTAACAAGATGAATTATTCAGATAATGCTTAAAATGGTAGCACAGTTTATTTTAAAACAATTTAATTTGCAGATCCTGCAATGTGCCACAGACAAATTTGCGGACGCGAATCAAAGACAAACACTGTGCTGTGGCAGTGATCAGTGTACAACCAATGCAGTCCATAACATTACAAGCACAGGAGGCATGTAAACATACTATACCATCCACCGAATTAGATATATTAGTCTAGGAAAATATCCCTCACTCATTGGTGCATGGCTACATGTTGATACTTTTCATTTCTATTCAAATTATGTTCAAAGTTAATTTGTAACCATTAACATTATCATATCAACAAATGCAAAACAGCAATGCAAATACAGATATGCTACCATGAATGGCCTTGAAGTCTTTTCCGCTCGTAAGAAGTTAGACCATGAGTCATACAATCGAAAGAATTCAAATCCTTTACCTATAACCATACATACAACAGATAAGCATAACATTTCAAATATACATACCATGGAATTGGTTAAGGTCCCCACCCTATAACCACACATACAATTACTGAATATCAAAGATAAATACACATATGCTACCAGGTTTTGTAGCTAAGTCCCCGGATCAAAGCATTGAAACGGTTGAAATCCTCACCCAAAACAATATATGTTATTGTTGGGCAAATAACTATTAATACAGATATGTTACATTAATTGATCCCTGGTCTTTAAGTCTTTTGGTAATAGCATGGAAGAGATTGAGATAGTCACCCTCTTACAATATATACAATTTGCTTGGCATGAAGAGTGGAATACCGTTATGATACCAGTATTGGCCCTTGAGACTGGTGCTATCCTTTGATCTTTTTTACATTATAACTTTTGGTATGAATATTTTGTCATAATTGCTCAAATATTGACAATATGAAAGAACTGGCCTCCTGGGACCGTTTGTTTTTAGTGCAAAAGCTTTTTTTTTATTGTTTTGCTTTATTTCGTAAATGAATTGCACACCGTTCATAATTAATTTGAATGTGCTCTTTTACCTACTTCTACCCTTTCTTTTTTTATTAGGCCACCTGACTTGTCCCATCTGTAACAATCAATATCTTGGAGATTGTCATGGTGACCATCTGTGTGCTGCAGGAGACTCCTGTATGTTTGAAGCCCAAAGCGGGCGGTTGTCGACGAAATGTGTAAGTTGACGATGTAGTGTGATAAAAATATGGCCTTCAGATATAGCTTGCCTCTGGACTAAGGTTCTCTTGCAGACATAGGTATCTCGGGCTGATAAAGAATCTGATTTGGAAAGAGGCATGGGATATTCTTCTCATCTTATACTTACTTTCTAAACCTTTTTATTGCAATAGTTTTCAGTGAACAGTTAATCCCCGACAAAAACCTGTATTTTTGGTATCAAAGACTGTATGATCGCATTATATTTTTTCTTGTGCAATCATATTCACATTGTTTCTCCTTCTACTAGCCGACAGGGAGGTGCTTTAACGTCAGCGTGAAGTAGTGATAATGACTACATTATTATATGTATAAATATATCGTATATATATATGATATTATCTAATTAAAATATTGTTTCCCAACAGTCTCCCAATTGTCAACAGCAGGGTTCGAATACCTTCTGCTGTAACGATAACTACTGCGTTGCTAGCACAATCAAGCATTTTCACCAAGGTCAGTTGGATCGTTTATTTTGTTTCCGTTTACTTCGGCGATAGTGACGATGATTGTCATAAAAACAATGAGATAACAACAACTGCATAAGTAGCAAAGAAAAGAACAGATATTGATCATTTTTTATTAAACAAAATGATATTTTCATTTAGATATTTTAGGAGCCTGTATCACTTGCAGTATTTGTGTTTTATAAACGTTATTTCATATTACAATATGTTCAAATGTTTTGGCATGCTATTAAGTAATCGTATCCATCATATTTGATCTTGTGTATTCTTTATTATAGTTTCATTTGTGTGTCCACGATGTACTGACCAATCGAAGGATGTCTGCCTTGCGAGCACGATCACATGCTCCGGAAGTACTGCGGTATGAAAAGTAGATCCTCTCTTAACAGAACAATGCATAAATCGAAAATCAGTTAAAAACCTTACCGTCCATAAGCTACTCTATTTTACAATGAACTTTCGTATTTCCCTCTTCTTAAGAACTTTAATGCTAAATTAATTGAACAAAGTCAAACGACTCTTGATATGTACTTCCTATTCTATTAAAATGCTTCGATATACTGTAAAAGTTGAAATATTTGCGGTGTAGCAATGCACGCAAACAGTTATTTATAGCTTACAATTGTCACCGCGAAACATTGCTGCACCGCGTTCAGTTTACAGAGTCACAACGCGAACCTTTGTTCTCGCGCATGTTTCCACTTTTACAGTATGCCATTCAGGATTAAACGTTTTTTCTCTGTAGATTTGTAATAATTACTACAGTGCATGCTTTGTTCCCCCAATTGCGTCGACGCCACTGCAGCTTGGGTTTAGAATAATGATTTGAATTCCAATTTTGCTTAGGTAATCTCATGCTTCTTTGATTTACTATAGTGTATTATACAAATCCCGTCCATAGCATTCATCGTAAAGCAATTAAACATTTACTTACGGTAAAATGTCTTCGTTGTTAATCACACAGTTGACAAATCTAAGAAGTGTGTTTGTCTAAAAAGATATGGTACTATGGTATAACAAGTATTGTTTATGCTTCGATTTGAAAAATACACAATAGCGAGGGTTGACCTTGGGTAAGAAGTCCTGAGTGAGCAGTGTAGGCTAAGTAGTATTAAGTTTGTCAGTTTGGATAGGATGTGTTTAGTATTGAATTGGTAAGCAGTTTAAGTAGAATTGTTGGGAAACCAGTGTTGTGGAGATAGATAATGTTGTATGGGAAAGCAGTATTCGGTAAGTCGTGTTGGATATGCAGTGTTTGATAGGCAACGTAGGAAAGGCAGTGCCGTTTTGGTACGTAGTGTTGGGAAGGCAATGTCGGGAAGGTAGTGTGAGGTAAACAGTGTTTGGGTGGGTAGGCGCTATTGGGAAGACAGTGTTTGGCAAGCAGGTTTTGGTAGACAGTTCGGTAGGCAGTATTTGGTGGGTAAGCGGTGTTAAGAAAGCAGTGCTTGCTAAGTAGTTCTAAATCCAGCGCCATCGTTCTGATTTTAAAAAAATCACATGTAATATAATGTACCTATAATGGAATTTGTGATGTCCAATGAAGTCGCTTGTTCAAAGTTTTAAGTGAATTCAATCACAATTACCAAAGTTAGTCTATCTTCGTGCTACAAACTTTAATATTTATTTTTTAGGGCTGCTCTATCGTCAGAACAGAGAGAGGGTTTACTGCAGGCTGTTCCAGTAGTTTTCAGGTAGGTCTCGATACTGCCTCTCAGATTTGCCGGTGGAAATATTTTTCTAGAATAGTTGTGTTGTGATTAATATAAAACATATATGTTTTAATTCCTGTAAATAACGAAAAACTTTTAAGATCCATAGCTCTATATCAGTGAGATGTAAATATTTCTTATCCTGGTAACAAAACGGAATAGTCAACACACATAGAAATATGTTCTTTTTTAAGAGGCAACATAAATAAATAAAATAGATAAATCAAAATACATCGATGATTAATTAATTCAACATCATCAAATAATAAATGTTAATAAATTTTGACATATTAAAAAAAAAATGTTATTAATTATTGAGTTTTTATAGGACTGTATGGCAGTGGCAAATACAAACAGTGCAGCGTGTGCTTTATCATCACCCATCGACAACACTACGCATTGTCAGACATGTTGCCAGAAAGATGACGCAGACTGTATAAGGCAAGCCCTATCTGTACATAGTAAGTGAGATCTACCTGTACACACTAGCGAGTGTGTCTTTGTCTTGCCTAAACGAGCTCCAAGTGTAAACTCTGCTTGGTGTATCAATACCTAACTATATATACTGGTGAGTGTATTCCTGTTTGCCCTAGAGAAGGCCTTAGTAAAAACATTTATGAATGTGTTATCCCTAACGATAGGCATTGATGAGAGTACATCAGTATATCGGTATGTCATAAGAATGCTCTAACTGCACACTATGAGGTGGATGTTTTTTCTATACGCCATACGCACGATATCCTCATTGCTGTGTGTGTCTGTATTATCTAATGAAAGTCTGATTTTACACATATCGTATAAACTGAACATGCTTTTGTATGCTTAAGGCTTCCCATACTGTATACAATGACAATAGTGTTTGTGTTTGCCCTTTGCAAATTCTAACTTTGCAGAATGGTTGGTGTGTTTCTGTATGACCTAGTCACGGCTTAGCTTTACTCATTGTTGAGTGTGTCTTTATCCTTTAGGTAAGACCTCGCCATACACATAAGTATGTGTATATCTGTTTGCCATAGAAAGATACATGAACACATTTTTGGTGGCTCTTTATAATTTAGGAGAAATACTTCTACAGGTATTATGAATAAATATCTGTTTAGTTAAGGTTGTAGTTTGTTTTTGGCAATTATTAAATTGTTTAAAGTTAGAAGTTTCAGCTTTGTCACGATATGATTTATTAACTATAGGATTTAAATGCTTTTCTTTATTCTTGCTTAGATACAGTAAATAATATGCCTACAACAGGTGCTCCAACAATGAAGGCCTCCACAGTTGTACAAACACTCGAGCCTACAACAGGTGCTCCAACAATGAAGGCCTCCACCGTTGTACAAACACCCGAGCCTACAACAGGTGCTCAAACAATGAAGGCCTCCACAGTTGTACAAACACCCGAGCCTTCAACAGGTGCTCCAACAATGAAGGCCTCCACAGTTGTACAAACACCCGAGCCTACACAAGGTACTCCAACAATGATATAAATAACAGTTGTACAAACACCCGAGCCTACACCAGGTACTCCAACAATGATGTATGAAACAGTTGTACAAACACCCGAGCCTACACCAGGTACTCCAACAATGATATATACAACAGTTGTACAAACACACGAGCCTACACCAGGTACTCCAATAATGATATATACAACAGTTGTACCAACACACGAGCCTACACCAGGTACTCCAATAATGATGTATACAACAGTTGTACAACCCCCCGAGCCTACACAAGGTCCTCCAACAATGATATAAATAACAGTTGTCCAAACCCCCGAGCCTACACCAGGTATTCCAACAATGATGTATACAACAGTTGTGCAAACACCCGAGCCCACACCAGGTACTCCAACAATGATGTATGAAACAGTTGTACAAACACCCGAGCTTACACCAGGTACTCCAACAATGATGTGTGAAACAGTTGTACAAACACCCGAGCTTACACCAGGTACTCCAACAATGATGTATGAAACAGTTATACAAACACCCGAGCCTACACCAGGAACTCCAACAATGATGTATACAACAGTTGTACAAACCCTCGAGCCTACACCAGGTACTCCAAAAATCATATATACAACGGTTGTACAAACACCCGAGCCTACCCCAGGTACTCCAACAATGATGTATGCAACAGTTGTACAAACGCCAGAGCCTACACGAGGTACTCCAACAATGATGTATACAACAATTGTACAAACACCCGAGCCTACACCAGGAACTCCAACAATGATGTATACAACAGTTGTACAAACCCTCGAGCCTACACCAGGTACTCCAATAATGATGTATACAACAGTTGTACAACCCCCCGAGCCTACACAAGGTCCTCCAACAATGATATAAATAACAGTTGTCCAAACCCCCGAGCCTACACCAGGTATTCCAACAATGATGTATACAACAGTTGTACAAACACCGAGGCCTACACCAGGTACTCCAATAATGATATGTACAACAGTTGTACAAACACCCGAGATTACCCCAGGTACTCCAACAATGATGTATGAAACAGTTATACAAACACCCGAGCCTACACCAGGTATTCCAACAATGATGTATACAACAGTTGTACAAACACCGAGGCCTACACCAGGTACTCCAATAATGATATGTACAACAGTTGTACAAACACCCGAGATTACCCCAGGTACTCCAACAATGATGTATGCAACAGTTGTACAAACGCCAGAGCCTACACGAGGTACTCCAACAATGATGTATACAACAATTGTACAAACCCCCGAGCCTACATTAGGTACTCCAACAATGATGTATTCAACAGTTTTACAAACACCCGACCCTACACCAGGTACTCCAACAATGATATATACAACAGTTGTACAAACACCCGAGCCTACACCAGGTACTCCAACAATGATATATACAACAGTTGTACCAACACACGAGCCTACACCAGGTACTCCAATAATGATATATACAACAGTTGTACAAACACCGGAGCCTACACCAGGTACTCCAACAACCTTATATACAACAGTTGTACAAACACACGAGCCTACATCAGGTACCCCAACAATCATATATACAACAGTTGTACAACCCCCCGAGCCTACACCAGGTCCTCCAACAATGATATATACGACAGTTTTACAAACCCCCTAGCATACACCAGGTACTCCAACAATGATAAATACGACAGTTGTACAAACACCCGGGCCTACACCAGGTACTCCAACAATAATATATACAACAGTTGTACAAACCCCCGAGCCTACATTAGGTACTCCAACAATGATGGATTCAACAGTTTTACAAACACCCGACCCTACACCAGGTACTCCAACAACCTTATATACAACAGTTGTACAAACACTCGATCCTACACCAGGTACTCCAACAATGATGTATTCAACAGTTTTACAAACACCCGACCCTACACCAGGTACTCCAACAATAATATATACAACAGTTGTACAACCCCCCGAGCCTACACCAGGTCCTCCAACAATGATATATACAACAGTTATACCAACACACGAGCCTACACCAGGTACTCCAAAAACATATATACAACATTTGTACAAACACCCGAGCCTACATCAGGTACTCCAACAATGATATATACGACAATTGTACAAACACCCGAGCCTACATCAGGTAACCCAACAATCATATATACAACAGTTATTCAAACACCCGAGTCTACACCAGGTACTCCAACAATCATATATACAACAGTTATTCAAACATCCGAGTCTACACCAGGTACTCCAACAATCATATATACAACAGTTGTACAAACACTCGAGCCTACATCAGGTACTCCAAAAATCATATATACAACAGTTTTACAAACACCCGAGCCTACACCAGGTACTCCAACGATCATATACACAACAGTTATTCAAACATCCGAGTCTACACCAGGTACTCCAACAATGATATATACAACATTTGTACAAACCCCCGAGCCTACATCAGGTACTCCAACAATCATATATACAACAGTTGTACAAACATCCGAGCCTACACCAGGTACTCCAACAATGATATATACAACAGTTGCGGGGTCATCACTAGCTCCAATATTTGATTCAATAACAGATTTGATCCAGGCCCTTACTGCACATATTGATAAAACGACTATATTTAGGCATGCCCTACCTATATATAAACATTGCTGAGTATGTCATATTCTTTTTCTATACACCCTGGTGATGGTGCGCCTGTATGCTTTTGCTTTAGATATTTGTGAATGCGTTGACCTCANTACAAACGCCCGAGCCTACACCAGGTACTCCAACAATCATATATACTACGGTTGTACAAACACCCGAGCCTACACCAGGTAACCCAACAATCATATATACAACAGTTGTACAAACACCCGAGCCTACAACAGGTACTCCAACAATGATGTATACAACAGTTGCGGGGTCATCACTAGCTCCAATACTTGATTCAATAACAGATTTGATCCAGGCCCTTACTGCTCATATTGATAAAACGACTATATTTAGGCATGCCCTAATTATATTTAAACATTGCTGAGTATGTTATATTCTTTTTCTATACAACCTGGTTATGGTGCGCCTGTATGCTTTTGCTTTAGATATTTGTGAATGTGTTGACCTATGTTTGTACTTTCAAGGTTTGTTCTAACTATACACATTGTTTCAGACATGTTCTTACTATACACATTGATGAGTGTGTTTATTATTACCTGGTTGCATCATTACGTTACATATTGATAAACTTGCTTTGTATGTCCGAGGTACACCCTTACTTTACATAAGGGTGAGTCTGATCCTGTATGCTCCAGACACACTCCTATTATAGACATTGTGTAATCTGTACGGTTTATGTTAATCACAAAATGGATATATATTTTGTATATGATTTTATAGACATTTGTTTCATAATTTAATATGTTGTTTTTATTCCAGAAACATGCATTCATTTGTATTATTTCAACGTTGCCTTATCTTTGATGGAATATGCAAATGGCTATTATATATTTTCTTTGCGCGTGTTAAGGTTCGACGACTGGTATGCCTATAACAGTTGCTCCAGCAATGAAGACTTCACCAGTTGTTCAAACACCCCAGCCTACACCAGGTAAACAATGATATATACAACAGTTGTGCAAACACCCAAGCCTACACCAGGTAAACAATAATATATACAACAGTTGTACAAACACCCCAGGCTACACCAGGTAAACAATGATATATACAACAGTTGTACAAACACTCCAGCCTACACCAGGTAAACAATGATATGTGTAACCGATCTGAAACATCACAGCCTCCAATACGTGTTTCAATAACATTAAGTCCAAATCGTGCAGTTTACAAAAACAGAGCCGCCCCTGAATTCAACAAGAGGTAGCTACTTGATTCAAGCATTTCATAAAATAGAAGCAATTGGGGGAGGGGGGATATTTCCAGCTGAAAGGAACTTAAGGACAAAAACTGTTTACACTAATCCAAACTTTATATGTTGAAAACTACAAATGAGTGATAATTCTGTAAGTAATGAATTTAGTTCACATTCGTTTGTTATTTGACTAAAACAAAAGAACCTACCACACCTAATGTTATTCTATATCTATCTATAGGTTGTCCTCCGTTTGACCTATCTTGTCCGTCAGGATGCGCTACATATGATGTACATTTGTGCCCTATTTGCGATCAGAGTACAGTTGATTGTCGTGGTGTGTACATATTTTTTAAACGCCGGCTTCAATGTTAGTCACCATAAAAATCCCGTGTGCCCTGCCGGGTTTATACATTACAATTATCAATTTAAAAAAATATTACTTTCTTTCTCTACTGAATCTATATTTTATCTAGTTTGTTAAGTAGTGATTAAAAATAATTGACATGGAAAAAACGTTTCTCCTCGGATTCTTAATATACACGTTTAGACAATTGATTCACTAACAACTATTTAAATTCTACCTCGACTTTGTAATTGTAGTTGAAAACTTGTTTCATTGTTAAAAAATTATTTTGGACAATATCCTGTTAGGTGGTTTTGTATGCTGTGCAGATAATACGTAAAATATTAAAATATAGCTTTCTTTGTCTTTTTTTAAAATTTATTTTAACATATTCATATAAGTGAATATAGGAATGTTTTTTAGGAGGCACCAATGCTCCGGTTGTAACTGCGTCTGTCACTACAGCAAGTCCAATGATAACAGAACCAACAACGAGTGGTGAGTTATTCATCCTTCTGTAAACTACGTCCGTCCGCTTTGTGTTTCTAATATATGGAATCCTGTCATTTTTATGCACAAATCGAATGTTTAAGGTTCATCATACGTAAGTTTAAAATGTTAAACATATCGACGAATTAGTGTGCTTGTTGCATGCTAATTAAAGGAAACTACTATGCATAGCTAATGCGTTTATTCTTTAACAACGATGTCATCAGAACATACTCAGTTGATACTGGCTTGGTGACAGACGCTTTTTGCTGAAATGACATTACATACAGTGTCAGTGTGACCACATTACCCGGCAATTAAACCAGCTACGTTCCCGAGATAGTGGTAAATGGTGAGCTGGCATGCTTACTTATGATCAGGAGACAACAGGGCTTGTGGTGTTTTACTGCATAAGGGATTAATTATAAAATGTTCATTGATTAGTTTAGTACCTAATATCCACTATTGTCACATCAGCCGACCCTAAGTGCTTTGACGTTGAAGACCAATATTTTAGTTGTGTCGAATTAAATGCCATGACCGGACTATGTATACACACCACTGGTCATTTCGGAGAAATCGTTTACACGAGATGTAGGAAGACATGTGGCCACTGGGCCCACTTGTATAAAACATCTCAAAGTAAAGGAAAATCTCAAGCAATGTATTGTCTATGGGAAATCTTAGACTTGAGGAAATCTCAAGAGTTAAAATGTTTTATACAAGTGGGCCCTGTTATGGTATGGCTCCTTACAATGCTCGATTTTTTGTCAATAACCAATACATCCTAAACTCGGATCCTTACAAACTTAATAGGAACCATAGTATAAAAATGTTTAATAAACATTATCTATGAACTGTTTCTAGTTTACTTTCTGTCGATTTCATATGGCATCTATGTATCATCCATATGCTATTTTCTAAAGGTGCAAAAGTATGTTTTATTATTTTCATACATTTCTATATAATTGTAAATACCTATATAAAAATATGATTCCGGAAAGTCGGTAACAGCTTAAAAAACCATAGGGAAACATCTAACGATTAAGATTGAAATAGCAAATCAATACTTGAACCAACTACCAAGTAATACAAGTTAATCAATTATTATTCAATATAATATCAATAATTAAAATCATAGTTTGAATTATGAAGTAAGAAAGTAACTATTTAGTTGAAGTAGTCGATGCAGAAAGCCAAGCGAAGAATATATACATATGGCCGTTTTTGTAGTTTTGGACCCATCAGTAGTCCTAAAGAGCAAAATAATATAAGCATTGTCCAAAATAATCTAGTACATTTGTACAAACACAGAGCAACTTTAAAACTTTTATGTCATTACGAGTTAACAACTTTTTAGCTACGACAAATTATCAATATTTAAACTAGTATGTATTTCATGAATACATTTGATAACGATTTACAGCTTGATTGTAACGGACAACCTCGGGGACTGTTAGCCTACCAGTAGAGATTTCGATAAAAATGAATCACTAGAAATACCAAGTAAAGATCACATATTTGAATATTTAATATAGTTGCAAAAAAGTAAGTAAAGTAAGAAAGTAAAATATTTTATAGACTAGATTGTTCATTTAGTAAACAGTAGTTATATAAAATATCAAAAGAATATTATAAATGAACGTATTGTTCCTAAAGATACGCAGAAACCAACAAGGTAAAACTGTTCATTATGACGTAACCATTTCAATTACAATTGTCTACAAGAAATGAATCATTTCTTAACTTGTACTTCATGCATACCGTGCCGGAACATTTGCTTCTCACAATTATAATACGGCTATCGTAACGACCTTTGCAAATGACAGATAAATCCACAGGAGTATGCTCGTCTTTTGTTGACTAGCTGGTTTTTTTCTATTTTTAAATGTAAAGTCAAGGGACAGAATCCTGACGACCTGCATATGTAAATGCAGGCCTGAAAAGGTACATTTGTGTCCCTTCACAACGCACCGAAATGACTGTACGCACAACGTGCAGATCGCCTGCACTGTTGTACAGGATGGTCCCATTGTGCAATAAAATGCGATTTGCAAATATTTCATTTCAACAAATTTTATGTTCAATAACAATTGTAGATGTGTGCATAAACACATTTGCATACCAATACTTACGCGAGATTTCATTAGTATCTGGCAAGTATTTTCTGTATTTTCGGGTTTGTAATTAGGCTCGCAATGAGAAAACCCAAGGCAAAACGGTCTTTGACAGTAATATTGTTCATGTCATAATAACTGATTTCCAATGTTGAAGTGGAATGCTACATTCTAGTAAGTTTGTCCGTTGTAATATGGTTTGCTTCCACTGTGTTGGTAATTAATGTTATCAGTGGTGCTTATATCTAGAACACATAAACGTTAAAAGAAATAGCTTTGAAATGAAAAATATGTTTATTTCTAGACACAAATACGTTTGCAACGTCAACGGCAGCACCTGTAGTAACATCAACACCGACAGCAACAGTTGCACCAAAAGGTATTGTTTAATAGAAAGGGTTACTTGCATATCACCCTAAACCTTCTGTTTCTCACTGCATTTAATAGTAAAAGGCAACCAATGTGCCCCACTCTCTGAGAATCGTTAGCTTTCTTCTTTATCTTCTGTTCAGGGGACATTGAAGAAACTGGTGTTGATATTTTCTCCAATTAAAACACTCTAGGTACATATCTTTCATTCATGCTTCCCTTAACTTCCATTTCGCTGGTACATCCCTATTCCAATCCACATCGTCGCCACATGACCTTAGTTGTTGCGACGAGTAAACCTTATCCACAAAGAACAACGCAAAAACAAATAACTTCCAATGTTGCCAAAAGTGGAAATTATATAAATAGCATCTTGACTTTGATTACGAAATAGGATGATACTAAATAACAGACTTCAGAAAAGAAGACATATTTGGATAACGTCCTTGAAACGTAATATTCTCTTTTTTAATTTGTTATTCATTATACATATATATCCTATTATCACTCCTCGAATTTGTCATACTGCAAAGCCATTTATAGGTTGGGACTCGTGTTTGCCAGAAAACAGATACTGTGTAGGGCGGTAATACGGGAATCTTCGAGTTATCTCCCTTACAACAGGCGCGCGTGCTCTTATGTACCCCGGCAAGGATACTAACATAGCTTCAGGTACCTTAGCAATTCGACCAATCACCGTGCGACATTTTTCTTTGCAGTATGACAAATTATTGTGTCCTTTTTCAAAAGCTTATAACCTTCCATTTTAGCTGTTGATGCCACATGTTATTCGATGTGATTTACTTTAAATCTTGTTAATTTCATAATTGGTCAATAAATTTTACATTCAAACCTGTTCCAGAGACCATCTTTACTAAGAGACCGCCTATGTAAAGAGAACTCTTTTTATGCCACCCTGTGTAATTTTTTATGTCTACCGTAGGGCCGTATTGTAAACTAGACTATGTCTTAAAATGAAACCCTGTAAAAATAAAAGATATTATTATTATTATTATTTTATTATTATCAGTGTTATTATATAACTTTCAATAAATGACCACTATGTGGCTTTCCTGCAGGTGTTTTCTGTCTACGGTTTTTACTGTACATACATTTGAAATATTAATTTAATCTAGTGTGTGTTGATAATGACCCCCAAAGCTGCCAGGCCTTACACGGAACCCTGTGTACAGCCACCGACCTACCTATTCACCACCTGGCCGTCGTCACCTGCGCTAAATCATGTGGTTTTTGCGATGAATATTTACGTACGTTATTTACTGTTTACCATACGAAATTTTTTATTGTAAAATAAGTATGAAAAATACATGAAATTCTAGTAAGATATGTGTACAGTTTATTGACCTTTTCAGTTTGAATTTTAGGTTTTCTCGTTCAACGTACAAATGAGTAACATTGATTTGTATCCCACGTAAAGGTACTAAAGTAAAAGCTTATTTTTCTCAACAGAGCACAAGCTATCCTTATTGAATTCCTTATAAAAATAACAGGAAACATATTTTTTAGCTTGAGATACGTTTATCATTATATGTCGTTTGTAATGCACAACAAAGTTGATATTGTCTAGAACTTGACGCCACAACAACGGCAACATCAGCGCCTCCGGTAACAACAACACCTAGAGCCACAACTACACCCAAAGGTACAAGAATATTTCTACAAGATATCTGTAAAAACAATTCGGAGCACAAGGTCGTATTCGCCTTATATTGTTTCAGTATCCTCATGACATATATTGGCCTAGTTTTATCGACTTCAATTCTAATTAACGTTTTGCGACACTTAGTTATTCTCTCCTTATTGTTTATCTACAAATATATGATGATCGTTTGGGATTTTCTAAAAAATTAATATTGAAGATAACAAATGATATATAACTTGATTACCATTGATATCTGACGATAAGTTGTAGTTGTACAAACTAGTCCATTCGTCGTTATGATGATAATAAAAACATCTCGCGAGTACCTCTGCCGTGGTCGTGCTTTGAATAACCTATGCGCGATAATGATAATTTGAGTTCACAAAAAAGACTTATATAAGATTGGCGGTTAAGTGTCGTTTAGATAACGACTTCGATGTCAGTCAGGAAAGAGCAAGCAAAAAGATTGTCTTTCTTCATATTTTTTTTTTTTTTTTTTTTTTTTAAAGTACTGCTTACATAGCATTAGTTAATGTTGATCCACAGTTAAGAATGAGATCTACGGTACGTAATTGACTGGTGCCATTTAAAAATGTTAAGACACAAAGAATAACGGATAGGTCTTTCATCAGATCCTTTACATCTTCACAACTGTGATGTCACTAACTTCGTTATAATTTAGTGAAGTCATATAGATACGGGAATATATAAAGCATTAAACTTTTAGCTTAAAATACAGTGACAAATAGTTGTCAAATTTTAAAATTACGTGATCCAGATTGTACTTCATAGAGATGATACTGTGTTGCACAAAAAACTAGTCTGACTCAGTTGGTACATAGACATTAACGTATTGAAAACACAGTCTGTGGCGAAAGAGTGTTTTTGTTTGGCATCGTTTTTCAAAGCCAGATGATTGGCGAATCTGATATTTCAAGTGGCAAAATAAAATGTGAAATTTGATTGATATTTGTTGGAAAATGAAATTTGGATGATAAAGGTAAATAAAGTCTAGTTTAAATATGTTCTGGAACATTACATGCGTGCAAGTATATCAAGCCTATTTGTTATTACTGCCTGTGTTATGTTCTAGTTTACAAACTTGTATAAACTCAATTACAAAGACTATTTTAACTAGTAACATATTCATTATTTTGAAGCAGATATGTTTTGTGATTAATACATACATGTTTTTATTTTTTTCAAAAAAGATCAAAATCTCTCTTGAAAAAAATGTGCTTAAAAACTTATTTAGAAAATGAATGCTTCTTTAAGATAACTCAGTTGCATGCATATAAAGCATGTTTATTATATGTGTGTGTTTTGTTGCAGTATGTATGGATATGGACCCGGATAGCTGTCTGCGTATGGAGGCAACATTATGTCCAGCAGCAGATCCAAACCTACACCATATGGCTGTTGCCACCTGTGCTAAAACGTGTAACTTTTGTGACGAGTTTTTGCACTTGTAAAGTACTCTACGGACATATTTTCTACAAAACAAAACATTCAATAAATTGTGTATGTCGACAAATTGGCTTTTATTGTGATTCTGACCTTAAGCTGTTAAATAAACGTCATTTTTATTTATTTAAAAAAATTCTTATATTCTTCTCTTATTGTCTGTATATTCGGCAATAGAGGGGTGTCACCGTACCGGGATGAGATGAGATGATGTTGGCATACCCAGATAAAGTTATCAGATGTGTGTCAACAGATTGTCAGGTATTGTTTGAACATCTGGGTCAGGATAAACAGATTTATTTTATTTTTAAGCTGCTGATACTGAATCTGATAGATTCTATCCTGTGTAATACTGTTTCCAATCGAGCATTCTGCCGTTTTTCTCAATGACCGCCACGAAACTCACAATTATCCTAAGGTTCATGTTCAAACAAACGTCGGGAATCTAAGCTTGATGGTGTGCTTTGTTACAGGTACTGTGATTGGTTAATAGTAGTACATGTGACCCAAAGAACAGCTGTCATTATCAGTATGAACGGCTGTTTTTTCCATGGGATTACTTTTTAATTTTCCAAATCCCCATTTTTCTGTTAGCAATTTAATTGCTGCTCGAGTTGTCTCCAATTGCCTAAACTAAACTCGCCGTGAACAAAAATTGCAAGATCTACTGAGGTTTTTTTAATTTTCAATTATTGTATCTTTGTCTTATTGTTTATCTTAAGTATAAGAACTTTTAAAAATAGATAATTTCTAAACTACAGTTGACCCTATTCACAACAGTGACATGTACTGTCGTCTGACGAACCGACGATATCAATCTGACAAAGTTCAAACCGACAATATTTCGATGTCACATATGGGTCCGCACAGTGATCAAAATAGAGACGATATTAAGAATTAATCTGTATGTTGCAAACATTAGAAAATATCAACTGAAGTGAATTTGCTTACACATATACTGTATTATCCATGAATTTCCTCCAACATGACGAACGTCACTAGGCCTAACACGCTGCAAATAGCAAGGCCGAGACAACAAACCACCGAACACCGAGGAACGCGGGGTTGGAATTACGACACATACTGTTCCACCCATTACATACAAATTAATCTTCTTTCACATTTGTTATCTATGAATGATCCATGACACAACAAATGTGACAAGTCTAGCTACTGCACTTTCCGTCATAATAAACACCGCTTTCCTCAAACCGGGTGACAACTCCGGCCTTTCCGTTCTCCAGAATCATCATCCGTGGACTTCACCGTACACTGTTGTAAACTTTCTCTATGAAGAATCGTCTAAGTTTAAGTATAGCTCATACGCAAATTAAACCACAGTTTCTTCAATGTTTTTATCAACAAGGTCGCTCAAGCCGGATGAAGCGGCCCTGAGGAAATTTTCACGTGAACTAGTTTCGAGATACCCGAATTAACGAAAAGACGTTGCGATGTTACGTCATATTACTACACTAAATTTATGAATGAATGAAAAAAGTTCATAATTTAAATGACGTTTTCCTTCCCGTAGATAGTGATTTGGAATGTAGGATTGGATCTGGATATTTCCAGTGTTCATGCAAGTATGAACGGGGAAAAATTACTTCAAATTACCACACCAAATGAGCGGCCGTAGCGAAGCGATGGCCGTTCATGTTAAGTGTGTAAGTAAATTTCGTCCATGTATAGAGAGATCGTCAGTTAGTGTGTAATCAGCTAGACTCACCATAGTTTATTGGAGCGACAGAACAAGAACATATGTGTTGGGTGAGTTATTCTAAATTCATCTATATTTAGTTGTTGTAGCGTTTATTTGCAATTGAAAAGGTGATGTTTCATGTTAGGGTACTATCAATGCTGATAACTTGTTACCCCGAATTCGACTTTCAAAAAATGCCTTGTTACTTAAGGTTAATGATTACCTTACAAACAGGCTTAATGAATACAGTAGCACTGCCAAAACGTTTAACTATCTTCGCATTGGAAACTGTTTTTCTGACATGATAATAGCTTTGATAAATCATTTCTTACAAGAAAACCATGGCTTCCGGGACTTTTATGAAAAAGTTGTAGAGATGAAATAAAAAGCATATAATCAACAAAAGTGTTCTGAGTGTAAACATTAAGCGAGGCTAGACCACGATATTTGAACCCTGGCCTTAATTTTGTTATGATCTTGCTCTAACTAACTGAGCTACCTGGCCAACGCAAGCGTCCTAACCAAACAGTGCTTCAGTTATATCCAAAACGAAATTTAGAGGATGTTACCGTATATACGAAAAACCACAACCAGTGGGACAATGATGCTTTAAGAGTCGAATCTGTAACGTATTATGAAGCTTTTTATAAAGTCCTTTCCCTTTCGCTAAAGGACGAGCGAAATTGAGAAAATTAAGGATTCCTGTTCAACTGCGGGCAAATCACAACAGAATTCCACTGCTGATTCTCATATATACAATAATCAAATTTTCATTGAAGTTTCCCATAAATAGGCTTCTTTTCAGAAAAGCTATTACTAAGCTAGTAAAAAGGTTCCAATGCAGAACTACTTTTTTGAAAGTGGTATGCTTAATCCTTAAAAATTTACGATTCTGGCATTTATATTTATACATTCGGTGTTTTTTTTATATATTATCATAATACGTGAAACAAGGATTAGCCGCTGGCTAACCACAAGGTAACACATCTCATGTTCGATTTTCACTAGATTTTCCTTTCTCCGTCCTCCTTTTTCTCCGTATAGCTTCTAAGCTGCTTAGAGGTATTGGCAGATGAAAAAGTTATTCAGACATGCAGTCGACTGTTTGACAGACCATCCATACTAAGCAACCCACTCTCTCTTTACTACCTACAATTTGCTCATCTCTACAAAGCAAAATATATTTTTAATAATTGTAATATAATTTGTTTATCTTAAACACTACTTTAGGTAACATTATAAGCAGACTTAACTCTATCAATCTTGATTGTATTTCATATCTAAATAAAAAGTTCTTAAAAGCTACTAAGGTTTTCGATAACAAGCACCTGTTTGAAAATATATTATATTAAAGTTTTACTTTACATACTACAAACAATTTACGTATTAAAGGTGTCGCAACGTTTCAAGACCGACTGGTGCCTTACAATGTTTCCGTATTAAGTACAACTTTGATATAACTACCAAGGTTAGTAATTACACAGTGATTAGTATACTAGTATACTTTACCTCATCGATGTGACTCAATGTCTGATTACATTATTTACATGACGGGGAATAAAAGCTTCCTCTTACCCTCCCACGCTCGAGTTTCCCAAGTTGTACCTCCCTTATTCGAAACCTCTCTATATAAGAATGACCAAGGAGACTTACACCATAGTTTCGTGTGACTGACGCAGACGACGGAAATGACGCTTATTCCTGATCATCTTCAAATTTGATTTACTTTAATGGTTCAATTATGGTAAAATAAAATATGTGCCCCCTCCTTTAACCATGCTTAACGAGGGACAACATGATTATAGTGTTACCTAACAACAGTGGCAATACAAGTTAATTATTTCAGCCAATCAGTGTACGTGTGTTGGCGCTGATATTAATATCGTGTATGACTTTTGCAATGGCAATAACATCGGGTGTTATATCGTTAAAGTCTCCTAATAACCAGTTTCGGAATATACAAGTGTTAGTTAATACTGGTTACTCGGTAACAAATAGTTATTATAATTCAGATATAATATTCGCAGGTTGGAGAATGATTATTTAATTATGTTTGAGAGAAAAATGTATATCTGTTCAGTAGTTACGAATACAAAAACCCAGGAAAATCGGTACCAAAACTTTATTATACAGCAGTGATGACATTTAATGGCAATCAGGAAGGTCTTTATCCAAGTAGTGGAATGTTCGCTGTAAACAAAAACAACAGTACATTATCTATCAGCTGTGGAATAATAACACGCAATATATAAGTACTCATTGAATTTGTTTCCAAGATAAGTTCCTGCTGATATTTATTACCAGGTTATTATTAGCGATTTACAAAGTTTTGTGACTACTTTTTCAAGAACTGAGATTTTTTCCCCACAGACACTATAGAACTTTAAAAGTTCATCGTAAATTAATATAGCTCAATGTCGTGCTAGGGGGTCGTGATGTGAATCCAACGTCGGTATGTCAAATTTAGGTGTATCACTATTCATACGGTCAAAACAAAACAATCCTGTTATCCGTGTGTTTGCCTGAAATGTTAGGGTTCAGAAAAGCATGTTTAATAGATGCTGAAAATATTTATACATGTTATATCTTGTGAAACAGCTTACAGTTCAGCAATATGAAATAGTTTTGCGTCATACCTTGATGTATGTTTTCCATTAAAATATAAAGCCATTTTTTTCATCACAACAAAAGAAACATGATGATCCCGCTAATATAGAATACATTTAACAAAAATATCTATTTCAAGTTCGAAGGTTGTGAGTATATTACAAAGGGCATTGATTCCAAGGCCAATTTCACTTATTACTTTATAATGTTTTCATGTCTTTACTCTTTCGTTTATCTTTTTTCTAGAATTGAAAAGTATATTTACCTCCGGCGAGTTGTTCTGAAAACATATATACGAACATAAAACATATTTTTTTGTGTGGCTAATATGTTTAATTGTAATACAATCAAACACTTTTAAAAACATTGCATCATACAGCGGTTTCGTCCTTCTACATCTGTGATTCTAGGGGCCAAATAAGTTGGAAATGCAAATTGTTTAAACAAATATTGAAACAGAGAGCTGGAATATATCACAGATTGCAGATAGACTGAAGAGATCACAAGGAATAGGTTATATTGAAATACTGAATCTTTAATTTAATTATAGCTCCGCCGTATTGATAGAATAGTTTCAGTAAAACAACACTATATCATGTGTGCACTTGTTACAAAGTACTTGTGACGGAAAAAAGGCAAGTAATATTTCAAATATGCTAACCATTGATAGCTAAACACATCGATAGCATTTAGAATAACACATCTAACTCATATCCTCCTTTAATAAGCTATGTAAAATATACTCAGAAAAAATATCAAACACACACAATGAAGAAATTTATTGTAGCTCTAAAGTTGTCTTCATTTAGCAAATAAACTATTAAAAAAATCTTATTTTTCCTTCAGTATATTTCTTTTTGATTCTGCATTATATATTTAAATTAGGTGTGGTATCAAAGGGCCCGAAGGATTTATATGGCTTGTATCGCTCACCTGAATATTTAAGCTATCATAGCAAAATATAATCATTAAAAATAGTATGGAAAACAAGACACCAGGGACAGGGTCAGTCCAAAGAACCAATCCTGGTAGCATATGCTAATCCAGATCTTCATGCTCATCAATTTTATATATCAATACAAAATGAGAATCATGATTGCTTCCAAATTGTGACCAAGCAAATATATCTCTAGGGGTGTTGCAAGAACCCAGGCTCAATCTAATATCATGAATACGTTCAACTCTTAATGCCATTATGTGGTTATGGGATGGGGGATCTCAACAGGAGGGAGGGGGCAACCCCCTTCATTTATACAATTTGGAAATCTCCAACGCTTTGGATGCTTCCAATCAAATTGGTTGACATATTATCAGCGGTTAAGAAGAAGAGTGGTTTGAATAACTTGTTGATGGACAGACAGACGCCACTGTACGGCATAAACTCACATCGGTCCCTCTAAAAGTTAACAAACGAAAGTATTTATTACAATAATAACAGGGGCTTGATAAAATCTTTCTTGAGAGGGATCCTTCTTGATTTCAATCCCTTCTTTAAAACTGCTCTTGTTTTTTAAGTTAGGTCCGTGTTTCCCGAGCAATCCTTGATGATGTAAGTAATAATTTAATACTACTTCACAAGTCGAATCAAGATAAACAAACCACAAAATACGTCTGTTTATGAATGGTTGTTGAAGAAAAAGAGACCTATTGTACGGCCTAAATTTATTATACAATACATCATCCGCTCAGATTGGTTTGTATCAGTAGGTGAATCATGGTTGCTGCTCAGGAAACTAAAATCTAATTACTAAGAAAAAAACCAAATAATTAAATATTCAAACCGTTCATGGTCTTAGTTTTCAGAACCAGAACTCATCCCGCTGGTACATCGATTTGGACCAAACATCATTAGTCATTTTACTTTTTAAACGGTAAATTACATTTTCACAAGAAAATTATTTTTTAATTTTGTTTATAACGATATGAAGTTCAAAATGGTCTATTAGACGGCTTCCAAAGAATAAGCAGTGTCTTATTTCTGACATCATCTTTAAAGAAGACAAGGCACATAGTATGACCTTTCGTGCCCTCTTTAGCGCTCTCCTTTCCGCGATGACCTTTACAGTTAGTATTTGAATAGTCAGATATGTAATTAAAACAGGGCAAACACGTATGCAATGAAGTTTACTTACGTAGATATTCTGTACAGAGGTTGCAGGTCTTTGCGCAGTTAGCTATGGCATAATTCATAGTATGGACATCTTTTGAGTTACACAGTACGTTAGCCATACTCCCGCAGTTGTTGTTAATGTCGTGATCGACACACTGCGCAGGGGTAATCGTACTGATAGTAGTTGTCGCACCTATTAAGAGAGACGCATCACAGGTATGTTACTTTCGGAGTTTAATCATATGAAACATGTATCCCATAATGTACTGTGTTAGCCAGTGAATATGTTTTGGCGTATTAACCCATGTAATATGACCTATCAGCCCTGTGATTAGTTGTAAGTTTTAACTGTTTCAATTGTGACGTCACGCCTAGTACAAGTACACGACGTCACAGACTTACGCACACTGAAGTCGAAATGGCGGCATTTAACATTTTAAGGTTTCATCCAAATTGTCGTTTTACACGAATAAATGCAACAAATCTTTATTATGTGATTAAAAGGATCTTATATGAGTTTTCATTTCATATGAAATTTATGAAACTCGTCACGAATTTCATCAATCTCATATGAAATGGAAACTCATATAAGATCCTACATACGTACATTAAGCTCAATATAATGATGGTATAATTAATGTGATTCAGGATGACAGATTTAACCAGCAATACGGTATCGTGTTCCTACTTGTGTTTTTAAATATCATAAAGAGACAAAGCATATACAGCCTGTGTGAAGTCGTCTCTGATATTAAATCTGGCAAAGATATACTTTACAAGTTTGTGGTAGTTGGTTAATCCATTTGGAGAAATGGGGTAAATGGTGTAGAAATGCACATCTGATCTTACGGTGAACAAGAAAGTTATATCAGATCTATGGTGAACAAGTCTTACATTGTAATAAACTCATTTCAGATGTTACGGTGAACAAGTCTAGTAAAGTCATATAAGATCTAATGGTTAATAAATCAAGAAAGTCATACTAGATATAATGGTAAATAAGCCTAGAAAGTCATACCAGATATAATGGTAAGTAAGCCTAGAAAGTCATACCAGATATAATGGTAAGTAAGCCTAGAAAGTCATACCAGATATAATGGTAAACAAGCCTAGAAAGTCATACCTGATATAATGGTAAATAAGTATAGAAAGTCATACAAGATATAATGGTAAATAAGCATAGAAAGTCATACAAGATATAATGCTGAACATGCCTAGAAAGTCAAACCAGATATAATGGTAAATAAGCCAAGAAAAGTCATACCAGATATACTGGTAAATAAGCCTAGAAAGTCAAATCAGATATAATGGTGAACAAGCCACGAAAATCATACCAGATATAATGGTAAATAAGACTACAAAGTCTGATCAGATATAATTGTAAATAAGCCTAGAAAGTCATACCAGATATAATAGTAAATAAGCCAAGAAGGTCATATCAGATATAATGGTGAATAAGCCTAGAAAGTCATACCAGATATAATGGTAAGTAAGCCTAGAAAGTCATACCAGATATAATGGTAAGTAAGCCTAGAAAGTCATACCAGATATAATGGTAAACAAGCCTAGAAAGTCATACCTGATATAATGGTAAATAAGTATAGAAAGTCATACAAGATATAATGGTAAATAAGCATAGAAAGTCATACCAGATATAATGGTAAATAAGACTAGAAAGTCATACCAGATATAATGGTAAATAACCCTAGAAGGTCATACCAGATATAATGGTAAACAAGCCTAGAAAGTCATACCTGATATAATGGTAAATAAGCATAGAAAGTCATACCAGATATAATGGTAAATAAGACTAGAAAGTCATACCAGATATAATGGTAAATACGCCAAGAAAAGTCATACTAGATATAATGGTAAATAAGCATAGAAAGTCACACCAGATATAATGGTAAATAAGCCTAAAAAGTCGAATCAGATATAATGGTAAATAAGCCTAGTAAGTCATACCAGATATAATGATAAATAAGCCTAGAAAGTCATAACAGATATAATGGTAAATAAGCCTAGCAAGTCAAATCAAATATAATGGTAAATAAGTCTAGTAAGTCATACCAGATATAATGGTAAATAAGCCAAGAAAAGTTATACCAGATATAATGGTAAATAAGCCAAGAAAAGTCATCCCAGATATAATGGTAAATAAGCATAGAAAGTCACACCAGATATAATGGTAAATAAGCCTAAAAAGTCGAATCAGATATAATGGTAAATAAGCCTAGTAAGTCATACCAGATATAATGATAAATAAGCCTAGAAAGTCATAACAGATATAATGGTAAATAAGCCTAGCAAGTCAAATCAAATATAATGGTAAATAAGTCTAGTAAGTCATACCAGATATAATGGTAAATAAACCTAGAAAGTCTTACCAGATATAATGGTAAATAAGCCTAGAAAGTCATACCAGATATAATGGTAAATAACCCTAGAAGGTCATACCAGATATAATGGTAAACAAGCCTAGAAAGTCATACCTGATATAATGGTAAATAAGCATAGAAAGTCATACCAGATATAATGGTAAATAAGCCTAGAAAGTCATACCAGATATAATGGTAAATAAGCCTAGAAAGTCATACCAGATATAATAGTAAATAAGCCAAGAAGGTCATATCAGATATAATGGTGAATAAGCCTAGAAAGTCATACCAGATATAATAGTAAATAAGCCAAGAAGGTCATATCAGATATAATGGTGAATAAGCCTAGAAAGTCATACCAGATATAATGGTAAATAAGCCTAGAAAGTCATACCAGATAAATTGGTAAATAAGCCTAGAAAGTCATACCAGATACAATAGTAAATAAGCCAAGAAAGTCAAATCAGATATAATGGTGAACAAGCCTAGAAAGTCAAACCAGATATAGTGATCTTATGGTGTCATGTTTGTAAACTAAAGCTAGTAAACCGTTAGGAAAACGTTTGTTAAAAATTGAATTTTTTGAACGTTTTCGAGTTTTCGGGTTGAGAATATAAGTGTAATGTATTGCAAAAATAGCAATATCATACACAACCAAGCATACATCAATGGAATACATCACGACTCCAAATAAAGGTCAGACTTCATTTATATGACCTTATAATTATCTTCCTTGTTGAAATACACCCCCAATGTATAAGAAAGGACATTCTTTTTGCTTATATTGATAAGCAGAAGATCTATTGTAATAACAGTTTTCCATGTACCGCCATGTAAAATCCTATTTTGAGGAAAGATCACATCATATAGTGTACTATCTGTACTTTCAAGTTATCAATGAAAAATCTTACAATAGATTACCCATTATCTGTCTTACAGTTGACTTCAGAAACGAAATTAAAATACCGTATAAAGATAATCTGTGAAGCTATTAGGATTATGTTTTCACTTGGCATATATATCCTGTTGTGGCTTTTTTTTCTCATAAGGCGTGGGGGCTCACATTCTGCACATATTCGTCTGGGCCTTATCAATCCGGTGTTACTAAGCTAATACCCCCATTCGCATAGGCAACTATACCACATATACAAATGGTTTGTTTCCCGTGTTTCACAATGAAGCGGCTTCCAGGTCACCCCGTAACCCCGTTAACTCAACATGAACTAGAATAGACCTCTGGTACAGTTTAGGGCCGAAGTGGACTCCACCGGACCGGCGACATACTTCACAGTCGAGTTTATAAAGCCCTATCGTACAAAGACTGTAGAGTTTATTTGCAGTACTTGTACACCATTAATAATCCATGGACGTTTTCGGCCGGGCCTATGCCACTTCTTCGAGATTTGAAAAGGCCAAATAAGGTTATGTGCAGTGCGGGTGAATACCCGTATGTTGCTCAACATGGTTGCATGAATAAATTATATGAATCTTAACTCCTTTGCTTGTTGTTGATTCCTTAACAAATCATATATACACTTACGTAGCTGATGCCGAAGCATTTAGAATTAAAATGTTTATGTTTTCAAATGAAGTATTTGTATAAAGACATTGTAACTAATTATCCCTACTACATATTTAAAAAGAAGCTTTGATCAGGTCCATTCTGAATTCGGTATCTTTTAAAGTTAACAGCGTCAGTCTTTATATCACGTAAACTGAATAGCTTGGACTATCATGTCGTGGTGTACAGTTGGTGTTCCGTATATTTACCAGATAGGATTTGACACTTGTACAGATGGTGATTACGTACTTTGTCCACAGAAATTGCAGGTCTTTGCACAACTTTGTTTAGCGTAAGCCTGTGAGACGGGGTCGGATGCTGTACACAAGAAGCTGGCCATTCCAGCACACGTCGTGTCGGTGTCCACACATGGAGGACCAGTCGATGCTGTAAACATTACAACATAACCACACTGATTATATTTTGTATGTTCGATTGCGAAAGGTTTTGACGTTGTTGTTATTAAGGACACTATTTGGTATATACCTAGAACTGAGGAGAGTGGGCTTGCTGACAGTACAAGGTATGGACTTTGCAGCTAAAATTGATTGAATCAAATTTTATATTTGAAGCTATGTTAATTTTGTTCATGTTAATGAATATTAGAAATATAAGCAATCACTTTGAGACTTTTCTATATGTACATGTCTATGTATGTATTTACTGTGTTGTTCTATTTTGCCTTTAAACTACTTTGTAGTTACAAATTTGCAAATAAATATTTTTAATTAGAATTTTGTTTCGACACTTAATACGAAATGCAGTAGGGAGTCATCGAAAATAGGGAACTGCTAAAGGTTTGTTACGGCTGTGTTTAGAGGGGAGCAATCAATACTATCAATTAACTTATTTCCTCGGACGCATTGATGTTATTTTTCTCATTTAACCGCTTTACATGTACAGTTACGGTGTATAAAGCAAGGCTATTGCACTTGATCTCATCCAGTTCATATGCAGTTAAATAGGTCACCTTTGGTACTTTGGAGATCAATGAATAAAGGTCTAATCGCATAGCAAATATGTCAACAATTTGGTCATTTAAAGACAAACATATAGGAAAAACTGAAAACAAATCATGCACAGCAACATCAATTTTGTAAATCAGGAATTCGACGAAATGCACCAATCATTGATAATGCAGAAACGAAAGGCTAATAAAAGAACTGTATTTCAAAACTCCTAAAATAAACATAATAATGAAGTAATTCAGGACAGAAAGTCTCACACCAACATCCTCTAACATAGGGATATAAGGAAGCTAACTTAGGGGTTACTAGATTATGTTTTTGAGACTTGAAGTGGTCTAAGCTAAATGTGTTGGAACAAAATCGAGTATTGATATTTTGCAGTAACTGAACATTCACTTGAATATACATTGTACTTCAACATTGCTCTAACACAATTTCCGATTTCTTTGTTAGTCTTCTGTGTATTAGTAATTCATATTACCGGCAGCTGTTGTAGAGGTGGCAGGTTCGGAAGTTGATAACGTTGTTGATGCTGCCGCCGTTGACGATTCGGTGGTAATTGTTGTTGTTGGTTGAGTACTTGTTGTTGTTGTTGTTATTGTTGATGATGATGTTATTGGTGCTGCAGTGGTTGGTGTGGTTGTTGGTTGAGTAGTTGTTGTTGTTGGTTGAGTAGTTGTTGTTGTTGATGATGATGTTGGTGAAATAGTGGTTGTTGTTGTTGGTGGTGGTGGTGGTGTTGTTGATGATGTGGTCGATGTTGTTGTTGGTTGAGTTGTTGTTGTTGTTGTTGTTGTTGTTGATGTTGTTGTTGGTGCCGCAGTGGTTGTTGTTGTTGTTGTTGGTTGAGTTGTAGTTGGTGTTGTTGTTGGGGGTAGAGTTGATGCTGATGTTGTTGTTGTTGGCGGCGTTGTCTGAACTGCGGGTATTTTAAAGCAATGTTTTTATTATATGTCTTAATGATCAACATATGTCTTTAGACGCAATTTCTCTGAAAGATAAATCAGTGTGTTGACTACAAGGATGGTTCCTTGATTTAATTTGTATAATATAAAATATGTGCATAACTTAATACTTAATCTGTTAAACAGAGATGGCGTATTTCTCTTTATTATCAAAGAAAATGATTCTACGGCACGTAACAATAATTGGATTATAGTAGAGTGCAGGATTGTATTAATTCAAAAAGTGACCTTGCTATTCCCTGTTGTCTTTCACCTTATTTGGAAGGTGAGTATACTACAGACATTTTTTGCTGGTTATGGGTCTGCACTCAAGGACACAAACATATCCGAGGATTCGATCAACTATACTATTTGGTCACGAAAAACTTTTTAATTTAAAATACCAATATAAAAATACATCAAATTTAGACTTGATATCTTTTGATATAGGGGGATTCATGAAACTATATTCTCGATAGTATTTATTCAAGGACATGTCTGACTAACTTTGAAGAATTGTTTTGATAACGTTCATGTATGACGTGTCTATCAACGAAATCATGCAAAAGATATAAATTGCTTGATTTGATTAATATATGTTCAATGCTAATTTTAATAAAAACGCAAAAAAGTCGATTAGTGTCAAGCTAAAAAGGTAAGAGTGGGAAAATATATCGTATGAAGCAACTCATGTGGGACTTTTTGTGCAAGAAGGGAAAAAAAAATTGCTTAGTTTCCTCATTATCTCTATTTGACGGTGTCTTCCTAGAAACCTCTGTTCAGAACCTATTGTCAAATTAATGTGACCGGATAATTGTCACGCTACCATGTCCTGGATATTGATATTACATAGAGATGGCACTTTGAAAACATCTTTGAGTATCGCCATAATATACCTTTAACAGTTGCGAGGGCACAAAATCACTGAAAATCATTGGGGTGAAAGACAGTTAATTGAAGCATTTGAAAAGAGGCAGAAATGCAAGCTTTATCTAAATACGAGTCACACAATTTATCTATTATTGAATCTAAAGGAAAAGGAAGGGGGTTTATTACGCAAACGTTTCCTAAATGTCTTGAGCATTGTAACTCTTATAAGACGATTATGTAACTTTAACATTACGGTGTGAAAGATCACTAATACTACAATACGGGGACGTGGCTTCGAAGCGTATGTGTGTCTCCGGGCACTTTGATTTTCCTCCACCACCAATATCTAGCACGTCTTTTAAATGACCATAGTTAATAGTTAATATGACGTAAAACACAAACAAACCAAACCAAGAGGGAGTCTATAGCGGATTGTGTTTGGTGGATGAAAAATAATCCAATTACCTTGTGCATCATACAGCTTCTGGCAATCTGCAATTTCAATAATGTATATTGGGTTAGTTGATACATTATGATATATTATTACGGTCACATCAAGTTCAAATCAACAGTTGTGACCATCCACTATTAGGTTTTGTTTAAAAAAATCAATATATTTCTATTATGGAATGTATATGGATGGTGAAACAAAAATAGAAAAACATATAAGAAAACGGGACTTAGTCATCCAATTATTTAAGCTATTAATCATGAAAAGTGTCGTTACATCCGTGACGTAGTAGAATTGATATTAATGTATGTTATTAAATGGGGAATCATTTGTACATTATTTGGGCCATTATTTTCGAGCTACAATGTTTATACATTGACTATAAAGTATCAATTGCCGAGTGCTATATGCATTTCCTACGTTTTGAAAATTTGTATTAACTGTATCTTTAAAATGACAAAAAATCGTTATATCAAATAAAAGATATTTCATTGCAGTTTAAAACTTTTGTTATTAATATGATTAAAAAATAGTGTAGATGTTTATAAATCTTTTTATCAATAAAAACCAACATATTTCTGTATATTTACTGTAAAAGTCATATAACTGCATTTTTCATTAACGACCACGTGTATAGCAACGAAATGATAAATGATGGAAAAGAAATCGGCATAATTAAGTCTGATACTAACACTCGTCACAAAAACCACAGTATAGTGGACACTGGTCCACAGCGCGATCATGACCCGAAGAGGTCCAGCCACACAATCCGGAATCCTGGTCAAATGTTTTGCATACAAAGTACGGAGGATTGTCATGGTCCATACACATCAGTGTACCGTTACCTAAAAGAACAAATACATAGAGGATATTTAATGATGTCTTCAGTTATAACAAATATATTACACGAGTGTGGCTAATATTTTGATATTTTTTCACGAGTGCGCAGCACGAGTGAAAAATATCAAAATATTAGCCATACGAGTGAAATTTATTTGTTATTACTGAAGACACCATTTCATTTTCTATTATTACAATTTTAAAACATTAAACATGAAAAATGTAATGCATTAAAAAAAGGCAGAAATCAGAAGCGTCAAAATTAGCGCCATATTCTAATGACGTCACGCTTGACAACAAGGCTGCATGGGATACTTAATGCAATTGCGTCGTTTTTTGCTATTTTCTGGTATGATTGCTTATAAAAGCGATATTATTTGTATATTTATTTAAATACTTAAGTGTGTGTACCAAACATTTACCATTAGTACCATTTATTCTACAGTCGCCTTATTTGAATCTGAGCAAAAAATGCAGCGAATAGAAGATACCGTTATGATTGGTCAATACCAAAAAGTAATATTTTCACACTGAAAATATCTCTTTTGATATTTTTCACAATTTGAAAGATATCAGTTTTATCAAGTTGATAGAATCCGATATTTCACTGGCAAAATATGTAATAAATGTGTTTACTGATATTCATCTATGTTAAATGTCTCATCCACTAACACAGAAAACGCCATATCACTGCATTGAATATACATATGTACAAACTTATTTTCCTAAATATCTACAACGATGCTACAGACAATTTTCAAATATTTTAAACACGTGTAGCATTTCATACTGCTGTCACGCTGCATACAATGATATCTACACATTACATACTTACGACACTTCGTTATTCGCAAATGTAATCAAAATAAAAATGCATTTCGAACGAAGTCCTTTATTCTTAATATCTTAATAAATCAACCACACATAATTTGCGCTATGATACCTCCAGATTATAATACGTAAAAATGTAAGAAGACAAGACATGGCTTACCTTGCTTGCACGGTATTGAACGTACAGATGTGGTTATTGGTTCTGAAGAAAATCATCATTCGCAAAAGTTGTTATTGCTCGCATAAATAATAATAACTTAAATGTTCCAACAAAAGATTCAAAAATAGATAAAATAAAATAAAATAAAACAGAAATGATTGCATCAACATACCAGATTAAAAAAACTGATATTCAAAGTTGCTTGGAGAAGAAAACAACAGAACCTAATGAGATGCAACGAAATACCATACGAGATATATTGTAACAGAAGTTGTGTAGACCTTTTTCAATTTAAGGAAAATATCATATATAAATCATATATTTAGATAAAAGTATGACAAATCAATAAGCAATGCAAAATAAAGGAGAGCATACTCTAACAGAAACAGTTTATTTGAGAGTGCAGGGGAAATACTTGATAATCCCACTGTACAGCACATACTGCAACCTCTTCTTAATTTCGTATGTGATGTATCGGTAATGAAGTTGTGTCAATGAACTACGTCGACCAGATAAATCAGTTGGTTAGAGCGACAGTATAAGAATCGAGAGGGCCATGCATCGAATGCTGGTCTACCCGTTATATTTCTACACTTTAAATGTGCTGTTAATTGTTTATTGTACTAATTTGATTTTCATAAAGTTCCAGAAGCTAAAGTCGACTATTCAGAAATGATTTATCATAATAAAAGCTTTGCTGGGGGGAAAGTTCCAATGCATAGTTCCAATGGCAGTGGTACGGGAATTATACAACTGTTTTATTAGAAAAATCAATGGCTTACATACTCGGTGTGGACGTTGCTGATGGAACGGTTGTGGTAGTAAGTTCTGAAAAACAAATCATCGAAATTGAATAGAAGTTATTTGCTTAGGGATGTTGGGAAGAAAAGAAATATGCTTCAATCAGAGAAATATTCCAATATCTTTTTAAAGGATTTTAGTGACATGTGGCAGTAGATGATATATGAATATTGAAAAATTAAACAGGAAACATTTATTTTCTTTCAGAAATCAAAAAATAATGACATCACAGCTGTAAGATACCAGCCTCCTGTATTGTTAAAATCTTTAATTATTGTTGATATTCATTATTTTTTATGCATTGTCTATCATTTTCAATAACCGTTGACTGCATTTTGTAATATTTTTATGTTTACGTCTGCAGAATTTCAATGTCAAGCTGAATTTGTGCTGACTGTAGAAAGGAATCATAATTATAATTTTCACTTTTCATAACATCACAAATGTCAAGAGTTATTAAAAGTTTGGGCTGTGGGACCATTAAGTGTTGTAAATGATATACAAAAAAACGCTGTATAGAGAATGTATAGAGATGATGTACATTATATGCAATATACTTAATTAAGGGGTTTTAATAGTTTCAAATATACTGCAAATTAACAGATAGCGAAATTTATTTTTCAACACGTCTGTGGAGTTACATTCCTTACAATGGCTTTGTTCTCTATGAAAATTTCTTAATCTTTAAGTCTAAATGAATGCGAAGAAGAACTTAATCTGGTGAGACATACATGTATACTATAATTTACTGGAATATACTTCGTAAGATGAAATTGAAGAGGAAAAAATCGTACAAAATTCCATAATTAACTTTTGGTTACTAGCACCAAAGGCATGTGATATAGACGGAATAGTAAATGAAAACTGCTTTGAATATGTGTATTACCATACTGCATAAATCATTGAATAATGTGAACAAGATATACAGTTAACATTAAAATGACACTTGTCATTGGTTACATTATACTAAGAAGGTATTAAATAACTCGGTGCTGAACTTATATGGATATATCAAGCGACATGTAATGTAAGCGAATGATTTTTGAAACATACATTGAAAAATAGGTTATATGACCAATTTATTCAAGCATGACTAGAGGAATCACTTTAATACTTTACTATATGAAGTGGAAACAATATAATGAATGCATAAAATTTAACACCAAGAATCATCCCTAAGACACTTGATAGTACAGACTATGGCTTACCTGTATTGAAATCCTATTGTTCTCTAACTGACACATAAACCCACCTAGCATATACCCAACACCTTACCTGTACATAGGAAAATACTTAAATGTTTGCTAGGTGAGTCGGCACCGTCAAAACAATCGTATTTCCCTACGACAAGGGCATTACATGTTTACTATATAATTGAAATGTAAAATGCAGAATAATTATGTAGTTTTGATCGATAGGGGAATTATATCCGAAAAAATAGAATTCGAGTCAGAAAATATAATGCAATTGGCATTGCTCTAGACGTAAATTCGAATGTAACGGAGATAAATCAACGGCTTACATACTCGGTGTGGTTGTCGTTGTTGTAACAGTTGTGGTTGTAGGTACTGAAAAACAAATCAATATTGAATAGGAGTTATATATACTGAAGGGTATAACAAGGGAAATATTCGCGGAAAAATATTAGTATTCTATTCTAAATATCCTTTCTTAAAAATCAAAAAGCAATATTTCAAATGGAAAACCTATTCTGCTTTTCGATAGATGATATAAATATTTTCCTTTTTATCATGAACCAGTAGCATGCTAAATCTATTATATGGATGCCCAATTTTGGAAGGAAACAATTTTATGTGAATATTGACATAAAAACAAATTTAATGAAGGCTAATGCATGGTTTACATACTCGGTGTGGGCGTTGTTGATGGGGTGGTTGTTGGTGTTGTTAGTCCTGAAGGGCAAAACCGTCATTAATCAGTTCTCAGTTACATTAAGAATCAAAATTCCCAAATGCAATTTGCTTAAGACAATTTGGTATGTTATAAAGCACGGTATACCAAAGCTTCAAAATTAAATAAAATGTCTATACATAGTGGTTACGAGAAGACAACGATGATCAAAAAGGAAATACTAGAACAAAAGACTTGTTTGAAAGATGGCATTATAGACGAAAAACAAGCCATTTACCTTGTGCATTGTACAGCAGCTGGCAATCTGAAATTTCAAACATAATCACATCACATACAGTACAAGTATCAAAAAGAGATATAACGTGGATAACGTGTTCTCATGGAAAACCAGACTATCGAGTTAAAACATTGACGGTGTAGAGTGTCGAGTGGTACATGTATAATCAACGTTAATGTTTAAAAATAGAATGTGCATTTTTGTAATCAAGAAATGACATAAATACAAAAGAGAGAAACAGAAACAACATTCTTCAAATTAATGAAGCTTTAAGTTTTGGTATCAATTTCTTTTAAAAAATAGTATCAATATTTGTATTTTTGTAATCGTAATTGTAGATGTATAATAATAAACAGCCCAATCATCTATATACATCTTTGAGTGTGTATAATGTATTTAAATTTCATGTTAAAACTGTATAGTTTGGGTACCATCGCTGATTTATGAGAGATAAAACACCGAATTATATAGTAACGCCTTGTATTAATCAGCAGCCACATGTGTGACGATGAAATGTTGAAATTAAAATTGGTGAAATCGGATTCTTACACTCGTCACAAAAGCCACAGTATTGAGGACACTCCTTAACTGCTCGATCATGGCCAGAAGTCAAGCTACACAATGTGTTGTTATGATAATGATCATACTGTGAACATGTGAAGTACGGAGGGTCGTTAAAGTCGGCACACTTCAGTTTACCGTCCCCTGAAATGACGAATACGTATGTACCTTATTTAACCCGGGAAATACGAAATTTAAAGTTGACCTATAAACTATTGGCGATACTTAAATACTGGTGTATGGATAATGTTTAATGTATCATATATGAACATATATAACATTGAACACTTATATCTCTGAAACAATATGGTTTGTGTGACAAACATAACTAATAACTGTAATCGCAAAATTAACATTTATTTTAATATGCAGTTTTACAAATATGAAGATGTCACACAATCTTTCTACTTATATTTTACAAAACGTATTCTAGATCTAATCGCTATCGAAGACAAAGCAATGGTTCACCTACCTTGTTTACACGTTGTTGACGTTAAAGGTGTGCTTATTGGTTCTAAACAAAATAAACCAATATATCACAGAAGTTTCACCAAATGCAATGTGTTAACGATAATATAATATATAATAATAGAATCTACCATTTGTAGGTATCCATGATAGGGCAATTTACGTCAAAATTGTAAAATTTGGGTTTTAAAACTAAATAATACGAAAATATCGCAGACAAATGTATAGCTTACATACTCTGTGTGGATTTTGTTGTTGGAAATGTTGTTGGTTCTGAAAAATAGTCACAATAATTGTATAACCATCACGTGCTTAGAGGTATTTAGAACAAACGAAAATATATAATTGAAATAAAAAGGTACTTATAGAATGCGTCATATGAAATAAGTTGTAAAGAAATTCGATCCGAAAGTGTAAAATTTTGGGTCAGGGACAAAATGTCCTTGACAATGCTCTATACATAAGTAATAAAATAACGAACACCAATCAGCGGCCTACATACTCGGTGTGGTCGTTGTTGGAACAGTTGTGGTTGTTGGTTCTGATAAAAAAAAAAATCATCGAAATTAAATAGAAGGAATATGCGATCATATTTCACTTATGCGGAGCATCTCTAGAAAAATGTACAAAAGCCAGCACAGCCCATTTCCGACTTGCTGAAGCAGACAACAATTACAGGTTAATCTGATCATATTTACTTTTATATGTTATTGTTTATTTCAATATATTAAAATGTTTATTGGCCTCGTGGTTGGAAAACGCGATTCTTTATTTCTCTTCGATTTATTAGGCTTCGCCCTCGTCAAAACAATCGTATTTCTCTACGACAAGTGCAACAAAAGTTTCATACATAACTGAAATGCCAAACGACTGCAGAATGCACATATTTGTGAAGTTTTGATTGATAGAGGAATTCAACCCGAGAGAATAGAATGTTAGTCAGAAATGAAATGTCCTCGGCTTACATACTCGGTGTGGTCGTTGTTGTTGTAACAGTTGTGATTGTAGGTTCTGAAAAAAAAAATCATCGAAATTGAATAGAAGATACATGTTAAAGGATATTAAGAATAAGGAAAAAAATTGTGTCCTGACAAAAATAATCATACAAAATAGCAATAAAAACAATCTGTTGGGACAGAATATGTAAAAGGCATGCTATTGTTCCACTCGGGCAAATTTTTGTATCGATTATATTTTTTTATTTTTTATTTTTATATTAAACATAGTTTAACAACGTTTGTTATTTCCGTGAAGTGATGATAGATGCCGACTGTGTTTTTGTGGCAGGCGTTCTTCCGCTGAATAAAACGGCAAATAATAACGATAGCTTTGTCGTTTTTGAGCTCGAATTATGGTCTCCCTTCTTCATCCAAACGTCTCTGTAACATTTAAAATATAACACCGCACTTACTTGTTGAGGTGGTAGTAGTGGGATGAAGTGAATAGATTAAATTCGAAATGTGATTTAGCTGAGCTGGACCTGGGAAAAAAGAGTACATTATTATTGCTCGCTTTAGATGAAACATTTTCTGATCATTATTCCAAGCTATCATTTGTCCATTATCATATAATACGAAAATAACGCTTCATTACAGTGTAAAGTATTAAACATCATCTGTATAAATATTATTTGTTTAAGATCTGTTTGATGTTAAGATGATGCATTCGCCTGACCGTGACATACCTCCATTACACAGTTTTGGTTGACTACATGTCCTAGTCCCGGAGGCACTCCCGTGGTCTGGCTGACTACAATGGTGGCCACCCGAGGACACATGGGAGGACTCCCACTAAAACGACATACCAGAATTGTTAAATCGTACAACATGTTGCTTTGTTTCTAAGTGAATTCGAGTGTAGGTAACAGTACCCAAAATGGCTCACCAAACCATCATTTTCTTCATTCATTGCATATTCAGCAGATTAATTATAATAGTTCATGGTTGTATCAAAATAAGAATATCGATGGGTGTTCAGATAACCAACGAAATAAAGACCAAGGGCTCACGTGAGATATTTAAAGAACACTCTGACATCACCAATAAGCGTTTCCAGTTTTTTTGCACTGTCGATACCCAAAACAGAGCACAACTTGACTTGTGAAATATTTTGCGCTTCAAATGAACATTTCTTTGTCAACATTTTAACATTTTATGGTGGTCTTTGCAATTTGAATGAATACAAGTATTTCTATATTATGAATTTATTCTTACAGTCCAAAACAAAACAAAAACAAAGATCTCGCATGGCCCATTTTTAACAACGTAAACAAAGAAAACTAGATTTTGAGTTTAAAATACGTCTTCTAGTGCTATTTGAACCTAACAATTAATTATCTCTAGACTAAATGACCCATAACTACGTATTATAAGGATTCATTATTGTTATAACTTAACTGTTGACACATTTATTTATTTATTTAGTTATTTCAAATAATATTTGCAAAGAGTGTTCTGACTTGGTTACTTATCCGATCTGGGTCCTGCCTTCTTATATTTTATTTTATATTCGAATTGTCTTGCATATCACATGCCAAATGTGCAGTTTTTACTCTTAATATTAATTTTGTTCCTCGTACACTTGACTCGTTTTAGCAACTGAAAGTTTTCAGATTTTTGACGTAGCACGTGACCCAAAAAATACCATGTTACCTACGTGTTTTTCATGTCTTACACTTGAGCACATGGCTCTAATATCATACTTTAATGTAGACAAATGCCGCTTTATGTCTAGTGGCAGATAACAATTTGTGAGAGAGTCAATCGGCTTGTGTCTTCGTCACAGCATAATGTCTCCGTTACATCTATGATGTACGACACTGTGATAATTAGCAGTTGTCAGCATATCAGAAAAAAAGTAAAATGGTGTTCTGGATTCAACCAGATATGGAAACAAGCTGAAATATTTCAGAGGAGTGATTGGATACAGCATATGTATCAATTTTAGGATCATTATTATGGTCAGTTTTGGATTGTGGACACATCGTAATAATACGGTACCAGGCATACATTCATACAAACAGCACGTCTAGTCTAAGGTAAACGTCTCATGCATCTTTACATACCTTAAGTTTCAAGTAAACGATACCTCCTAATATATCTAAGATTTAAGGTAAAGGTACCATACACCTTGATATACGTCAAGTTTGAAGTAAACGTTCCATACGCCCTGATATATTTTAGGTTTGAGGAAAATGTACCATACCTCTTCATACACGTCAAGTTTGTGGTACACGTACTATACATCCTGATATATTTTAGGTTTTAGGCAAACGTTTTATACATCCGTACATACCTAAAGTTTGAGGTTAACGTACCACACATCCTGATATATGTCAAGTTTGAGGTTAACGTACCATACATCCATACCTGTGTCGGGTGCGAGTCGCTGAATCATGGTTTGTGTGAGTTTCGTAGTAACACACCTTAAAAAGGATAAATAGAAATACATTTTTCTTGTTTGTCTTTATCAATATTGCTATATCATTAGTACATCTGCAATATAGAAACATCATACCCTGCTTTATGAGATCACATTTAGAATATAAATTAAAATACAAATTACTCCTTAAATTTCGTACTAGCATAAAATTCAGTTTACATACGAGATGAGATCAACTTATGCTCGTTAGTAATTCAACTATGTTAATCACACGTGTTAATTTTTCATAAAAACTATATCAACATTATGAGATATATACAGGACATTACAGGACCATGTGGTGTGTACTTACTGTTTGTGGATGACAGGCAATGACAGTGTTACACTGACCATAGAAATTATCCTCAGAACATCCAAAACATAACCTCACATTGCTTTTTAATCCCTCGTCCAGAATATGTAATGCTACAAATATACAAATATTTAACCCTTCAGCCACTATGTTGTAACCGTATTGAGATCAGGCTTTCTACCATTACTGTACAGAATTTTGTCCTCGTTGTATGATATGCCTTTACTTTAATTCTTCTCTTGGCCCGGATAGGTGTATCCACACTTTTCCCGATATAAGACATCCATGTGTTACCCTAGGGTTGTTCAATTGGTTTATATTAATAATGTCGTTGAAATGTAGATTTAAATTATTCAAAATGTGTACAATTACGTAAGTCTCACTGAATTCTTATTTACATTGGATACGCATCCCAAATGTCATACAGCTCTTAGCAAAACTGAATGTTGTCTTCGTGGAGTTTTACTCTCTACATACGTTTACTCTCTACAACTGTTATTTACTCATACTATTTACATACTTAACTCTCTACAACTGTTATATACTCATACTATTTACATACTTTACTCTCTACAACTGTTATATACTCATACTATTTACACATGTTTACTCTCTACCACTGTTATATACACATACTATTTACATACTTTTACCCACACGACTGTTATATACACATACTATTTACACATGTTTACTCTCTACCTCTGTTATATACACATACTATTTACATACTTTTACTCTCTACAACTGTTATATACTCATACTATTTACACACGTTTACTCTCTACTTCTGTTATATACACATCTATTTACACACTTTTACCCACACGACTGTTATATACACATACTATTTACACACTTTTACTCTCTACGACTGTTATATTCACATACTATTTACACACTTTTACTCTCTACGACTGTTATATTCACATACTATTTACACACTTTTACTCTCTACGACTGTTATATACACATACTATTTACACACTTTTACTCTCTACGACTGTTATATACACATACTATTTACATACTTTTAACTCTCTACAACTGTTATATACACATACTATTTACACACTTTTACTCTCTACGACTGTTATATACACATACTATTTACATACTTTTATTCTCTACAACTGTTATATACTCGTACTGTTTACACAGATTTTTACTATCTGAAAATGTTATGTACACATACTATTTGCACGAACTTTTACTATCTAGAACATGTGCGTCAATATTTACTCTCTATAATTGTTATACACCCTTACCGTTTCTGCCTACTGGATGTACACCGAGGTCTGGAGGAATAAAGGGGAAATCTTTAGAATATGCTACTAGTGTAGAATTGAAATAACGTTTTAACCTTCACTGTTTTATAATAACATAATCAGTTTTATTTCCACAGTCGTATGTTTGATAAAGAAAAATCTGAGTTAGTAAACTCTTTCTTTTTGATGTCGAAATTTCGATCAGCTGAAATACAGACAGTAACACATATCTGATGTCTAATTGAAAGTTGGAAAGTATGATAAAAGCTCTGCCGTACACAGGACTTCAATTAAATTTGATTTCCGTGCACCAATTTTTGGTTTAAAAATAACATTGAAAATCAAGTAGTTACCGCTATTTAAAACTCCTGAAACATCGTGATAACAATATAGATTATATACGACAAGTCAGGACTGTTTCGTTAATTGATACTGTCTTAGAGTTACGCATTAAATGACATACTAACCTATTCTACATCTGCTGTCGATCTCGGGATCATCATGGCTATGTGCTGTAAAGAAGTTCACATAGAAGCATGGAAATGTGTGGTATAAAAGTTATCAATGTTTTGCATCGCTTTGTTGGTTTGTGATACATCTGTTGCTTAGACTGTTGGATAGATAAAATAATGGCAAATGAGTCAGGGGGAAAATATCGTCATGCATGAACTATATAAGATAAAAGTAACGAAACGACAGCATCACAATTGAATTTATTCCGTCACGTAAGCTTTAGAAATGATGTACACTGTTGCTCGATATTTAAACCCCCATCCCGTTACATAGTGATAAGGACAGTCTTCTTAAATATATACTCCTGAAGGACACTCATGTTCAGCAGAAATACGTTTCGTTTCGCTCAGACACAAAGGTAAGACAAAGAAGTTATCATACTTAAAACAAGAAATAATATTAAAATGTAAACGGCGAAGTTATTTGAAATAAGGCATCCCTACTGATGATGCCATCTAGCACGATGTATAACATAGAAGGGTTTCCCAGCGATTCTCAATTCGCTCTGTAATGGCTATGCCGAAAATTACTTACAGCAGTCTGGTGGCGGAGAAACCTTTCCTGAGAGTGAGGAAAGTAAGCAAGACAAAGAGTTATTTCAGTATACAAGTAATACCAGGAATGGAATACAAATAAGTTGACATGAGTAAAATAACATTGCACTATTTATACATACCGTATGCTATTAAACTTGATATGTCAACAATATTATCTCCTACTTTGTAGCCATTCATATCTTATTATTTATACCGGGTTTTTTTCCTGAAATGTGCCTGAATGTTTTAGTTTTTCAATTGTGATTTATGAGGAAAATGTCTTGAAGAGTTCCTTCAGATATTGATTTTTCCTCAGTTGAAACACCTGTGTGATATTAAGAGACTATATTGTCCCAACAATTGTCATAATGTTACATCTTGTTCCTTTAACTGTCATTGTTTAATTATTCGATCTATTTTTAAGTGCTAATAAATCAGAATCTTACCTGTAAAGATATCGTCACATGAATACTCGGCCTGTATTCTGGTAAATACTGAAAAGACATGATAAACATAAAAAGATAATTGTGTTATCTGTGCAAAATACAAACAAACGGATAAATCCGTATTTGAATACATTCAATAAAAATGTTGAAAGATCGTTTGATCGCTTGGAGCGTGCTAAAAATTCTGATGTAAACAGATTTAAATTGTCATTTTTGTGTAGACAAGTGTTTTTTTTGTAAAGGACTTTTTCGTAAAGCAATTAATTAGAAGACTAAAATGAATTAAGTTTCACTTCTATCACTTTGTCTGTGAAATATACATATTGGGGTTTTAACAGCATTTTTTTAAACATCTGTATTTGTGAGTATATTTAAATGTAATAGTATTTTACGAAAGTAAATTGGGCAGTATTTGAACAGAATACTCGCATCTATTCAATAGTAATTAAATTGAAGGGAAACATGGCTTAATTTGAAGGAGGTATAGACAAATGAAATCATTATACTATATTATTAATGGCTAAATATGGTAATATAGCATCACAATAGTGGTAAAATATTATAGCCCCAAGGCAAATAAGAATGTAAAATGTTGAACTCTTTGAGACATTTTTAACTAGAAATATTGCAAGTCCTCTGTAGTTTACTCTTTCTGGGCGTCATCTTGGTCTTTTCGAAAACTGCATAACTCAACCAAGGCATCCAAATACAAAATTGCTCATTTAGTGTTCGATGTTTTAATAAAGATCCTCTCGAAGAACGTTGACACGAGGAAGTATATAATAAAAAGATGTCATTTTGAAAATTCGTGTCTGGCAGTCGTCTTTCAACAGATAGGCAACCTCTGAGGGATGACGTATAAGTATATCAGAAATGTAAGGAGTAGCCACTTAGAATATATGAAACAGGATGGCAATGCAACTGTTTCTATATTTGTATAAATTATCATTGATTATTAATTATCACATGATTAAAAAACTGCCGACTTACGAGATATTATGATCAGCACAGTCGAGACGAAATCCGTGCTAGCCGACATTTCTTACAACTAGGATAGTATGCTTGGATATAGAGTGTCGAACCCTGTAGATAGTGATAGAGATCCACGTCTGCCTGACAATGACCTAGTAATGATAGGAACATATTTTATCATTTATGGATCTTATTTTATTTGGTTGTATGGATACAAAGAGATCTGTGTAAATCTGTAAAATCTACTGTGACTTCAATTATATTTATAGCTTATAGAATGAAAAAAAAATAATGTTTTATTGTTCAATAATTGCCCAATTTAGAAAATCACGGATAGAAATGTATTCCACCCACTCGTTCTATTTTTTACTATAGTCTAAAAGCGTCGCTTTATCTTTTTATAAGGATTACCTGCAATCCAAAACTGGCTGGTAATCCGCAACGTTATGGCTTACATTACAATGCAAACTATGCTACAAGCACTGGCGGAAAGCCAATGTAGCCGTACAGCAACTAACACCGAGAAAGTTTAGTAGATTTAATGTTTCGGATATGCTACTGAAAACTTGTAATACTATATACAACAAACAGCGGTTTTTGAAATATGAATACTTCTCTAAAAGTATCATGAAAATGTCTTTTGGGGTTTTGAATTTTGGATGCCTCTGTAATTAGTGGAAAATTTCATTACTTAATGAAAGTTGAATTCAGGAACGTTTTTCTTATTAAACTTTCTTTTAGATACCATAGAGCAAACTCCTTAACAAATTTCATATTTCTCCTAAAAGGTGTTCAAGTACACGCCCCATTGGTATAAAGGTTCCTTTCAATAATATGCTCTTTAGTTTCCAGGAGAAAAAATAGTGAAGGAGAGGGGTGATAAAAATTACTGAACATTAATTGTTTTTCTTATTTATGAAAAAATATTTCCATGACACCATAACTAAAATTACAAAAACGTCTTCCGATTTGTGTTGGAGCAGTATTCAAAATTACAGTCATTTTCTATCTCGACCTCGCAATCGATACATGAATGAAATTCAATCAAGAAATATTGACGCTATATGCTTTATAGAGTAGAACTCTTTTAGAAGGTAGATACGTGTCACATTAAGTACTGAAGTACATAATATAATTATAACTGTTGTATTTCGCGGATATTTTTAATTTAATTTTACTTTTTTGCCTCAGTAAATTGTGAACAATTGAAATTTCATTCAAAGCAATATCTTACAATAGGGTGATGCAAGGAGAGCTAAGACACATTTTAAGTTTCAATCAAAAGAACACGATTGACGTGGAATATTATAATATATATTAATTTCTCTACAATAAATGATAGGTACTGGTTTAGCTGTGCAATGCCCATTCTAAACAATGAGCTACTGTAATACAGCTACACCTGATCTGTTGTCCCAGTCACCAGCATCAGCTGCCAATTTTCCATTTTTATTTTGTTTCAATGTTTCACTGTTAAAATTTTGCCCTTATTTAACTTGTAACAAAAACAGCCTGGTTAACATACGGTGTTTTCTAATCCATGCTTTTCTTCTTCTTTTTTTTTTGTCATGGGAAAATGAATTGTCATGTAGAAACAAAGCAAGCGCTGTGTAAGTGCTCAAATCGTATATTGATATGGTAGATATATCGGTAAGGGTAACAGAAACGTGACGAATCCTTAGATAAGGAATTGTACAATCTGACGATAGCGCTTGCATAAGGCAGGAAATTCATGAAAGCATCGTTGATTCTTATCTACTGAGCAAGGAAACAGTGTCATGGCATAGTTTCAATGTTACTTACAATCATGTTGACCGTATACTAAGTTTATATTCGTGATAGGCCGTCCCACTCATTTATATATAAGTGCTGTTACAGAAGAGCATGAAAGTCGTGGATATTTAGTCCCGTTATATAAAACTGCTTTACCTGTGGGGCATGGGCTCTCCCGTCGTCAGTACATTTGCCGATGGGAATAATGTCTAATTTTATAGTAACGATAACAGTTTTTATGTCACAAACACGAAATTACTTTGCCGATTAATCTTTTCAAATTATCCAGAAAAAAATGTGGATCACCAACTTTGCTAACAAGAAAAAGAAAGTCCCAGTTATAATTCTTTCAGCAGATTTACTCTGTACACTATCATATAGGGATTGAATGGATTTGTTTCATGTTCATTACGGCAATGGATAGCAGTAGCTGATCTACATATCCTGTGGAGCGCGATAGCACCGCATAGTATATATTTTAAAAAGTTTATGTCCGCACTATTTCAAATCATCGCTCACAATAGTAACTATCGGCATTGTACATAGAGCTCATTTGAAATTAAATGTACAGCTGTTGAATATGCTTTTCGCTAAAAAAAAACTTGCATATGTAAATGATGATAAATTAGCGGAAGAAGTGCCCTGTGTCATGACAAAGTGCTCTGGGTTTAATGTGCAGGTTGATGTCGCGGGGATTACCTAGCCGGACGTTTGGTGTCAGGAAGTTCGTGACCACGAGGAACCGATTGCGAGTCGGAAGTCAGTTTTTTATATCACAATGTTATAAAAGTGGGATTTTTAATGTCAAATTAAGAAAATAATAATAATAGTACAATGGTGCACCATTTATGATTTTTGCAGTGTTTATAATTATTTCTCGCAACTTCGTTATCTCGGCGAAGGGGATATAATTCTTCTTAGAAACGGTACTATGTGTAGTAATGATTTGTCGTTGTGTGTGAAATCAGCTGACCGGTTGCACGACAATCGTTGTATTCGTAGTGTATTCATAGTAATATGAAACAGGCAATGCATGAAAAGAGCGCACCAAGAAAGAATACCAAATTGAGTTTAATTTCACCAATTCGTACGTACCTGCTTCATATGTGAACACTGACATTAAGTTGAAGTTATTCTGTTAATGGTTTTATTTTTACAAACGATTAATTAACAGTTACTATTTAGATGATAAGTGGATATATATCAAATTATTGAACAAATTTAATAAATTCCACATAAAATAGTCACGAGTGTAAGATATGAGAATGTAAATTTATCAAAGCTCTGTAATTAATTTCTTTTTATAAGACGGTGGAGTTTCCACTCAGACTGTATGTGTTTCTCTGCAGGGACACAATCGTCCAAAGTCCTATATTTCTTCTTCTTTAGGTTATCAGTAAACTACAGTATTTATTGTGACGTTTGACATAAATTATTTATGATGTCACAATAGTGTTATTACACATGTCTTACACAATATTTATGACATAACCCGTTAGCTGTCGTATGAGAAGAGAGAGTAAATAAGGATCACGGGACATTCCTCCAAGATGGTAGAATATTTGAGATAAAATATTATGCAGTCAAGTCCAATGAAACTGGTACAGGTCGCCCAAAATGGACACACGACCTGGTAAAATACTCAGTTGAAATCCCGACCTTATTGTCCGTTTCGAGGAGATCCTAGCTATGAAACAGGCAGTGAGGGTTGGTCACAGTCGAATTGAGCAATGCATCAACCATGAACTTGAGATGATGATGATGATGATGAACGTACCAGTTACAAATGGATGATGCAAGGCGCAAATTTACTGCTATCTGTGCATGCTCTTGGAATATCTGCTGCTGAAAATCAAGGATTTTAGCTGGTGGGTGGTCTGTTGTGTCAAAACCGCCTTCCCCGACGGCCACAACCTTCTTGGCTTTACACATGCTGTGCAAATCTCGAAGCCACCTTTGTTGCGTTATATTGCGGATACTTTCTCTCTCAGCAGTAGAAGGCCAGTTACGTGGATAGCAAAAGTTGGCAACCAAAGCCTGTAATGATGTGTGTTCTTTATTCCAAGGGGGTAGTGAATCATGTCAAGATGGAAATGTGTATCTATGGGCTGTATAGTGTTCTGAAGAAGTTAAGGAATTGGTAGATCATTTGTCAACAAATGTGCGGAGTCAACAACTTGAAGTAGAGAGGCCAAAATTCTCCAATGGAGCAGTGCCGACACTGTTCCTGTCACCTTCTCTGCTGAACAAAACTGATCACAAAACATTTCAATCCAAGTTATTTCCAAAGGTTGAAACAGCAAGCCTGTCCACTGCATTACCATTCCATTTTCTGTCGCGTACTGTAAAAGGGAGGAAAGGGATTCTCCACATTTTACATGTGAAATTATCCGTACAAGTAAACCATACATCAAGCTGATCCATTTTTCAATGGCAACTACACATACCTCTCCCTGATGATATTCTATCTGATGGCTCTTGAGAAAATCTTCTTTACCAAACTGAAGTTGGCAAATACTACAAGCAGTAAGTGGGGAACAATACCAAGGTAAATGTTCCATGACAGCATGCCTACGTGCATGAGTAAACCTTTCCTGGCAAACATGACATGCTTGACCCTTCCTTCCCCTTCTACTGGTAACCCCAGGTTGTCTTTATTCTCTTCCTCGTCATAGTCTGGAATGAAGTATGCCTCATCCAGGGTCTCATCCATACTTGTGACTGTAAGATATATGAAGAACTGTACAATTGTATTTCAGAACCCCCTTGTTGAATATATCTCTTTTCAAGATACCATGTAGACCTGACATCAGAATCTCCGATGCAGGGCTAGCACAGAAGTAAACCTATTTTTCACAGTTTCAGAAAACTATGTTTCTAAGTTCATTGAAAACCTGATCATGGCCCCTATGCATAATGAACTAATGTATAGCAGGACTGAGCTAGGTTACTATCAATGATAGGTATGGAGATTTAAAAGTTAGAGCATCCATTTACAGTAAAGAGGTCATGGGTTGATATTTCATCAAGCCCATTTACATTTTTTGTAGCATGTACAATATATGTTATAGAGGTAAAGTGGAGTTAGCGGTATGGACTGGTTCGCCCATTGTCAGTATGATGTGCCCTGGTGGGGTGCCATTCTACCGTGTACCGTGCCCAGGTGTTGTATTTCAATGTAAAACATATTTGTCACTCTCAGTAGCTAATTAGGCCCATCAATCTTGAACTCCAACCTTACATAGAATGCAGAATATTACCAAACAAAACCAAAACCTCCCCTAGTGAGTTTGGTGTTGCTTTTTTACTGTGTTTTGGGGTAATTTATAT